ATGGAATCATGTTCCGGATTCCAGAATGTTCCGGAAAAATTCAGGTTTTGGTAATTTCCCAATATACGATTACAAGGTTTGAGAATTTGTTTTTGATGATATCTATATTAGCTTTGAAACAATTGTTCATTCAAAATCTGTAAAATGGCAACTTGAAGAACAACCGTTAACAGCCACAATTATTATTAAAAAAGGATCAAAAAGCGCCTAGGAAGCCTTGTTATATATAATTAAGTAACATGTATTCTTGCCTTGATGGTTTTTCTGAAAAGGTTGACCAATAACCGCTTATCTCAGATTATCTGCCTCCCCCCCTACCTCTTTACTCCCCCCCCCCCCCTAACATATCATTCAGGCTTTTTTACTCAGAAATCTCCCCACCTCCGTCTTTCAATAGAGTATTTTTTGTATTTTATTATTCCCTCTTTTCATTTCCTCTTTTTTACAAAGCAACTCACTCCCAACCTATCTCCCTTTCCATCGTTCTCTTCTGTAGAGAAATTGTATTCCTCATTTTTTCTCTTTCATAAGAATACTTATATCTAGGAAACAAGTTCCTTTTCTTCATCCTGTTTCTACACATTTCATATTCTAGCTAGTTCTAATTAAACCACTTCATTAACTATTAATTGTGAATTATTCAGAACCCTGAACTTGTATACTCTGTACATAACATAATAAAAAATATGTTTTTAAGAACAAGGGAGGTTTTAAAAAGAATATTTACCCATTTGGTTGAAAAAAAGCTTGAAAGCCTTGTAATTGTTTATGCTTGACTTAAAAATACTTTCTATTTTCAAAGTTTAAAACTATATTATTTTTTAGTATGTTTAGTGTTCTGTTCTTTTTATCCACAGACTGAGCAAATCTTTCATGAATCAATCAGTAAGTCAGTTTTTTCTAATTTCTAAAATAAGATCATTTCAGGGTTTATTCTTCACCGTGGAAGCTACCTCAGGAACATGTGGAATATCATGGACTTTGTGGTTGTAGTGACAGGGTAGGTCTCATACTTTACACCTCTCTGTACATGACACTGCTGGAAACACTTCTAACATTTTGTTTGTATTATTAAACTTCGAAAAACATCTGAGAATGAATTTTTTTGTCAGGATTTTTTCCAACAGTGTATACTCAACAATTCCTTGCTTTGTATCCTTACTATTCACTACTTGAAGACAGCTATATAAGTGAATATCCCCCCCTAGCTTAATCAAAACTCAGGACTGTCCATTTTGGGACACTTTGGACATTTTTTTTTGAATTTGTATATTTAATATTGTGTTTCTTATCTCCAGGGCTCTTTATATAAAAATATGACCTTATAAATTCAATTTTTTATTTGAACCATTTAAAAAGTACGTAAAGTATGTCAGGGTCAGAGAGTTGGACTTCTAATTTGGATTTTAGCTGATACAACTATTGCAATTGCTACTCCCATTTTCTTATCTAAAGAGAAATTTTAAAAATGTTCAGACTTGTTTAAAAAAAGTATCCAGAGCCAAAGCTTTCAAAAAATCAAAATGAAACATGCCATCAGTGTCCGAATTAAATGAATTTGAGCCGCGTCTTAAATCCCCCCAAAACCGATTTTAATTGAGCACCGGTTTAAAAATTGAATTCAATTTTAACTATAACCAACCATATTTGAGTTGCGGCTGAAATTTAAGCCGAGGCTCAAATTCTTTAAATTCGGACTTAGGGTGCACAAAATAAAACAAATAGTTTTATCATTTTAGTAAAGTGATAAAGCATTATTCAATAGCACCTTAAATTCAGTTTGTTCATCACCAATTACAGGGTTTCAGTTTTATAATGTGTTACAAACCGTACTTGAAGGTTAGCAAGGATCCATTGATACCAGGGTTGCATGTTAAAGTATGTAAACTAAAATTGTAAAAAAATCAACAAGTGGGCTTGTACTTAATACAGATGATAGATTACAATTTTACTCTGTTTAACGGCTGGACTGGTTCTAAATGGTATAGTACCATTCTTCTCTTACCTTACAGGTGGGTTTGTACATGTTGGTACGAAGGGTTGGAGTGTGAAGTGTTGGTCAGGGGCGTATTCAGGAATTTGTCCATGTTGGGGCTTAGATTTTTTCTTTCAAGGGGGGGGACCTCAGCACCTGTTGGAGCCTGAAAACCCCCTGAAATCAACAGATTTCACTGGTCCAGGGTGGGGCTTAGTCCCCATGGCCCCCCCTGAATACGCCTCTTGTATTGGTACAGTACAGATATAAAGTTACTCTGGTCGAGCCTGTAATGTGTAGGGTTGCAACTGTTTTACTGGGGGATACAGATCAGTCCCTCCCTGTAGATCTGCGAATGCTCCGCTCATTCCGTTGCCTTAGGCCCTTGAAAATGGTTTCAAAGGTCCCCAGTAAGTGTGCCATAAGGATTTTTATACCCAGACAACACGGGTTTTAGATGTAGGGTCAAAGTATTTAGGAATTAAATAATGTATCCTGTAAGCCTACTTTAAAAAGTTAAGTGCACCATAAAATTTTTGGATTAGTATTGTAAGCTGACATTGTATAACATTATGCAACTAATCTAAATGCTAACGTACTGTCACTCAAAGTATTTGAGAAAGACATATTAAAATGGCCTTGAAGTATTTTCTCATAAAAACCAAGCTCCACTTCATTATTTTGTTTAAAACTAGAAAACTTCAGAAATAATCTATTTATTATATTTAAGTTTTTCTTTAAAAAAAATTAGTTATTACAAGGAATACAAATTTTAATTTTGTTTCAGAAAACCCATTTCCTGACTCTTAGATACATTTTTTCTATTTTCTATCAAGGCATTTAAACATTTTTAAAGCTTTTTGCAAAAAAGAAATAACCTTTTAAGTCCAATTTTCAGTTTTTCTTGAACATTTAAAGCAGGCTGGTGGTTGGGATAATAATGGAAAATATATACTCCTTCATGGAAAGATGTTGGGGGGGAAAATCTTGTTGATCAAGTAGCATTGATTTTATGTTAAATCTTTTACAAGGTCAATTCATAGATCATTTCATGAGAAGCTAGATTAGAACTGTAAACAAAGACCGCAAGGAAATGAAACTGGAGATTGGTTTTAACAATTTGGATTTACCAGGACGTTTTAATAACATTTTAAGATCTTCAATACCAATTTAATAAAATAAATGATTTACTCTTGGTTTTTCTAAAAAGTATTGTATCCTGATATAACTTTGTATTCTAACCTATACGATTTAACTACTTCTGACTTGAGAGAAAATAAATATACATTTAATTAGTATTAGCTATATTTTTGAGGCATGAAAATGCTTTAGACAAGTATTGTAACAATAACAAGACAATATAGTATAGAACAATATCTTAATATCAAATAAGATAACATCATCTTTTTTTACCATCCACCAACAAATGTGTAAAAAGAGATGTTAAATCAGTAACATAATACTGTATTCAATTATTTTTGGCGTTTTTACTAACGCTACTTAGATAGTCCAAAACTGCTCGGAACTAGTATTAAATATTTATAAATATAATAAAATATAAATGTTTCAAATTTTCTCAATTTTTCTTTGAAATGAAATAAAAGCAGCAAATAAAAAATTTTGAATAATTTCTAAATTATTAAAACTTGAAGAAACTAAATGGGACTTTAATACAGGAGGAAACTTGAGATATTGATAAATTATTCTTGAACGCTTCAATGCTATCGACTCCTCAACCTCAATTTATTTCTGTTTTGAGAAAAACTATTCAATGCAAATTTTTAATCTGTTTCATTTTCCTTTTATTAATCTGTTTCAAGCCTTACGCTGCCACCATTTGTAAATTTATACAGACAATGTTAGAATGGCATAAAATTCTTTGTTTGTTCTTGCTTTTTTTTCAATCCTTCTTTTGTTTCTGATATAAAAAAGGGGAAAGGGGGGGAAATAAAAACCCCTCACAAAAGTAAAAGAGAAAACATGAGAAAGACAAGATAACAGTTGCAGTAACTTAAAATACATATTTGATATTGGTTCCAAGCATGTCTTGTGAGTATATAGTGGAGTCCTAGGTCCCTGATCTAGGTATATAACTCTGCTCACACCGGAGGATGAAAATATTAAACCTAAAGAGGAGGAGAGTGTAGATCTAAGAACTCTCAGGGCTATCAGGGTTCTGAGACCTTTAAAACTTGTCTCCGGGGTTCCTAGTAAGTGATTTTATAAATAAGTGATTTTAACATCTTCAAATATATTTTTAAAGATATATAAAAGAGCAAAATCTTCAACAATATAAAGACAAAGATGAGCTAATTTGGTGATTTAAAAAGATATCTGTAATTCAGCCATATTTTTAATATGCAGTCGTTATATTAATAAGACAAAGTACATCTTAATTTTTGCTAAATTGCAGAATTTTTAAAGATCCCAAAGGTGAAAGCATTTGCACTTTCATGTCTGCTTGGTTATAGCTGAGCTTATGTTTATCCTTACTCTAACGAAATCACCAATCTCTAAGTTTCAAACAAAACAAAAAACATTCAACAAAGGAATTTAGTTTTCAACTCAAAGTGATTTTATAATCCCCATATCTTTGCAACCCAATGTTGTAGACCATCAATATTTCAAACTAACAATTCTGTAAGATTAAATAATCTAAGTTGGAAATATCAAAGGCTTTCATTTAGGTTGCAAAAATAAGGATTGAATAATTTGAGTTTGTGGAAAAGACTCCATGGTAAATGCAAATTCTTTTCTAAAGGATCTTTTGGAATACTTGTATCAATTCAAGAGGTTGCTCTTTTTATTCTTCTAAAAAGATCTGTTATCTTAAGATCCCCCCACCCCCAAAAAAACTGCAATATTTTCTCTCATATAAGAAAAATAAAAAAACGATTTGGTATAACAAAATTCTAAGCAAAATCATAATCAAACTATTGTTAAAGGTTTTTTATAAGCAATGTAAACATTATTTTACCTTTTCTTAATATTTCATATTTTCAGTAGGTTTTTTTTCAAATTAAGTTTATTTTTTTAAACATGAATGAAAATTGAGGTATTTCTGTTGTGTTAAAATTCAATTGATCAAACCTTTTCCTTCAATTTTTTTTACAGTGATCGCTTTTCTGCCTTAATAGGAAAAATATTGGCAATGTACATATAGCTTTTTTAATTTATCTCATCTATCTGCTGAAACTGCTAAATTTTCTGTAGAAAATATTGATTTTTCAAATAGTAGAACAAACCTACTGTAAAACTGCATAAGCCTACAGGTAGGATGGTAGTTAATTTTAATTAACAAATAATTAGATTTTGATGAAAAAAGTAGAATTTCAACAATGAATATCCAAATTAACACACAGGGATATTTATTAGGCATGACTTCTAAGTTTTTAATTAAAACTTTGTAATAAAAAGAAACTCAAACATGATAAATACATAAGTTGATGCCAGTTGATTAAACCAATTTTACTTTTTTTAAACATTAAATGGATGTCTAAAAGATTTCTGATCTCATGGAGCAAACATAAACATTGTTTCATGTGTTAAAACATTTTCATGTTTTTATTTATTCATTTTTTTCCAGATAAAACTCAGTCTCTATTTTTTTAAAGTTTTAACAAAACCTTGTAAAATGAAGAAATGTCTTTTGTCTGTTCAGATTATAGGATCTTTAACTACTGGATTAAGGCTTTTTATTTATTTATCTGATATAAAATATCTATTTACCTGGTCAAGCGTTGAGGTGGGATTTTATCTTATCGAGATAAATATAAAAAGCACTCAAGCGTCAAAACTCAACTTGTGATAAATATAAAAAATTGGGATAAAGAAAAATATTGTGTTCACTAAGGAATAAAAATCATTTATATCCTTGTGTTGCATGCCTTATAAATATCCCTGTCAGAGGCGTACAAAGGGGTGCAAGGGGGCTTAGCCCTCCCCCTTGGATCAGTAAATATATGGTTTCCAGGGGGTTTTCAGGCCCCAACAGTTTCTAGACCCCCCTGGAAAGAAAGAAAATGACAGCCCCCTGGTAAAATTCCTGTGTACGCCCCTGATCCCAGTATGCTTTACTTCAGTCCAGTGGAATATGAAACTGCAAAAATAATTTTAAAATGAATTTGCCAGTTTTATTTTTAATTTCAAATTGATAAAATATATTTTCTTTAGGTCTACAAGTTGTGTTGAAGTCAATTTTCAAAGCTCTAGCACCATTGATGCAGATCGGACTTCTTGTATCATTCGCCATCCTTATCTTTGCAATCATTGGTCTTGAGTTCTACTCAGGGGCCCTTCATAAAACTTGCTACAGTATAGAAGATTTAGGTAGGTTTATATTTTATATTAATGTATATCATATAGAATATACTAACGGAAGTACCCATCGTCGGGTGTTTGATTGGTTTGGCTGTGTTCGGTGTTTTGTGGAATCTGGAAAATTGTCCAGTAGAACGACCTCCTGCAACAACAATTTATCTGGTGGATATAAAACATATCCAGGGAGGCAAATGTAATATTGTTTTTAGTGTTTTAGTTTGGCTGGCTTTTAGCTAACTTACATACATATATAAATACAATTTATTTGCTCCTATATATACATATGCTCCATATGGCTGAATTTTTTTAAGGAACCTATGGCCACGGGTATACCTAGATTGACAGATTAATTGTGCTGATTTCAATTGTTGGAAAGCTACACTTGTGTCCCTGTGTGGCATTTAGAGCTTGATTAATAGCTAGTGTCTGTATTGACATGCATAGCTAACGAGATCGCACCTAGTGGTATTGGCGTTTATAGTTTACGGTATTGTACTTGTAGCCGTTTGGAGCGTGTCCTGGTTGACTTTGATAGCGGACAGGTTGTACCTGGATATATATGTTTCCAGGACTTGTTATGGATTAGGCGTTTTCTACAGATATATAAATAATATCAATATAATTAAAGGTATATAGTATGTATAGGTTTCTCGTGGAAATAACGGTATGTATAAACATTAAACCCTCTCTAGAGAATGAATGAGTATACATAGTGAAGGGTATTAATAAAAACTGAGTTGAGTATATATTAGAGAAAATATAAATCAATACTACTTCATCTACACTCTACAGGTTTACCAGGGGGGAGAAATGTCGAAAGAGAGTGGCAAAAATTATACTTAAAGGGATTGTTCTCTATTCTAGCTGAAGTATTAAAAAACACCCCATTTTAAAGATAAGCTATTCTCGCCGCTTGGAAATGTCCTTTTAAAGGTTAGAATAGTCTTTAAATTTTTTTTTTTAAATAAACAGAAGTATGTCTTAGGTAATTTATTTGATGATTCATATTTCTTGCATAAACCAGTTTACTCATAAACATTTTAAGGGATTTTAAGCATAATTTTAAGTGACCCTACAATCTACTATAGACTTGAAAAGAATTCAATATTAAAAAGCCAAGATTGAGTGTAATAACAAAGCATGGTTGCACCCACACTATATTTACACAATACCGATACAAACGATTATTGTTGGACCAACTAAAGTTATATAAATAAACACAACATTTGCCTGGGGTGAATGTATGTCCATTCAACTCTTCTGATAAGATGCTTCATGCTAACTGACTCGTCCTAGGGAACTCCAGGGTTAAGATCGCCGACAATCTGCTTTCTCTGCCGACAATCTGCTTTCTCTGCCGGCAAGATAAGATGCTGTTTCACTCCTTGCCCCAGCATAGATGTCACCCTAGCTGCTCCATAAATGGGATCGACTTGCTATCTCTAGATACCATTGTCGGCCTACACTGTTTTGTATCTAAGGTAGCAAACCTACTCAGAGTTTGGACTGGATCTGGATTTTTTTGGCTTCATTCTAAGGTTGCATTTGTTATGTGCATCATTTCTCTGACTGGGAGCAATGCACTTATATCTGATTATGCACATAGGGTAAACCCTTGGTTGGGTTTACACTTCATGATACAATCCCTTTACAATCCTTACACAATCCGTACACAATCCTTGCACAATCCTTTCAAAAACCTTTACAATCATTTAACAGTCCCTTTACAATCCCTTTAAAATTTATTCACAATTCTTTCACAAACCTTTACAATCCCTTTACAATTCCTCTGAAATTCATTCACAATTCATTCAAAGTCCCTTTACAACATCTATTTAAGATTATGAGTTAAAAAGAAAAACCATAAAAGGTCCTGAAAAAAGTAAAGAAAAGAAGTAAAGTTTTATAAAAACAGAAAATGTAAAAAAAAATGAATATTAGAGTAGTGTTAGAGTATATTCACAATAATGATAATGATAATGAGTAAACGGTTATTTTAATAAGGGCGGAAGAAAAGTGAGGTCAAAGGAGAATTTACCTTTCCTGAAGTAAAATTAAAATTTTAAATCAATTATTCTGAAAATTATTTTTTTACAACTATTATTCCAAGGTTAAATGACTGGAATGCGTTAAATCGTGACAGCTTGTATTTTTTAAGATTCAAAGTTTAAATGAATCAATGATACTCTAGATGAAATAGTGCCTGATGGGTCACGAATGATTGTACCCTGTAACGCAGAACCTCCTGAAATAGCGCCTCCAGGTATAGTTTATATGTTTCATCACGTGGATTTAAAAGTTTGATCCTGGTCCAAGCAAAATATGATTTCAACCAGAATCTGACCAATTAAACAAAGATTTTTCGCTTTTTAAAACTTTTTTTGTCGGCAAATGCGTTTTTTGACTCTGCAAGTTTAATTATTTTTAAGCTATAAACAAAAAGGCTGAGAGCCCTGAGTCCGAATTTAATGAATTTAAGCCGGGTCTCAAATCCCCCAAAAACCGGTTTCAATTGAGAGCCGGATTAAATCTTGAAAAATTAAATACAATTTTAAGGGAAACCAACCATATTTGAGCTGCGGCTTAGATTTAAGTTGCGGCTTAAATTCTTTAACTTCGGGCTCTTGTAAGTCCAACCTGGAGTTGAAATCAGAAAGGAGGTCGTAAAGATTTAAGGATTTATGGTTGGTTTGCTAATACAAAGCCATGGGACCAATGTGAATAATTGACCTCAGTTACACTGTTAAATCAAATCATATTGTACTTAGGAATAAAATTTGTTCATGTTTTAAATCACTTCTTATTGGAGAGAGCTAGGAGTAGAACAATAATAGTTTTGAAATGAATGTGTAGCCGGATAAGCTGCTATTTTCATACTTGTGCATACTTGGTCAAAAAAACGCCGAAATAAGATTTTTGTCGCTTCCGAATGGAGAACTCAACGTAATTAATTGAATCCGTCATACTTTAAGAAATGCAGATAATTTTCCTCTGAATGGATTAGTATAACAAATTTTACGATTATTTGAATGGACAATTTTTAGAAAAATGGCAGGTTAGTTCAGTAATCCTTAAACACTTCTCTATTATCGTAAATTCCAATCTGTTTGAATTAACATTTATTAATTTATTATTTATCTATTTGGCTTAGACATTTTCATTAGGGAGCATGTCAATATTATACTATATTTATATTTTTATACTATTTTTATACTATTTTTATACTATAGTATGTTTCTATGTCTAGGGTCCAAATTATGGAATATTATACTATATTTATACTATTTTATACTATAGTATGTTTCTATGTCTAGGGTCCAAATTATGGAATAACTTCGTTTGATAATATCCTGTATGCTATGTTAACTGTGTTCCAGTGTATCACTATGGAGGGATGGACAACCCTTCTTTACTGGGTAAGAAGATATTTCATTTATCAATATTAAAGGGACGGTTATGTAAGGTAGTTAAACTGCGTATGCATTGTTGTGGACAAATTCTTTCCACAAAGTCTTGTTTTCAAATCTCTATATCTTTTCAACCCAATATTTTATACCTTTGATATTTCAAAATATGAATTCTGTTAGATCAAGAAGTCTAAGTTTGAAATATCAAAGGTTATATTTCATCATCACTAAGTTGCGAAGTAATAGGGATTAGACAATTTAAGTTTGTGGCAAAAACGCATTTCCTTTATCAGGATTCCAGTCATGATTTGTGTACCCATTGAGGTATTATTTACTTTCATAACCTTTGTCTATTTTTAACTGCACTTTTTAAGAGACTATATGCGTAATTTTAGGTGGCATCCCAACTATAAGAAGCATGCACGATTTACAACAGTTTCCTTTCAAGTTTTGATGAAAATATTTTCGTTTTACGATCTAAAATTTTGTAATTTCTAATTGTGGGTTCTCTTTTAAGGTGATTTGCGCATTTTACGATTTTTAATACAAAAAACTGCCATATCTTCTATCAGATAAATGTTAAAAGGGCACATGTTTATTATTAAATAGAGGGTTAAACTTTAAATTACAAGGTCTCTCTAACTGGGAAACAGATAAACAACGTCTTATAAAAATAAGAAGAATTACATTTTTTAATTCCAAGCTTCTCTCTGGCATTTTTCTAGAAAAATAAAATTAAGTGTTTTTCACAAACTTAATTTTAACACATCGCTTGTTTCATGTCATTAATCTTTCTTTTTCACATGAACTTCAATAAACCTAAATAACAGTTTTACAAAAATTTTTATGTTTTCATCTTAAACTGACAATTAATACATGAGTATGTATTTCTGAATGTGATTGTAGACTTAATTAAGTTACAATTTTTACCACTTTGTCCTTTAAACCTTTATCACAAGTAATATTCATATTAAATCCCTTCACAGCCCCTTTACAATCCCTTTTCAATCCATTAACAGCCCCTTTACAATCCCTTTTCAATCCATTAACAGTCCCTTTACAATCCTGACGTAATCCTTTCTAAGTTCCTTCACAATCCCTTAACAAATCCCTTAACAGTCCCTTTACAATCCTTACACATTCCTTTCAAAGTTCCTTTACAATCCCTTTAAAGTTCCTTTACACTACCTTTGCAATCCCTTAACAATCCCTTAACAGTTCCTCCACGGTCCCTTTACGATCTCTTTACAATCCCTAAACAGTCCCTTTAAAATCCCTTTTCAATCCTTTCAAAATCATTTCAAAGTGCCTTGGCAATCCCTTCACAATATCTTTACAGTCACTTTACAATCCCTTTAAAATGCATTTACAATGCCTTTTCAATCCCTTTAAATTACCCTTACAATCCCTTTAAACTTCCTTTACAATCCCTTTACAATCCTTACACAATCCGTACACAATCCTTGCACAATCCTTTCAAAAACCTTTACAATCATTTAACAGTCCCTTTACAATCCCTTTAAAATTTATTCACAATTCTTTCACAAACCTTTACAATCCCTTTACAATTCCTCTGAAATTCATTCACAATTCATTCAAAGTCCCTTTACAACATCTTCACAATCCCTTTACAGTCCCTTCATAATCCCTTTACAGTCCCTTTACAATCCCTTTACAATCCCTTTACAATCCCTTTATTATCCCTTCACAATCCTTTTACAATCCCATCACAATCCCTTTTCTATCCCTTAATATTCCCTTCAAAATCCCTTTAAATTCTCTTTACAATCCCTTAACAATCCCATAAAAATCCCATAACAGTACCTTTACATTCCCTTTCAATCCCTTCACATTCCCTCTACAATCCCTTTAAAATCCCTTTAGAATTCCTTTACAATCCTTATACAATCCTTTAACAATTCTTTCAAAGTCCCTTTTACAATCCTTTCACAATTCCTTTACAATACCTTCCCAACCCCTTTACAATATCTTTACAATACCTTTACAATACCTTTACAATACCTTTACAATACCTTTACAATATCTTTGCAATACCTCAACAATACCTTTACAATACCTTTACAATACCTTTACAATACCTTTGCAATACCTTTGCAATACCTTTGCAATACCTCAACAATACCTTTACACAATACCTTTAAATTTTGTTTATTTCAGTTTAATGATGCACTGGGAAATCAGTTTAGTTTTATCTACTTCGTTCCTCTTATTGTGATAGGTATGACTATTTTTCTGATAGATTTAAATTTAATTTTGATACTTTTAAAATTGCTTCTTTTACTCAGTATACTACTTATTACTTATTTTAGGGTGCTTTCTGCTTTTTTATTCCTGACATTTATCTTATATATACCGTGTGTGTTTTTTCTTGCTTTCTTGTCAGCAGTTCTTTCATTCTTGCCTTTAGTTAGCAAAAATTGCCTCGCTTTCCTTCCATTTCGATTTCTTTTTTGTGGTGTCCTCATTTCCCTCGGGTGTATTTTCATTCTCCTATTTCATTCTGTCTTTTCTTACGTTTACTTATGTTTTTATTTGCTCTGTCTCTTTTTCAAGAATTCTTTGATCTTTTTCTTTTAATCCTTTTTCTCCTTTTGCTTTGAAAACTTACGCCAGGGGAGGAAAGATTCAAACTTACTATTGATTTCAAGATATAACACTCAGTGTCAGGTTTGACCAAACTACGATTTTGGATTTACCTTTCCTGTATTTAGGAGAATTTAGAAAATAATTATATTTCAGGTTCATTCTTCATGCTGAATCTTGTGCTTGGTGTTCTAAGCGGGTAATTATATTCAATGTCAATTATGTCACGTGTTGGATCCATCCGCTTAATTATGTCACATATTGGAACCATCCAGTCAATTATGTCACGTATTGGAACCATCCAGTCAATTATGTCACATATTGGAACCATCCGGTCAATTATGTCATGTATTGGAACCATCCAGTCAATTATGTCACATAATGGAACCATCCAGTCAATTATGTCACATATTGGAACCATCCGGTCAATTATGTCACGTATTGGAACCATCCAGTCAATTATGTCAAGTATTGGAACTATCCGGTCAATTATGTCACGTATTGGAACCATCCGGTAAATTATGTCACGTATTGGAACCATCCGGTCAATTATGTCACGTATTGGAACCATCCAGTCAAATATGTCACGTATTGGAACTATCCGGTCAGTTATGTCACGTATTGGAACTATCCGGTCAATTATGTCACTTATTGGAACCATCCAGTCATTTAAGTCACATATTAGAACCATCCGGTCAATTATGTCACATATTGGAACCATCCAGTCAATTATGTCACATATTGGAACCATTCAGTCAATTATGTCACTTGTTGGATCCATTCGATCAATTATGTCACGCGTTGGAACCATCCGGTCAATTATGTAAAATGTTGGAACCCTCCGGCTAATTATGTCACGTGTTGGAACCATCCGGTCAATTATGTCATGTGTTGGAACCATCCGGCCAATTCAACTTTGTTTGGGAAACTCGAACGGAGCATCAGTAGGCTTTTTTTAATATCTCGGACAATCTTCCAGTGATGACATTTTTACCCTCGGCCTCAACTTTATATTCAAAAATATTTATAAATATTATTCTCTTTTTGAGTACCTGTCTGTTTGTTTAATAGTCATAACTCACGAACTCCTGGACCGATTTGCCTCAAATTTTGATTGAGGAACTCAATATAACTACGTGGATGTTCTTAGTCTGGTTTAACCATTTTACCCCTATCACAATTGGGAGTGTGTGTGTATTTTCCTGCCCCCCCCGGTGTGATTTTTGCTTAATAAATTTAAAACGGTTTACAATAGAACGTCTTTACTTTCTCAACTTAATTTGTGAACAAATTTTGAATTTTTTTATGCATAGGGTAGGGTGGAGAATAGTCAAACGGCGGGTCGGTGTTTCAAAAAATCAGAAATGGTTAAAAAAAATTTTACTAACTTTTTTTACTAACGTAATAACATGCGCCACATGTTACAATTTGTATAAACCAAAATATTTAATTTTTATAATATTTCCGACGTATTTTTTGAAGTTTTTTAAAATAATCCCTGGCACCCTAACTAAAGGTATACCTAGTTTTGAGCATCCCTTGACAAGTTAGACTAGAGACATGTATCAAACTCCCCTATCCCAACTCTAAGGACTAAGGACTAAGCTAAGTTCCGAAGCTAGGATTTAAATTAAATCCCCTTTTTCATAGAGAGTTCAGTAACGAGAGAACACGTGTAGAAAGGCGGGAAACCTTCAGAAAGTTGCGAATGCGCGAAAACTTTTCCCGCGCTTTCGAAGGATATTTTCAATGGATTTCTAAAGCAGGTAGTTATTGTGCTGTTTATACTTTCAAAACATACATAGATACATAGATGCATAGATACATAGATACAGTTATCATCTGTTTATCCAAATATTTTTACATAGATGAAACCCTTTTATATTCTTGTGCTCTTGATCCCAACAATGACATATTTAACCTTTCCCAAAACATATTTTTTATTAAGTAACATATCAATAATGTTAAGCCGATAAATAACAAGATCAGAGATATGTTGTTTAATCAACTTAATATCCTTAACTTTATAACATAGTAAATTTTTTATATCCCAATATGTTGTTTTAAATTTGTTCTTATTAAACAAAACATGCATGAACCTTATACAATAATATATTTGTGCTGATTCAGTGGAAGGGAGGTGTTATTAAAAACCTTTATTTTGTAAAACTTTACCAGGAAATATTGATTTTCTATCTACTAAGTGGATTATATAGATTATCTGAACATTTTTTCAACATACTTAAATATTTGATAAACAAATAAACAAGATATATTCCTTTATAAAAGCTTTTATTTTGGTATGCAGCCATTTTCATTTAATCCCGCCCCTTTAAAAAATAATAATAAAAAATAAAAATAATTTGTTATTTTTTACAAAGGAATGTCATTTACTACAGCCCTCTGGTTTATCATTGAATCCCTCAGGGGTTTAAATTTCCATTAATTCTAATTTGACTGAGAGTAAATGAAACATTTATCACCTTTTTTAACAGCCTCAGACCAATACTTTTTGAGTTATGTAAAAAAAACTACAGGGGGGGGTCAAATTGACCCCCCCCCAGCGGGAATAGGGTTAAGCATTATTTCAACCTAAAACTTAAAATTTTTAATTAAAATATTTGAAATGGTTTTCGATCAAATTCGAATTCAGCATTAGATTTTGACGAAAACGAGGTGTAACATGTCATTTTCAAAACAAACTTTCGATCCGTGTAGCAATTTCTCCAAAATATAACCGTTTGATTAAAATCATATGCAAAATTTATATGCTTTGTTTTGCAATACGTCTTTCTGCTCAAACCCGCGGTGGGCGGTTAGTTAGTTTCTAAAAATTCATCCTTAAAGCATATTTTACACTGTACAGTGTACATGTAACGCGCTTACATTGTGTAGAATGTATATCAAATACACAATGTATATCAAATACTTAATCATGAACTAATGCAAAGTTGATTCCTACAGTTGTATTGTTATAATCCATAGCATTGCAGGAGAGGGGGGGGGGGTTGGTTGGTTGGTTGGTTGAATTTCATAGATTCATGCTTTTATTTACAAAAACATATATAAATAAATTTTCAAACGAACAACATCTAACATTACCGTCATTTTTGATAGCATTTTCGCCACTAGACTTATTTTATAAATTTGAAGAGATAATTTAGAATTCACAGTGAGACCCAATAATAAACATGGTGTGACAGCGAATATAAGTTGAAAATATGCTTATTGTTAACAAATTCCTAGATTGAAGGAAAACTTTTTTATTTTGTTTGAACTAGTGCTTTGTCAGACGCACTAGAATTGTTTCTTGTGACTTACTGTTGTTCACATAGATTAAAAAATACATTATATTTTACATAGATTACAGAAGCCATAAATCGTTTCAGGAACAGAATCAAATTTAGTAATCAAAAAATTCTAGAATCAAATGTTTTAACATTTTTTATTCATTTATTTATTTATTTATTAATTTTATTTTTTTTTAAATCGGCCAAGTTAAAAAAAAGATTCTGAACCATATTACATAGAATAGGTCAGGTAGTTATCGATTAGAGTAACCAAAAAGAAAACTTGAAAGGGGGGGGGGATCACAAAAGAAGTTTTTATGGAACAATGATTTGTGTGATGTATATACATGTTCCCCCCCCCCCTTCCAAACTCCAACCCATTTAAATTTTTATTGATCCATAGTCATTCTGTTATAGCCTATAGATGAGCATGAAAAAGGTAAAGTTAAAATTTCGAACAATTAGAAATAAAAATTTTGCCAATTCTAAAAAAAATATTTCTAACTGTTCGAATTTCATCCAATTGCATGCTTTATTAAATATATTTTTCGTCTGTTGCTTACGCATTATTTTGCATTCAAAAACATTAAAATTTATAATATTGCTTCATGGTTTCTTTAAACTGACATGACAATGGGATATTTTATTTAAGTTAAATTGAATAATATATGATATGATATGATAAATGTATGACAGAAAAGTGATGCTTTTAAAAAAGTTTTGAAAAATAAAAAATATTAAAAAATTAAAAAAATCTACATATCTTTTATGTTGTGATATGAATATGTAGGTTGGGTATTATTATGCAGTATAAGTTAAAAAATGGTATTTTTTTCTTTCACTGCTTTTAACTTTTAGGGAAAACTAGGACTAAAACGTAATTCGCTTTACAGGCTATATTCTAAAAACAGTAATGCAAAGCAGGAAAACCTTTTCTTAAAATCTTTTTCAAGACTGAAGGAAAAGGCTTTATGTTAGTAAACAGGGTGTTCCACTTCTAAACAAATATTATGTGAAGCCTCATTTTATGCTGAAATGGTGATAAAAAGCAGTACAGCCCTCGGAGTCTGGTTTGATTTGATAGCTTTGCTTTTTTGGTGATATAAAATTAAAAAAAATGGTTTTGTTAGAAGTGGAACCTATTTTATAATACCCTGATTAGAATAAGTATTTTCAGACAGTTTTCTTAAAGAGCCTAAAACTTTTTACAATATTAAACAAATCAAATTAAAAAAAAGTCAGCCCTTTAAAATTAAAGTTTTTGCTTAAATGTATCCTCAAATTAGGCCGTATTATTTTTTGTTATGATACAACAGCCTAATTAATTTGTTTGTTTAAGGTTTTAGGCTTAGGGGTCAAACATGACAAAATCCCCAACTTGAGGCGCTTAAGAATCTGGAGCCAGGACGTTTTCGGCATTCTGCATGCTGTTGCGCTATGCTCTGAAGGCGGTCGAGGGGTTCAATGTCAGGATTCCCTTTGAGACCTTTGCATTATTTCTTATTTCTTATTTCTTATTTAATAATAGGCCTCTATCACTTTAAAAAAAAAATTAAATTTCTGCGTTTTCCTACAAATTTTTCAGGCCAGTTCTTGATTCAGTCCTTATTTCAAACGAACCTCAATTTATAACCCCCCAACTTGAGTTTTCTAGATCTAAACGCTACACTTTTGATAATATTCCATTTTTTCTTCTAATTTTTTATCTGCTTTACGCTTCAAAGCACCGAATATTAAAATAAACTGACAGTAGCAAACCAGCAAAAAAGAAAATGCTGCTCAAGGAGCGCATTTTTTAACTCAAAGAAAACTGGGTAAAAAATAGCGTTAACAAATGACTCCAGTACGTATTTGACTGACTTGAGTATGTAGCTATTCATACAAGACTTAAAACCTAACTATTTTAGTATTTTTTTTTTTACATATTTTGCTCCGAATTTATAAAAATAAACCAATATTTCTTTAGAGGAGGCCATCTTGAATGAGGAAAGAACTACAGAAGAGGAGAGAAGGTAAAATAGTAAGGAAAAAAATATAAACTTTAAAAAAATAAAGGAGGGGGTAGGGTGGGATGACCTAAACATATGTTATTTGTAAATATTGAGACTAATCAGCTGATGTCAGTTTGCTGATCACTCATTGGTCGAATTTACGCCTAATCTCAACTTTTTGAGATAAAAGGGATAGGTTAAAGAGGAAGTATTCTGTTTAACCGTGGGGTATGAGTAGGACTGGGCGTGTTCCTACTTTTTGAAATCGTTCGTTCTGTTTTGTTCCGTATGTTCCCGTGAAAGAACGACGCCCAGTCCTAGATATGGAGTCAAGATTCAGGCTCTCCTTGGGTATTTAAAAAAAATATACGTCAGTATTTTTTTCATTTTCTTTTTCAGTAATTTTCTTTGTTAAAAATTCCAATATATATTGCCTAGGTATATATTGGAGGCCCGGAAACGAGCTCTAGCTAAGAAAAAGAAATTAAGAACTCTGGGTAGAAGAGCCAGGAGCAGAGATTCAGATGAAGATCAGGAGGAGGAGGATGGTGAGTACAGTTGGGCGCGGCGTGGGGAACGTTTGACTTTTTTCATTTTGTTCGTTCATCGTTCTTGAACGACCCATTTCGTTATATTTTTCAATCGTTCAAAAACAAATTTATATAGTTCTTTTTAAAATTTTCGATCATTTTCTTTCTATTTCGTTCGTTTCTTACTGAACGATCGTCGTGCCTAAAAACGACAATTTTGCAGAGTATTTCATCTCACCACAAATTTAACACAGTGCACAATGTAAATTGCAGCGGAGTATAAGTGGGTTTCTATATTACACACATACCTGTATTCTGTACTAGACGTGCACACAAAGGGTTTAAGGGACTGTTGTAAATCTGGGATTGTCCTCTTTACATAGAGGTCAGTTTAGAAATAACGCTTACACCCTTTAAAAGCTCCAAGAGGAAAAAAGTTCAATTTATAACAATGCCCGATTCTTAAAATGGTAAAACGGACGTGTGGGGGGGGGGAAGCGAGAAAGATTTATTGTATTAACAAGAAAAATTATGAAAAAAAAATTATATTCATTGTTTAAGTGTTACAAAAGAGGAACAGGGTATCTAGCGGGGGCGTACTCAGGAATTTTTCTGGGGGGGGGGGTTACATTTTTTCCTATCTAGAAGTGAGGGGCTCAGCAGTCAGCACCCATTAGTATTAGTGCTTTTTATTGGCAGAGGCCCAAAGGAGTTACACGCATGCCGCTTTTAATTACAAGCAACAGCTCGGCCCAGAAAGTGTCCTAACCTAGCCTAACCTTAAAATATACTAATCTCTCTCTTTCTTGTAGTTCAACGTGGCAAGCACGCGAGTAACTCCTTTGAACCTTTCTGCCCTTTTTATTGACCGGAAACTAAAAGTTAAAAACGATTTTTAAATATAATTTTTATATTTGCCCAGAACTGCTGAAGGATGACAAGGACAAGGATAAAAAGAGAGCTGCAACCCAGGCTGCCTTCAAGAGAAAATTTAAGAAAAATTCAGATTTCTGGGTTTATGAGAAGAAAATCAGACTTGTTGTAAGAAAGGTATTAACGAGAAGAAAATCAGACTTGTTGTCAGAAAGGTCTTAACGAGAAGAAAATCAGACTCGTTGTAAGAAAAGTATTAATGAGAAGAAAATCAGACTTGTTGTAAGATAAGTATTAATGAGAAGAAAATCAGACTTGTATTAAGAAAATGAAATGCTAGAAGAAAATCGACTGAACGGAAAGGTATTTACTAGAAGAAAATCAAACTTGTTGTCAGAAAGGTATTAACNTAGGCTATAAAGCAGCAATGGTTCTATTGGTCTGTAATGTTTAGGCTATAAAGCAGCAATGGTTCTATTGGTCTGTAATGTTTAGGCTATAAAGCAGCAATGGTTCTATTGGTCTGTGATAATCCTAGTTTTCCTCAACACCATGTGTGTGGCGGTTGAGCACTATAACCAACCGGAATGGCTTTCACAATTTCTTCGTAAGTTTTAAAATTTAAAAAAACCTAAGAAAAGTATATTTACACTTTCCTTTTTTTCTAACAATAACACTTATTTTTTAATTGTGTACAATATAATGTCAAATAGCACCTGTGCAATACATATGTAACTGTGCAGTTCATTTTAATGAGAAAAAACAAGATGTCAGTTCCAGATATTAGCTTTTATTCTTCTTTCTTCCTTTCAAAGCAAGTTAATAACAAATTATTTTATTTCTTAAAAGCAAATATTTTCAACATTATGTCTGAAAACTTACTTTGATAAGAATGAGAAACCAACTTAATATTGTTTGAGCTTGGATTTAATTAGTAAACTCTAATATATTCTCTTTAAATGTGTAATACTTAAATACTTATACACTACACATTTCATACAATACACACTAATCATACAATACAATATGTTCTTCCTACAATACACAGTAGTAATACAATGCAATATGTTCTTCATACAGTACAATATGTTCTTCATACAATACAACATGTTCTTCTTACAATACACACTATTTATACAATACAGTATGTTCTTCTTACAATACACCTTGTCAACAGTACAATAAGTTCTTCATACAATACACACTATTAATACAATACAATATGTTCTTACAATACAACTTGTCATACAATACAGTATGTTCTTCATGCAATACAAACTATTAATACAATTCAAAATGTTCTTCATACAATATGTACACTAATCTATATATAAATTTGGCTTGTCTGTCTTTTTGTTTGTTTGTCTGTTTGTTTGTATCCAATAAACGTCAAAACGGTCGAACCGATCGGGCCCAAATTTTTTGTGGGACATCACGTGCCCACAGGGTAGGTTTATGAATGATTGAAATTTTAAATATTTGTCTGCATCAAAATTCGATCTTCATTAAATTTTTGAAAATTTTGAAAATCCACGAAATTTTTTGTGAAAATCCGCGAATTATTTTTGTTTTGTTTTACGATGTACACAAAGAGAACATGTTCACAATTAATTTAGAAGATGGGCGCGAAGCGCCCTCTAAGGCTAGTCATACAATACTTTCTTTATACAATACATTCTTCTTACAGTTCACATTATTCATACAATACTATATGTTCTTTTTACAATACACACTATTCATACAATACAATATGTTCTGTATACAATACGCCTAGTGATACAATACATACTATTCATACAATACTATACTTACTGCTTACAATGCACACTTTTTATAAAATATAATATGTGTTTCCTACAATACACCTAGTATGTAAACAATACAAATTATTATGATTTAAAAAAATACATTTTAAGTAATTCTATTTCTTAAATCTAGGCGAGTGTATCTTTCTGTTAGTTAGATCTGGCGGAGTGTATATTTCTGTTAGCTAGATCTGGCGGAGTGTATATTTCTGATATTAGATCTGGCGGAGTGTATATTTCTGTTAGCTAGATCTGGCGGAGTGTATATTTCTGATATTAGATCTGGCGGAGTGTATCTTTCTGTTTTAAATCTGGCGAAGTATATATTTCTGATAATTAGATCTGGCGGAGTGTAACTTTTTGTTTTAAATCTGGCGGAGTGTATATTTCTGTTAGTTAGATCTGGCGGAGTGTATCTTTTTGTTTTAAATCTGTCGGAGTGTATATTTCTGTTAATTAGATCTGGCGGAGTATAGCTTTCTGTTTTTATATCTGGCCGAGTGTATATTTCTATTTTAGACCTAGTGGAGTATATCTTTCTGTTTTGAGATCTAGCGGATTGTATCTTTCAGTTTTTAAATCTGGCGGAGTAAATCTATCTGTTTTTTAAGAGTATATCTTTATGTTTTTCAGATTTAGAGGAGTATAGTATATCTTTCTGTTATTTTAATCTAGCGGAGTTTATCTTTCTGTTTTTAGATTTAGCGGAGTATATATTTCTGTTTTTAGATCTAGCGGAGTATATCTTTCTGTGCTTCTTTATCTGCGAAACAGTGGTTAGGATGTGGGCCCTGGGACCTTCAATATACTTTGAAGCTTCTTTTAACAGGTAACCAGTAAATACAGTGGCATAGTGTAAGACAATCAATCGTTTAAACTTAACAATTTTGATAATATTTAATTAATATTTAAAATGTCCACATCGATTATTGATATCAAGCATTGATAATTAACGTTTCTCCACACAATTTCCTACCTTTGGTAACTAAATGTTGATTGCACCGTTTTTATATAAAAACGTTGTTGTTAAACAATAAAGGTAACAACACCACGCACCTCTGCCCCTTTAGAAAAAGTAAATTCAACCTATGTGAAGCATAAAGTCTGTCCGCGTCAACCTTGATGCACCAGCTAGTCCTGTCCATAGAGCTAGGTACAGTACAAACTGGGAACGGAAAGGTTGACTCGGCTCAGAAATTCAAATATACTACGGCTGCTTGTGAGCCGAAAAGAGGAAATAACCGAATTGATTTATACATAATTGAGACCAAAATTAATAAATAGATTGAACCGGCGCACACGTTGTTCAAAGTCGTTTCACTATAATGCAACTTTTTTCGTTATTTAGTGAATCTGGCCCCGGCCCTGTCAGATCTTGTAAGTTAATACAAATATGATTTATTTGTTTAGATTTGATTGCCTTGTCATTAGTGGAAGTGTTTTCGAAGTGCTTTGGACCCATTTCAAGCCAAAAGCTGGATCATTCGGTCTGTCTGTTCTTAGAGCACTTCGGCTTCTTCGAATATTTAAAGTTACAGTGTAAGTAATACATTATGTAAGATTAGCTTGGGAACCCAGCTATTAAACCACTTAATTTTAAATCCTTGAAGACATAGAATAAGAAGGTTCTTGATTTATAAACATAATAACACATATGATTACTTTACATATATAAATAATACATGTAATTAGCTTAGCTACATATGTAATGCATATAATTAGCTTGGGAACCCAGCTTTTCTTGGAAACTTATTGTTTGCTTCAAAAGTTAACCCTAATAACTTAGAACTGGTACACCAATTTTTGTTTAGGGAATTTGGTAGCACAACGGGAATTTTCTTAGCTTGGCTTTGAAATTCTAAGTTACGTGGATTGACTTTTATTGCGAAAGTTTAATTCCCAGTCAAAGCTGTTTGTTTGTGTCCAATAAACGTAAAAACGGCTGAACTGAACCGATCAGGCCCAAAGGTTTTGTGGGACCTCACATGGCCCAGGGAAGGTTTATGGCCAATCAGACTTTAAATATGTAATCTTAAAATATTTCTATCTTAAATTATTTAATTTTGTAAAATTTTGAAAATGCGCAAAAAAAATATTATGAAATCCGTAAATTTAAAAAAAAATGTATACTGTACAAGAGAAGATGCGATCACAGATAAAGACACAATTAAAAGTTAAAAAAGAAGATGGGCGCGAAGCGCCTTAAAGGCCCAGTATATATATATTATGATATAGTATAGTATCCACATAGATTCCCTTTGCACGCAGTTTTCTAATTATTGACTAATTAGAAGATGAATGACAAAGTATATCATATTAATATTGATTTCTGCAACATACATTTTTACATCAAATTAGTTATTGTTGGATGTTCATTGTTCAATGTACATCATGATAATGTAAACTTTGAGATATTTAAGTTACTAAATACTTCTGGTTATTCAGCCAACTTTGTCTATTTCCAGGGGCGCAGCGCAACTAGACATTCAGTTAGGGGGGGGGGGGCAAAATTGCCCCCGCCTTAAACATTTTTTTGGGGGGGGGCAAGAATATACGGCAGCAGTTAGGCTCGGAGACGAATGGGGTTTGTGTGTGTATATGATTAAACTCAATAAACTAACGTTCAATTATTTTTTTTTTACGATCAGAGCTCTAAAATTTGCTCAGGTTCAGGATTCATGAATCACTAAAACAAGCCTTATTAAGGAAGGGGCAAGCCCCCCCCCCCCCTTAATCAGGCTGTTTTCATTTTACTTTTTGATTTTATTTCATTTGTCGGGGTTTCCATCTTAAATGAGAGACACAAAATAATTTTTTTGGATATATAGATCCTTTATTAAAGCGCCATGATCATTGTACAGCTATCTGCCAAAACCCTAGCCAGTGCTTATGATACATTTTATTTTGATACGGATCCGGATCCGGATCCGGATCCAGGGCATGAATAACAAGTAAATTTTTGTGTCGCTTATTTTTACGCTTAAACTCAATGAACTATTTAGAAAATACAGAATTTGTGATAATCGTTCATTATTTTACAGTTCGGTATAAAAAATATTTTTTAGCTAGTTATGGTTGATATTTGCCACTGCAATTCCATTTTAACCTAAAAAATTAATCACAAATTACAAATCTGTCAGTATTCATCTAGTCTTACATAAGAAATAAATTTGAATTATTTCTTTCCCCTGATATAATTTCAGAATCTTTAAAATAAGATTTATATATACATAGTAAACTATATTTATATGTCCTTTATTCATGTTTATATCACTAAATATTTTAAATTTATATATATGTTTATCTATTTGTAGATATTGGTCGAGTTTAAGAAACCTAGTTGTATCCTTGTTGGCCAGTATGAAATCAATTATTTCCCTTCTTCTCCTTCTCTTCCTCTTTATCCTCATCTTCGCTCTGCTTGGAATGCAGGTTTATAATATTGCTTTTCTTCTTCTTCTTTATATCTTTAATTTTTGTTTTTAACTTCTTCTCCTTCTCTTCCTCTTTATCCTTATCTTCGCTCTGCTGGGGTGCAGGTTTAAAATCATATTTTTTTATCTTCTGTTTACAGATCTTTATTCTCATCTGCATAATTTTAATTTTCTACTTATTTAAAAAAATTTGTTTCTTTTGTCAGGTTTTTTGTGATCTTTTTCATATTTAATCTCGATCTTCTGTCTTAAATATCCAAATCTTTTTGTTTAAAAGTTTTAACGTCAAGCTAATTCATCTTAATCTTTTACATATTGATCTTCATTTTCATCCTTTTAACTTATGTTTTCTTAACATTCTTCTTTTTTCGCTTCATCTTATTCTTTCCTTTTTGTGCTTTTTTCTACATTTTCTAAATATTCTTCCAAAATTTTTGTTCTTGATTTGGTTTTTAGTTATATCTTTATAAACTAAGAATTTTAATTATTTTTCTGCTTTAGTTTATTCTGTCATGTTTTCATCTTTATTGTTTTTTAAAAATCAAAATCTATTTTATAAATTTATTATTCTGAAATTTGTAATAACTGTTTAGTTGTTCGGAGGCACATTCAACTTTGAGAGTGGTACTCCTGCAACTAATTTCGATTCATTCGCCATAGCTATGCTTACAGTTTTCCAGGTAAATTATTAACCTCAAAGAAATTATAAAAATTCAGAGTAATCCCATCCCAAACTAGTTTAAAAGATAATATAAACCTTATATCCAAGCCGAGTTGAACAAAACTACACCATACATTTGATAAAAATGGCTAAAACTAATTATTGAAACAAGAAATGTCAACTTTAAACTAATAATAAGGTGTGGAAATTGGTTTTGTCTCGAAAACGCGACAATGAGTCAAATTCAGGCTATGTTCGAATATGAAAAACCTGACATTATCTTTAAAACTGTCAAGGGATTTCATATTGATTCTAGAAACTAGTTTTAAATTGTGAATTGTTGTTCTTGTCATGCTTAATAAAATGTTGGTTACAGTTTTAATTATCGACTCTTGATATGGGATGGGATCCGAAGAACTCTTGTCTCTAAATTTTAACTCAGTGTTAGAAATGGGCCAAGTTTTAGTTTTGGAACTAATGTCCCCTGAATTTAAAATAAAATAAAATGCTTTAAAGATGAAGGAAAGGAAAAGAATACAGGAATAAATAACAAATATTAATATTAAGATGAGCGAAATAAGATCATGCAGGGAAGATAATGAAAATGAGGAAATAAAGAATATAAAGTAATTGAAGATTATGTATTAGATGTAGGATACAATAAGTATATAAATATTATGTATTAGATGTAGGATACTATGTATATAAAGATTATGTCTCAGATGAGGTTACTAAGTAAGTAAAGATTATGTAGTAGATGTAAGATACTATGTATGTAATGATTATGTATTAGATGTAGGATACTATGTATGTAAAGATTATGTATATTATATAGGATACTATGTATGTAAAGATTATGTATATTATATAGGATGCTTTGTATGTAAAGATTATGTATATTATATAGGGTACTATGTATGTAAAGATTATCTATATTATATAGGATACTATTTATGTGTATGTAAAGATTATGTATATTATAAAGGGTACTATGTATGTAAAGATTATGTATATTATATAGGGTACTATGTATGTAAAGATTATGTATATTTTATAGGATACTATGTATGTAAAGATTATGTATAAGTATATTATATAGGGTACTATGTATGTAAAGATTATGTATATTATATAGGATACTATTTNTAGGTAAACTGAACCTTGCAGTACTATTCCCCTTCCCCACCTTCTCCCATTGAGCCTTTGAGTTGAACTCAACAAACCCCTTAAACCTACCCAACCATCCTAGTCCAGTTTTCCATCTGCCCCGTATACAAATACTATGTATCCCTTTTCCCCACCAGATCTGACCTTGAAAAGCAAAACAAACATACTTCACCGGAGTGAGCAGAAACCTGTACACCGTACAATAACATGATTGTAAATATTTACATAACGCTAGATGTATGAAGACCATATCTGGGAGTTAAGATAAAGCATTTTAAGTATAAAAGCATTACTTCAGAATATCTAGGGCAATTTAGGTTTAACAAAATTATAAAATTTTTATGGCCGGATACAAGATTAATTTATGCGTTGAAGATATAATTAATTAAGAGCTATATGTGTAAAGATAAACCCTGGTATTTAAGTTTTCATTTCTTAGTTAACCTACAATAGTAAATATTTAAGTGAAACACCCTGTAAAGGCGGTATATGGTACCAGAGTAAATAATCAGAATCACCCTGTATATGTGGTCTATGGTACCTGTGTGTATAATCAGAGCCACCCTGTATATTTGGTATATGTGTATATTTCTGATATTAGATCTGGCGGAGTGTATATTTCTGTTAGCTAGATCTGGCGGAGTGTATATTTCTGTTTTAGATCTGGCGGAGTGTATATTTCTGTTAGCTAGATCTGGCGGAGTGTATATTTCTGATATTAGATCTGGCGGAGTGTATATTTCTGTTAGCTAACTATAGATAATCTGAACTTTGCTTTAGATCATATAAACCTTTTTATAGATAATCTGAACTTTGCTTTAGATCATAAAAACCTTGCTATAGATAATCTGAACTTTGCTTTAGATCATATAAACCTTGCTATAGATAATCTGAACTTTGCTTTAGATCATTTTAACCTTGCTATAGATAATCTGAACTTTGCTTTAGACCATTTTAACCTTGCTTTAGATAATCTGAACTTTGCTTTAGATCATATAAACCTTGCTGTAGATAATCTGAACTTTGCTTTAGACCTATATATAAATTTGCTATAGATAATCTGAACTTTGCTTTATATCATATAAACCTTGCTATAGATAATCTGAACTTTGCTTTAGACCTATATATAAACCTTGCTATAGATAATCTGAACTTTGCTTTAGATCATTTAACCTTGCTATATATAATCTGAACTTTGCGTTAGATCATATAAACCTTGCTAAAGATAATCTGAACTTTGCTTTAGATCATATAAACCTTGCTATAGATAATCTGAACGTTGCTTTAGATCATTTTAACCTTGCTACAGATAATCTGAACTTTGCTTTAGATCATTTTAACCTTGCTTTAGATAATCCGAACTTTGCTTTAGATCATATAAACCTTGCTTTAGATAATCTGAACTTTGCTTTAGATCATATAAACCTTGCTATACTAATCTGAACTTTGCTTTAGATCATATAAGCCTTGCTATAGATAATCTGAACTTTGTTTTAGATCATATAAACCTTGTTATAGATAGTCTGAAATTTGCTTTAGATCATATAAACCTTGCTATAGATAATCTGAACTTTGCTTTAGATCATATAATTCTTGCTATAGATAATCTGAACTTTGCTGTAGACCATATAAACCTTGCTATAGATAATCTGAACTTTGCTTTAGACCATATAAACCTTGCTGTAGATAATAATCTGAACCTTGCTTTAGATCATATAAACCTTGCTATAGATAATCTGAACTTTGCTTTAGATCATACAAACACTGCTATAGATAATCTGAACCTTGATATAGATAATCTGAACATTGCTATAGATAATCAGAAACTGGCTGTAGATAATCTGGACCTTGCTATAGATTATCTGAACCTTGCCAGGGATAATCTGAACCTTGCTATAGATAATCCGAACCTAGCTATAGATAATATTAACCTTTACTCTAGATCTTCCAAACCTTGCTATAGATAATCTGAACCTTTGTTCTATCTGAACCTTGCAATAGATAATTTGAACCATGCTATGATTAATCTGAACCTTGCTACAGATCATCTGAACCTTGATAATGATAATCTGTACTATGCCATAGATATTTGGAACCTTGCTATAGGTAAACTGAACCTTGCTATAGATAATCTGAACCTTTGCTCTAGATCATCTGAACCTTGCTATAGATAATCTGAACCTTGCTATAGATAACCTGAACCTTGATATGGATAACCTGAACCTTGATATGGATAACCTGAACCTTGATATAGATAATCTGAACCTTGCTATAGATAATCTGAACCTTGCTTATTGCTATGAATAATTTGAACCTTGTTATTAAGAATCTGAATCTTGTTAGAGTATCATCTGAACCTTGCTATGGATAAATTGAACCCTGAACCCTTGCTATATATAATCTGAACTGTGCTATAAATTATCTAAACCATTGCTGTATTGCTGTATTTTATCTAATTTTTCATTAGATTTAAAATTTCACAACTTGAATTTATTTAAAGTAAAATTACTTTAAAAGAAAACTACATTTTTGTTTTCTAAAATAGACGTAATTACAGGAAAATCGAATTGAAACCAAATTATCACAAAATAGTATTATTATTGAACGAACCCATGCATGTATGATAACAACAGGGCTGGGTAAAGTTCTGTTAACAAAACGGAGGATTTTGAACATTAACGGAAGAGTCCGTCAACGAACAGTGGAATTGCAGATAATTTTGAAGTCATTGACTAACAGAGATGACTGTTCATAAAAAAATCGTTCTTTTTTCTGCTTATAATTGCATAAAACTTGCAGAAAATATAAGATTTTTTTTTAATGTTTAATGTTTTTAAAATAATATAAAGATTATTAACGAACTGTAGCTTTAAAAATAGTGGAAAATACACCTAAAGAAACACACATTTAGGTTTTAACTAAAATACAAATGTCTAGTTGAAAGTTAGAACATGCCCAGCCCTAAATATCAATAGAAAAATGACAAATACTGATTTTAAACTAGTTTTAGCTACAAATATGCCTGGTTTAATTCTATATATTTATTTTATTTTTATTCTGTTTATTGACAATTATCCTTATTTCTTCTCGCAAGAAGAAGAAGGATGAGGAGGAGAAGAGGATTGAGAGAACCAGGATGATGGATGTCGAGATGGAGGGATTATATGAGGAGGTGAAGTGATATAAAAGGAGGAGAAGGAGAAGGATGAGAATACAGGAGGGATAAGGAGGATAAGGAGGAGAAGGAGGAGAAGGAGGAGAAGGGAGGCAAGGAAGGGAAGGAAAGGAGAAGGATTTAACCTGTATTCTGTGTAGGAGAAGGAGAGAGCTGAAAAGGAGGTGGTGGATGAGAGAGCTAAGTTTGGACCTGTTCCTGTCAGTGAGAAGGCACAAGATGAAGCTGCACAGAAGGTTTGAAAATCAATCAATCATTTAATTCATTGATTCAATCATTTTTCAATTCATTATTATTCATTGATACTATTATTCAGTAATTTATAAATTTATAGATTTATTAATTCGTTCTTCATTTATTCCTTGATACAGTAATTCACCTTTTCATTTATAAATTGACACTTTAGTTTAGTAATTCATTTTATCATTGATTCATTAATTCATAAATTCCTTTATTTGTTTATTCATTGATACATTCATTCACTAATTCATGAATTCATTAATTTATTAATTAATTTATTCATTTCTTCATTTATTCATCGATACAGTAATTCAGTATAATTCATTAATTCAGTGATTAATTAATTAATTCTTTTATTCATTAGCACATTAAATCACTAATTCATCAATTCATTGAGTTATTAACATATTACTGCATTAGTTCAAATTTTTTTTGTAGATTCAGAACTACTCCAGTTCAATAACTTACTTTTTTATTCATCCTTTAAATCCATCATTTATTTATATATTAATGAATTGCTGCATTATTTTATTCATTTATAAATGCATCATTCATTCATGGACCAATAATATATTTTATAAATTTCGATTTATTTGATTTAATCATTTGATACATCCATTATTATATTCGGTCTGTAGAAATTATCCTCTATTTTCCGTTTTTTAAAAACTTTATTTGGACTCAAGCTTTGTTAGAAAGCGTGTAATCATGAATTCATAAATATTATATTATATTCTTTTACCAGGAGGACTACGATGTAAGTTATATTTTTTCAGATTTATTTACTATATCTTAAAATGACAGGGTGTTCTTTTATCAACTCTTTTATGGGATAGTTTTTCGTTTGAGCTTGCACAGGGTTGTATTTATAATTTGATACTCTTGATGCCCTCAAATGTAGGTAAATGTCGTCTTTATTGCATTGGAGACTCTGAAGCTTCATATGACGTCACTGATACTTAACTAATCATCATAACATTTAACAAATATTGATTGTGCAAACAAGTTTGAAGCTAAAAATTGCAATTCTAAATCAAGTTTTCAATTTTTGAGTTCGTTTATATATAGTGAGCCGCAAAATTTATTACTTTTAAAAGTAAGCAGTGACGTCCTACTAGGATTTAGAGTGTACATTGCGATAAATGTCGTCATTACCTACATTAGAGCGCATCCAGAGTATCTAACCTTATTAAACAATCTTGAGTTTGCGAGAGCCTATATTACAAGTATTTAAATGTTGTTTATTTAGGGCATACAAGTTGATTGAATTTGAATATTGCAGTGAACCTTAAACTTGAGAATATCCTGCCCTGCATATTTAGAAACATTGTAGTTGTAACTAGTATAAGTTACAACATTTTTAGTGACAGAAAATAAAGAAAAAAAATTAAGGAGACATTACAAGGTTGTATAATAAGGATGCTCTCCAATGCACGGAAAATATCGTCTCCTAAGATAGATAGATAAAAACCTCATATGACGTCACTGATTATTGAGGCGAGGATCAAATGAATTAGAAAATAAAGAAAAAAAATAAGGAGACATTACAAGGTTGTATAATAAGGATGCTCTCAAACCAATGCACGGAAAATATCGTCTCCTAAGATAGATAGATAAAAACCTCAAATGACGTCGCTGATTATTGAGGCGAGGATCGAGTGAATTATTATAAGGTTTTTATCATCCTAGGAGACGACATTTTCCGTACATTGGAGCGTCTAGAGAGTAACCCGACTTAATATACAACCTTGAGACATTTACAGAGTTTTTGGTTCTAATTGTAAAAGGTTCGGGAATGGAGGGTAAGGACTATGAACCAGGACTACAAAACCTGGGCTATGAACCAGGACTACTAAACCTGGTCTATGAACCAGGAATACAAAACCTGGTCTATGAACCAGGACTACAAAACCCAGTCTATGAACCAGGACTACAAAACCTGGTCTATAAACCAGGACTACTAAGCCTGGTCTATATGAACAAGGACTACAACACCTGGTCTATGAACCAGGACTACAAAACCTGGTCTATGAATCATGACTATAAAACCAGGTTAAGTAATTCAGACTATAAAAACAAGTTTAGAATCATGACTTTAAAACCAGGTTTAAGAATTAGGACTTTAAAAACAGGTTTATGAATCATGACTACAAAACTAGCTTTAAGAATAATACTGTGCATCCGGGTTTACAGACTAAGGCTAAAAGGTTACAACAATTTAAAACATTTTCCGCCTTTAGTTTAAATAAAAAATAAAGTGAAATATTTTCACTTTAAATAATTTAGCATGAAACGAAATACTAATTATAAATCTATTTATTATAGCGTAAATTAAACTGTTTTTAAAACTTATAAACAGTAAACTGTTAACTGTACAGCGTAAACTGTACAGCGTAAACTGTACAGTGTACAATGTGCATTGTAAATTGTACATACATTCTACATTGGACATTGGACATTGAGCATTGCACAGTGCGCATTGTACACTACATTTAATACTGTACTACATTGTACATTGTTTATTGTACACTTTTAAGATGTATATATATTGCACAATATTGTACAATGTATAATATACACTGAACATTGTACCCAGTTACCAGTTACCAGTCTCGTAAGAAAATATTCCTTTATTTATCATGCATACAGTATACTACTTCTAATGTTTTTTTTTATCATTAAGACAGATAAAATCAAAAGAAACAGTAGAACCTTTCTTTAATATTAGATAGGTGATGAGGATCCTGATTGGACAAAAATATTATTATTTTTTTAACTTTAAAGTCAGCATGACATCTTAATTCATAGACAACTTTTCATTGTCAAATACTGTTTAATTATAATAATTATTTAATTACCATCTTTATTTTATATATTAATAAATATTGTTATTCTCACATACGAATAAATAATTAATATTATTATTACATATAGGCAGCAGCTCTTGCAGCTGAGAGGGCAGCTGCTGCTGCTCTTGAAGAAGCGCAGCTTGCCGGTCTACCTCCTCCTGTTCTTCCGTACTCTAGTCTTTTTATATTCTCCAGGTAAATTTGTTAACACATTTATTTTTTAAATTTAAATTTTAACAATATTCTATAAATAATTAAATTTTCTTCTTGTTCATGCATAATCCATCGTGTTCGGCTAATTTTCAAAGAAAAAATGGGTGGGGGGGGGGCATTCTAGCAGTTGCCAGGATGCTAGTTCAAAAGTGGGTGGAGAGGCTCCTGGTTTTCTTCTTTTAAACTTCTTTTTCATTAAATTCGAACTCCGGAGGATATAAATACAAAGAAAGTTTAAAGGTCTACATCAATAAAATGGCAAACTTATGACTATTTTTTAATACTTGCCAAAATTTTGTAATTTTAAATGACCCTTTATGCAAAGACGGTAATGTCTGATTCACAACGGTACCCTTGAAGCTTGAAAGCTTTGTCTGATCAAGTATGAACTAGATATCAATATTTATACTTTAGAAAACATAGTAATTATGAGAGATGAACACATTATTGATCAGATAATGGTTTCAAGGTTATTGTTGTGAATCGGGCATTATAGTCGTCTTTGCATGGAGGGTAACTTAAACATTACGATTACAGTCAAACTCAAATTAATAAGAACCCGCGGAGTCAGAAATTTCAGAAACGAAACCTAGTTTGCTTTTTTAGGATCCAATCGCTCATAGACACTTTAAGAAACTTTAAGTAAATATAGATGCAAAAGCTTGGTATACCGTTTTTATGTTAATCCACCTTGAATATAATGTAAAAAGTTTTAGTTTCCAGTATATGCCACTCGTAAACTTTCTCATGCTTGATTATCTGTGTGAACATTCCAACTTAGACTAGAACTTCCTCATACTTATCCACAAAGTTTAGTTGGGGAAATGGGGGGGGGGGAGGGGTTGTCTTACTTCACCCTCATTCATTCATGGCATGATTGATCCTGCTACACATGTAGCAAAAACAAATATATCTGATTTGAAGAGACCTCAACCATATTTTTAAATATTCCTGTTTTGTCAGCTATTCTAACTTTTTGATTTCTTGGGTTTTAAAAACCTGTTACAAAATGAAGCCCCCCACCCCCCTCCATTTATCATCATCTCCTCTACACAGTACACATGCAGTACACACTGCTAATCAAATTGTTATAATTATTTGTTTGCAGTCGTTCTCATTGTGAACAAGAATCATCGTAAAAAAATATTATTTGTTTGTTAGGGGAGCAGCACCAATTTTAAAACAGGAAAATGTATTATGTTTTTGTATTATACAGTATATACAGAATCTTTATATTTATTTGTAGCATACAAATAATATGATGATATGTATAAAAAGGCAACTGATTGTAAAACCCAACTATGCATACAGGCCAAATTGGCAAAGGCACCGGCAGGAGGTCTTTTCTCACTTATCCTTACATTTTCATATTTTTAGAATAATATTTAGATACTTATCCATACATTTTCATATTTTTAGAATAATATTTAGATACTTATCCATACATTTTCATATTTTTAGAATAATATTTAGATACTTATCCATACATTTTCATATTTTTAGAATAATATTTACTTATCCACACATTTTCATATTCTTAAAATAATATTTAGATACTTATCCGTACATTTTCATAGTTTTAGAATAATATTTACTTATCCATTGCATACCTTTTATTTATGTTTTAGAATAATATTTTGATACTTAGCCATACATTTAAATATTTTTAGAATAATATTTAGATACTTATCCTGATGCATTTTCATATTCTTAAAATAATATTTAGATACTTATCCGTACATTTTCATAGTTTTAGAATAATATTTACTTATCCATTGCATACCTTTTATTTATGTTTTAGAATCATATTTTGATACTTAGCCATACATTTAAATATTTTTAGAATAATATTTAGATACTTATCCATGCATTTTCATATTCTTAAAATAATACTTAGATACTTATCCATACATTTTCATAATTTTAGAGTAATATTTACTTATCCATTGCATACCTTTTGTTTATGTTTCAGAATAATATTTTGATACTTATCCATACATTTAAATATTTTTAGAATTATATTTAGATTCTTATCCATAAATTTTCATATTCTAGAATAATATTTAGATTCTTATCTAAAAATTTTCATATTTTTAGAATAATATTTACTTTACCATTCATTTTCATAGTTTTAGTATAATATTTACTTATCCATCCCATACAGTTTCATATGTTTTAGAATAATACTAACATACTTATCCATACATCTTCATAATCTTAGAATAATATTACTTCAGTTTGAAGTGTGTTATAACATATTTGTATGTAAGGAATTTCAGAAAAAAAGTATGTTTGTAGCGTTAATTAAAAAAGAATATTCAAATCTTTAATTGGATAAAAAGTAAAGAACTATGAAAAAGTAAAACATTTTCTGGTTATTTTTAAAACGCACAAACCCTGCTTGTGTGATTGATATATTTTATTGATTAACTAATTCTTGATTTGATTTTTAGTGAGAATTCTTTCCGCTGTGGAATTCACTCCATCGTAACCTTCCCTCTCTTCGACGTGTTCATTATGTTGGTGATTGTGGCTTCCAGTATATCATTAGCATCAGAGGTAATTATTAATATCTTTTTATATTTCACTCTGGGCCGTAGTAAATTTAAATTCGAACAGGACCTGCTCAGGTTGTCCCGCCCTGCCAGATAACAGCGTGTACAGACCCGATCCTATGGTACAGTACGTCGCCCTAACCAGACTAACATACGACTGGGGCCAATTTTCTTGGCATAGTCCCGTCGGAGGGCTAACTATGACGCGTTCAGACTTTTTACATTACCTGGCCTAATCCTAGGCCTATTTGACCAACCCCACTGGCTTAGTCCACCGTGATTTATAACCTGAAAGATAACTCAGAATTTTAACCTTTTTTTGATGGCAAGATTACAGGTTTTTAGACAAACAAAAATTCTTTGAAAAAATGTTATTTATATCAAACATGTTGAGCTTCTTGTGTGATATATCTAACATGTTGTGTTTCTAATGTGAGATTTCTGACAAATGTTGGTTCTAATATGATATATCTAACATATTGTAGTTCTATTGTGAGATTTCTAACATATTAACCCTATCCCCGCTGGGGTACTTGAAAACCAGGATACGCTGGGGGGGGGTCAATTTGACCCCCCCCTCTAAATCCCATGTTTTATGTATGTGGTTCTAATATGAAATGTTTAACATGTTGTGGTTCTAATGTAATATGTTTAACATGTTGTGGTTCTAATGTGATATGTTTAACATGTTGTGGTTCCAATGTGATATTTTTAACATGTTGTGGTTCCAATGTGATATGTTAAATATGATGTGGTTCCAATGTGATATGTGATGAATGTGTAATATGGCGCTTTCAGCCTTAATTACCATTTTCTGGAGGGATAATTCTCTTACTGAGGAAATATATATTAACAATTTACATAATTGCTGGTTCTTCCACAGAATATTAATATCCTAGAGGGAATCCGGGATTTGCATAGTCGTTGATTATTAATCAAACCGTTAATAGTAGTTTTTAATTATCGATTGGTAATTGATCTGATTTGGTTTGAGTACTGTATTCGATGGAGATTCACAAGATAAAAGTTCTCATGCTTCTGATTCATCGAATTTTATTTATCATCAGAATAGTTTAATACGCCCTGAGAATCCCAGCTTTGACAGTTGTTGATCATACGAAGCTTACAAGGCCCTGCAAACCTAAAGAAGGAGAAGATCAAATTCATCCGACATTACTGATACAACTTTGTGACCTCGTAGCTCATTTTGTTTTCATTTTACGAAAAAAATAGAAAAGTTAATTTATTTTTTTATTTTTCAAATTTACACCATTGAAATCACACTTAAATTAAATGGGCATTTACTTAAGAACATACAAGCTATTTTGTTTATTAATTATGATAACGTACTGCAGGATCCGGTTAATGTTGACTCTGACTGGAATAAGTTCCTTGGACAGATGGATTATGGGTTTACTTGTATTTTTGCCATTGAAGTCTTTCTTAAGGTATTCTTTATTGATACTTCACCCTGGATCGTATCTCCGTGAGATGTGGAACTGTATGGACCTAGTTGTTGTATCCTGTGCTATTACATCATTTACCATGGATATGATGTAATATTTTAAATACTGATCAATTTTCGTATTCTATCCTCTTTTAATTAAACCATCGCGATCAATTAATCGGTTAATTTACCTATTTACTTAAATGTTTATTTGACAGACAATATACAAATTATTACTACGATGTTTACAAAAGCTCTGGAAAAACACGATATTTTTTAATTGAAAAAGAGAATTAATCATCGGAGCCCTTCTTCTCATAATTTTTTGTTCTAGGCAAATTTTATTAAATTAGTTGAAAAATACAAAATAAAAAACACATTTTAACAAATAAATTTAAAAATTACTGATTTCATTTTGATTTTTGCAGAGGAAGCTCCGGTGCAGAAAACCTTGGAGTTATTAAATCCTTCCGTGTTATTCGTGTTCTCCGTCCTTTAAAAACTATTAAGAGAGTTCCAAAACTCAAGGTGGGTTCCTTAGTAGACAGTTCTTCACAAACCAAGGGTGTAATGCAAGGAAAGTTAATTGCTGTCGTGTATACTCTGCGTGCATATTGAAACCAGTTCTCTCTCGGCGGAATTTGTAAACAAGAATAGATGCATCAGTGTTCGTATAGTATCAGAGGAGGTTAAAAGCATTAAATTTGATAGTTTTGATAATTCACTAATAGTATCCTATGACCAGAATATTTCATCGAATTTTTTTATGTGAAAGATGGATCACATGTCAGGCTGTAACATCCGTCTTGTGTTTACATTACCGCCCAGAGACAGTACATGCAGTACAAAATTGAAAATGGGATCCCATTTATTATCAGAAATGAAAATATATTGACTCCTGCTCTAGTGTACTAGTGCCAGAGTAGAATATACAGGATGTCAAAAAAAACATGGGAATTCAGTGACGAATTCGATATGTCTTTGTTATGGATTAGCACTGAAATACCTAATTTCAAAAGCCATAATATTATTATGTCTGCTGGAGTTTATTTTATGACAAGGGCAAAAGACTGTAAAGATGTGTCTATAATGTCTCCGCATGATGAACAGTAACGACGGACAAGTTTACTCTGTTTGTATACTATAATTTTCTTGTTTTACTAAGTACACCCTTATGCAGTCAAAACATAAACAAATAAATTGTAAACATAGCAGACGAAACTCTTACAGATTACAGCTTTCTCAGTAGGTATCCCTATACTAAATCAAAGAATTATTTAAAAAGACGATATCGAATTCGTCACTGAATTCCCATGTTTATTGGGACACCCTGTAGTTCTGTTATGCTTAGATAGTTCTACCACTCGCTATTTGTACTATTTATACATCATAGTTCAAAAATTGTTTAACTTACCGTGCCTAGATAAACTTCTTCGAAATATCCATTTTGAAAAGTAGTTAAGCATAATATGGCTAGATTCAATACTTCTTTAGTGTACTCTCAGTGACAGGAGATAAGTACTAAGTATAAACTATTCTCTTCACTTTTTTATTCTTACCTAAGTTGTTTACTATAATATGTATTAACATGTTTAGGCGGTATTTGATTGTGTGATAAACTCGTTGAAGAACGTGTTCAATATTTTGATTGTTTATCTGCTCTTTCACTTCATCTTCGCTGTCATAGCCGTCCAGCTCTTCAACGGCAAGTTCTTCTTCTGCAATGATGCGAGCATGGAGGATGCTGACACCTGCCAGTAAGTTAGTTTTCTTGAGATCACAACTTTTGAATGTATGGAACTGATTTAAGTCAAGTCTGATATGTTCATTCAATGTTCTTATGGTGATTTTTTTTTCACTAATACAAATTATCTAACCCCTTTAGAAACTGATGGTGAAAACCTTTAATATTGCAAACTTAAATGATTTGATCTAACTGAGCCCATGTGGTTTGAAATATAAAAGGTTTACTACATTGGGTTGCAAAGATATAGGGAATAGCAGAACTCAATTTAACTAGGTTTCTTCCATTCAAAACTTCTTATTTTTAAAATACTTATTTTTGAGATTTTTTATACCTTTTGTATCAAATGACATTCTCCCGAACCCCTGTGAAAATATGAATGAAACCGGTTAGTTTTGTTTCATTGTAATTCCTCTGGTCATAAAGTTTTTGTGTTTTTCAATCCAACCTTTTAACTTTAATATTTAAAAATATTTTGTTTACAATTCAATATTGAATCTTTCTTTTTCAGTTGGTTCCATTTGATTAATAATAAGTGTTAAATAGGATGTTTTTTTCTCAAATCTGGGTTTCTTTATTTTACAATCTACGTGCACAGTTCCAGTACTCCTACTCCTACTCCTTATTTTACTTCTATTTATATTCCAACTCCTACTCCGTATTTTACTCCTATTTATATTCCAACTCCTACTTCTACTTCTCCACTCTTAATCATACCCCAACTCCTACTCCTACTTATATTCCTATACCCTTATTTCTCCTTCACTCGTATTACTATTATTGTATATGAATAAAAATCAATAAAGCAATGCACTGAGTTTCTCAAATATTCTACGAGTCGGTTTTTCTTACGATATATTTATATACAAAAGAGACAAAAAATACAAACTCTAAATCGAACGATACTTATACAAACTAAATATTATGAATCAAATCAGTTTCATCAAATAGGAGAATTCTTCAAGGGAACCTAACAAATAGGGAGCTGGTCTACTTTTCGTCCTTACAGATGATACAGTATTAAGTACATTCAAAGATGCATTATATTATATTCTAAAAAATGATTTTAAATTACTATTTCAAAAAAATATTTTTCAGGGGCGAATTTTTTGTGTTCGGGGAGGCCCTAGAGCCACCTTCAGTGTTCCCCAGGGTCTGGAGACGACAGAAGGAAACTTTAATTATTTTTATGAAATAATGGTATTCCCTTAGTTTGTTACTTTGTTCTACGTTAACGAAATTTCAGCTGGCTAAAAAAGGGGAATGTCGGATTCATAATCTTTTAACATTGTTCAAATCAAGAATTAATTTAATATCCTTTTTTTCATTATAAATTAATCTATCTTTAATTGTTGTGACTTTTGAAAAGATCTATGCTGCAAAGACAATAGAAGAAATTGTCAGAATTCAACACATTTATCGATAGAAAAACAATATTTTCCTCATCGTTACTCAGTTAGAGGTTTGACTGAAGTGTATTGTTGTGAATCAGACATTAATGGTAACTTTAAATTATAACTACGCAAGTGCCTGAATATGAAATCTATTTTTTAATTTAAACTTTAATCTATATTCTAAAAAGTATTTAAATAATTAACCCTGTATAGTTCCACTATGACAATGTTCCCGTAGCCTGCTTAACCCTATTTGCTGTGCAAACGACTGAAGGCTGGCCAGTGTAAGTACATATGAGCGATACACTACAAGATGAAGAATTAACGTTTCTTCTTGTTTAAAAACGTTCTTTTGAAAAAAGAACAAATATTTTCATAACAACGCTAAAAATTCAACTCAAACTAAAAATTCTAATTCTTTGGAACCTGATGGTGTAAACCTCTTTTCTAATTTAGCCTTTGTTATCTAAAAGAATTATATAGTTCATAATTGCTAAGTAATATGACATCAGGTTGCAAAGATTCAGGGATTAGAAAATCAAAGATTGTTGCAAAAAAGTGGGGTAGGTGCGAAGGTACCTAAATGCATAACTAGCACAGCTAAAAAAATACTATTATTATTGTATATTTTATTCCAATTGATAAAAACATTGCCGAATATAAAGTCTATGGGAACCCCGCTAAATGGTATGCGGGACTGAAGTATATTCTCCAACTTCTTCTTTAAGATATTCTTCCTGGTTTGAACTTGGTTCCTGCTTCATCTTAGCATTATTGAACTTGGTTCATACAAAAAACTCAGTTCTTTTGAGCCCCAACCTCTATATGGGATGTTTTATCTTACATTATGAAATAAAACAAATTTCTTGTTTTTTAATGCCTAATTTTTTTAAGATTAGAATAACATTCTTTAACTATAACTGTCCATAAACCTTTTATTGGATTTATATAAATAATTTTGGATGATCGGTCCAGTATTAGTATTTTTGCCAAGTCAAATTTATACACAAAAGGACATTTTACTGTTTTACATATTTACATTTTTAAGTAGATGTGATACATTATCATAATAACAGATTGAAACTCTAACAATTTAATCTATGAATTATCAAGAAGGAATAAACCGAAAAACATTATTTATAACAACTGGGATGAGAAAAGCTGAAAGAATGTGTTCAATAGGTCGCATATCAAAAGTGTTATTTTATTATTTATTATTAATTGGTTTTAAGAAGCTGAAGCAAATCTGTTTTGATGATTAATTAATCTCAAATTCTAATTCTACTGAATTGAATGCACATTTTTCATAATATTTGTTTTTCATCTCATTCTTGATCTTTCCTTTCTTTCTTGATAAATTTAATTATTTGATTTAATTTAGTGTTCTTCAACAGTCTATGGCTGTAACCTACGAAGACCAGGGCCCTATACCAATATACAGGTAAACTTAAAAAATATTATTTTCTTTTAAAGAAAGTTCTTAAACCGATCAAAGACTAAAATATCAAAATTTAGGATTGAGATGTCAATCTTCTACATAGTTTACTTCATCGTCTTCCCCTTCTTCTTCGTCAACATCTTCGTGGCCTTGATCATCATCACCTTCCAGGAGCAGGGGGAGGCGGAGCTTCAGGAGGCGGAGATAGATAAAAATCAGGTAGGTAGCGGAAGAACTATAGAAGACGGTGAAAGACTAGGTATGTATTAGCGGAAAAATTAAAGGAGGTATGCAGTGGTGGAAAAATAGAAGGTGGAGATAGTTATAAATCAGGTATTTAGTGGTGGAACTATAGAAGGAGGAGATAGTTATAAATCAGATATGAAGTGGTGGAACTAAAGAAGGTGGAGAAAGAAGTTATAAATCAGGTATTTAGTGGTGGAACTATAGAAGGAGGAGATAGATATAAATCAGGTATGTAGTGGTGGAACTATAGAATGTGGAGATAGTTATAAATCAGGTATGGAGTGGTGGAACTACAGAAGGTGGAGATAGATATAAATCAGGTATGTAGTGGTGGAACTATAGAAAGTGGAGATAGATATAAATCAGGTATGTAGTGGTGGAATTATAGAAGGTGGAGATAGATATAAATCAGGTATGTAGTGGTGGAACTATAGAAGGAGGAGATAGTTATAAATCAGGTATGTAGTGGTGGAACTATAGAAGGTGGAGATAGTTATAAATCAGGTATGTAGTGGTGGAACTATAGAAGGTGGAGATAGTTATATATCAGGTTTGTAGTGGAAAACTATAGAAGGTGGAGATAGATATAAATCAGGTATGTAGTGGTGGAATTATAGAAGGAGGAGATAGTTATAAATCAGATATGAAGTGGTGGAACTAAAGAAGGTGGAGAAAGATATAAATCAGGTAGGTAGTGGTGGAACTATAGAAGGTGGAGATAGATATAAATCAGGTATGTAGTGGTGGAATTATAGAAGGAGGAGATAGATATAAATCAGGTATGTAGTGGTGGAATTATAGAAGGAGGAGATAGTTATAAATCAGGTATGTAGTGGTGGAACTATAGAAGGAGGAGATAGTTATAAATCAGGTATGTAGTGGTGGAACTATAGAAGGTGGAGATAGTTATAAATCAGGTTTGTAGTGGAAAACTATAGAAGGTGGAGATAGATATAAATCAGGTATGTAGTGGTGGAACTATAGAAGGTGGAGATAGATATAAATCAGGTATGTAGTGGTGGAACTATAGAATGTGGAGATAGTTATAAATCAGGTATGTAGTGGAAAACTATAGAAGGTGGAGATAGAAATAAATCAGGTATGTAGTGGTGGAACTATAGTAAGTGGAGATAGAAATAAATCTGGTAGGCTATATGAGGCAGATATTAACAAGCAGGCAAGAAATTTGTTAATAATCGAATTAAAATCTTAGCATTGTGACTTGTAAATTTATATTTTCATGTATTTTTTATTTAAATATTTTATATTTAGATATATATGTATATATAAGTTTATTTATATTCATTTATCAAGGTTACCCCTTATGTACACAACTTAGTATTCCAGTAGGATATCCAATAAGTTTGGTTGAGGGTTGTTGGGGGAAATCTCAGTAGAATTTATATTAATATATATTGGGATATGCCAAGGGGGGGGGGGGAATTAATGTTTAATCAAAATTAAAAAAAGTAATTTTAAAAATAATTTGTTTATTTTTTTTAGAAATCTTGCATCGACTTTGCCATTAATGCACGTCCATTGGAGAGATACATGCCTGAGGTAGGAATTTATTTCTTATAAATTAATACCAGACTTTTCCTGTCTTACATATTACATAATTTAACAGAATCTATTATGTATCCTAACTTTTCAAATCAAATCAGAAATGTGGAGATTTTCTTTCAGTCCAAAAATGTATATTTCCTTACTAAGGACAAAGACATACAAAAATCAAAATATTTTTAAAACAAAAAAATTTAGTTTTTTCTATTCTAACATTTTTTTATTCTAGATTTTTACAAAGGAATTGAGTCTTTACCACAAACTCTGATTTTCTAATTTCTATATCTTTGCAACCAAATGTTGTAGACCTTTGATATTTCAAACTATTCATTCTGCTAGAGCTTATAATCTAAGTTTGAAATATTTAAGATGTACACCATCAGGTTCGATAGATATTGGGGATGGCAAATTTGAGTTTGTTGCAAAGACTCAAATCCTTTTCCAAAAAATTGAAATTAAGTATGAAACGTGAAGAGAATGTTAATTAGAAAATATAAAATATATATGTATACTTCCAAACAAAAACACATTTTCTTTTGCATGGCGATTATGGTGCACATTTTAGCACCACTTATTGCAAATATATTTTTGATATAATTTGTTAGCTTTGATAAATGTTGTCACAGTTTTTAGAAAATTGTTCTCAGATTTACCATATTCACTCCTTCTTAAACTTTTTTAATCTTTTAGAGACTGATTAGTCTCGCTATCTTGCGCAGCCAGAAGAAGGTAAAAAGTTGGTAGATCTCCTTGATCAAATTCTAGATCATCTTGATCAAATTTTAGATCATCTTGATCAAATTTTAGATCACCTTGATCAAATTCTAGATAATCTTGATCAAATATTAGATCACCTTGATCAAATTCTAGATCGATTCAATCAAACATAAAAAGATCAAATTGGTCAAATTCTAGATAATTGGCTTTAAACATAAATGGGTTATTGAGGGAAATAATAATAATTTCTGATCAAAATTATCAAATTTTAATTTTATCTATTTAACACAAAATTAGAGGTCAACACTTTTGTGTTTTAAATTTGATATTCATACTTAGGGATTAAATCCAGTTTTCTTAGATAACCCATTGTGATCATGTTATACCCGGAAAGAGGTTAAAACCTGCTGAAAAGCAATATTTCTCACAAGATTTCCTAAGATTAATCTCAATAATTTAAGAACATTCTGATAAATTGATAATTAGATAATTTCTTAGTTATTTTTATCAAGTCTAATCAATTGAACTTAAATAATAAAGGTTTTGATCCTTTTTTTGATTGTTTTGATCAATGAATTAGATTAATGTAATAATATGTTACTGAACTTGATCTTAAAAATTAGGTTTATAACGAGATAATATCAGAACAGAGAGATTCAGTAAATTATCTGATATTTCACTATAGTTAGAATAATTGTTAGGCGCAGAATATTTTCCATTATCCACCACCCCACCCCCTCCTCCTACCCCAGTGTTCTTTGCCCGATATTTAATGTTTTACGTATAACTTTTTTTTGGCACACTGTACATGTAGATTTGGTAGAGAAATACAACTGCATTCACGTTTGTTTGTTAAACACTAATTACCTTTTTCTGATGTTGGAAATTTTAATCTTTACTTTAATAGAAATTCTAAGATTCCCACTAATGATATATCGGTTTGTTTATTATTCATATAAATATTTTCAAATTAATTTTGTTCTTTTGAAGATGAAGGCTGAGTTAATTTAGAAACGAATCCATTTGTTCTTTTTTATTTTTATTTTCATTTGTAAAGATTTCAAAAAATATTTTTTTTTCTGTTTGTGAATGGAATGTTCCTGTAATTTTCAAATTTCAATCAATTTTTAAAAACTTACCATTTGCTAAATAAGCGTAGCCCAGCCTTATTTAACCCTAACCAGGGTTGGGGGGGGGGCGTTTTTTTTTCTGGCACTCTTATTTTTGACACTATCATCGTGAAATTTTGTTACTTTTATGAATAGTAATTTAAAGGATTTTATGTAAACATATTTTTTTATGCATAGGGTTGGGTACAGTGCAGAAAAAAGTCTGGTCTTTGGAAAAAAAATCTAAAATAGTCCATAAATTTTTTGTGACTAAAGCTACATATCTAAAAACTATATCTGAAAAGCCCTTGAAAAATAAATAAAGAAACATGTATCACACTTTAATATTTGTTTAAAACAAAGTAAAATAATTTTTTTTTTTAATTTTTCTGACCCTTTGGCGTTTTTTTTCAACCCTCCCTAACACCCAAACTATTAAAGTTAACGGTCTTAATTTTTTAAATGAGCTGGCCTTTGCAAATTGGGCTATGCACAATGCACATGCATTTCAAACCTATACCTATTCTTATTCTCTAAGGTCCTTTTCTAGAGGGGGGGGGGAAGGCGCAAAACCCCCCAGGCTATACATAGATTCAGACACCCCAGCCTTTATAGGGTTAAAAAATCTTTTAAAATCTTGATATTCTCCAGTTTCACTTTTCCTCTTGTATTTAGTGTTGGTCTAAAAGTGTATGAATACCATCTATTCACATTGTGAAGGGTATTTTCTTCTTCCAGTACTATTGTTTCATATAATATAAACTCACCAGGCTTTTAATTTTATTTATTGATAATGGAAGCAACAGGGGGAGGGATATTTTATGCAAATTCAACGAAATATAAATCATTTTTGTTTTCTGAACAAAATCACAATATTTGGGCTCCACAGATCTAGATCTATTTAAGTTTTGGATCTATGGTTTCGCCCAAGCATGTGGTCCATGGATCTGCAAAAGAATGTGGATCCATAAATCTGAATCCAATTGGCAAAAGTGACAAATTATGTTATGAAAAAAATAAGAAAATATGAAAATGTCCCCAATTTGTATCATTAATCACATTGAGCAATTATGTTTCTTATTAATTATATGTAGTTTAACAGGAAGAAATAAATGTGTATTTAAATGAAGTTTTTTATGTTTATTTTTTAATTAAACTTCTTTATCAAAAGTATTTCCTATGTTTTTTCTAATATTGTTCAAAACATGTGTTCATAAAATAATCGAGGGAGAATTAATGAACACTTCTAATGTTGTTCAAAACATGTGTTCATAAAATAATCAAGGGAGAATTAATGAACACTTCTAATATTGTTCAAAACATGTGTTCATAAAATAATTAAGGGAGAATTAATGAACACTTCTAATGTTGTTCAAAACATGTGTTCATAAAATAATCAAGGGAGAATTAATGCACACTTTTTTACTGTTCGCAGTTCTCTGAAGTTTTTGAATAGACATTTTCTCTTTGACAATAAGATTTTCTCGTTATTAAGATATAAGATACAGAGAATATTAATGTCATAAACCTTTCTGATATGCTGTACCAAAATAATAGTGTTAAACTTGCAGGTAGTTTTAAGTTTTGTGTGTGGATTTTATTTATATTAAGATTGAAAGCATTACTCTAAAAACATTTTTAACTCTCCTATCTTTTATGACCTAAAAGGTAGAAAAATTAAATTTTTTGGTTAGAAAGAAGTTTAAAAATTATATGTTTTATCAAAAGCTTTCCAGTGAAAGAAGCTGTGACTGAAAATATACAATATTTAAATCTAGGATGACTATTACTTTTACATAGAGTGCCTAAGTCATTGAGAACTCATTTATGATTCTTTATTAAGCCTGAAATTCTGTCTAATAATAAGTGTTAACCTTGTAGCCCTGGTATTCCAAGCACCTGTAGTACTATGCACAAAAATGGATGAAATTAAAATCACAAGAAATTGAACCTAGTGATGCTGTGATGTATTTCACCATGTAGCTGTTATATTTTGCAACGACTGTACACAAGCTTTTAGAGACTAATAAACCCATGTTAATAAATAATATTTCCTTTTTTCTAATAATAATTAATTTTGATGATATTTTAGGAGCGGGATAGCTACAAGTACAAACTATGGCGACTGGTTGAATCTACGCCTTTTGAGTACTTCATCATGACTTTGATTGTGCTTAATACAATTCTTCTCATGCTTAAGGTAAGGTTTTCATGTAAAAACATTATTTAATATTTGTTTTACTGCATCTTACAATTAATCAGATGCAGTCTTAAAAGATATAGTTTACAAGTTAGGTTCATAAATTGCTTTTCATATCTTTATAAAGACAAATAGTCTGGTTTTAAAGTTAAAACCACTGAAATCTAGTATTTTTTTAGAGGAGAAAACTAATGAAAGATGTAGTTCAAGGTTGCAAACCTTTTGAAAAATGTTGTATAATGAAGGTTTAAATATTGTATCAAAAAGGTTATGAGCCACGAGCATTTGTGATTTATGCCATGCCTCAATTTGCCATCATAAGCTTTTCAAATCCTGTATAGGAATGCACTTTAAATAGTTGAGCTTTTTTTTTTAAAGAACTAGAAGAAAAAGCAAATATTTATGATGGCATAATTCCACACCCAACTTGCATGTAGGTGTCACACTTGATAACATGCATTATTTACAGCAACATACAGCCTAGGTGCAAGCAGTCTTGATTTTTTTGTTTTTATGTTTTCAAAGTGGTAAAAATATTTAGAATATTATTATACCTGGAAATGTTTTTTAAAGTAATTTATTTTCCCTATTCAGTGAAACTTAAAAATACATTCCTGGCATGCTGGGGGGGAAATTATTTTTCAAAAGTGGAAAAAGATTTTTTAAGAAAATTTATATCCCTGACTTAAACCATAGTTTTTAAAAAAAACAATAAGATCAGACTGTTTGTTTAAATCTAAATTTATGTATGATCTGTTAAATATGATGCAGTTATAACAAAATCCCTACAATTTATCCATTACTGTAGTGTATAGACAGACTTAGATGTAATTTAAACCTGGAATTGATTTTATTTTATCAATTACAAACTCAGACATATTTGTCTGTTTTTATGATGCTTACCTCTTACTCAAACTCTCCTATCTTCGCAACATTATTTGTAAGATTTTGATATTAACAGTGAATTCTCCTGGATCACAGATTCAGTTTGCAATGTTAGAAGTGTTCTGTAAACAATCAAGTTGCTAAGATATTAGGATTTAAAAGATTTTGTGACGGCGGCAATTTTTCAGAACTTTTATTGTTGGACATCAACCCTAGATATAATTCTAGAAAGTGCACAACCTGGCATTTCCTTTCAAACAACTTTTTTCCTAGTCAGGAATTCTTTTATAATGTTTTCTCAAGCATTAAACATTTAGTTTACTTTACTTAAACCTTTCCAGGTAAAGGAAAAGTGTGCACTTATTTGTGAGGGTGACCATGTTTTAAGATGGTTAAGGCTTGAAATATGAACTATTATATATTTCAATTATAATTGTGTAAAAAGCAAACCATAAACGTTTTTATCCATGTAACGTATAATACTAACATGGATTATTCATATTGTTTTCACTCATTTAAAGAGACTGTTGAAGTAATTTCAAGTAACTCATGCACCCCTGACCCTCTAGTAAAAGTAAATTCAACCTGAAGTCTGACCGTGTCAACCTTGTTGCACCATTTAGTCCTGTTGAGTGTCTGCTTTATTTACACAATGTCTGGGCGATACAGTACAAACTGGGACCAGAAAGGTTGACTTGGCTTGGAAATTCAAATGAACTACGGCTGCCCCTGAACTATCCATTTAAAGAGTTGGGTGTCTGATTCACAATGCATTGGTAGCATGTCAATCTTTGTCTCAGCAAAAATTATGGAAATTATCAAGAAAGGAAATTTATTGACAATATCTTCCTAATTCTTACTGGGAGGAAGGTTTAGCAGGTACCACAGTGACTTATGCTCGAAACCTTTTAAATGGGGTTATTAGAAAAATTTTAAAAAAGATATTTAATTAGAAAACTACATTTATGTTGTACTGTATACAGACATTTTTGCAAGTAGTTTAGTAGATGTTTAATGTTAAATGTAAACCATCCCTGGCCATATTCACTCATTAAAATTGAAAAATTTAACATCTACAGAGTTAGTTTTTGTTCTTCAATATTAGTTGTCCTTTTAATGGTCAATTGCATTAACTAACCTCAAATGTTGAATTTCTCAGGTACTCATCTTTAGAAGGAAAGGAAAACAGTGTGTAAGAAGGGGACACATGTTATCATCAAATTGTGTTTTAACTAGATATTTTATTACACTGGATTTATCCTAATTATGTGGGGAAATTGTTTGCATGGTCTTATTGTTCTATTTATTTTACAAACACAAGAAAGTACTGGATGTCATGATGCTGATCATATTAAAAAAATAATAAAATGATCACTCTTTGGATTGGGCACACCTTTCCAACACCATTTATTGTATTGTATTTATGTTTTATGTATTAAACATTACATAACCTATCCTTGGAAACATTTAGAACAATCCTTTATGTTTAGAAATAGGCCCATGGGTTTATCCTTGCTATCCTAGCTGTTGAGTATTAAGATTGTGAAAAAATAATATTATGTTTACTTTAAACAAAATATTATATCCTTTTCAAAAACAAGGTAGAAAGGGATTGCCATCTACTCAGCCCATTCCTAATTCACTATAGAGACCGGAACTTATGAATACTTTATTTAAAAATCTTTATCAAAACCAGTGATTGGGTTTTTCTGAGCTTTCATTCAAACCTAAACAGGCTAGGGGGTGGGGGTATGGGGCGTTTGACGCCCAACCTTTAGTATTTCTTCCCTAGAACTTTTTTGGGGGAGGGGGGGCATGGGACCCCCCCTGACTATACATGGATATAGCCCCCCCCCCCCTTTATAGTGTTAATAAACTGACAAACCAAAGGTATGCACATTAAACTCAATATAATTGTTTGCCTTAATCAATTAATTAATTATAAATTTTGTTCCAACTGATATAAAATAAAGTTGGGACAGGGGTAAATATTTTCTTGAAAATTACTTTTCACACCTCCTCTTTTCCCAAAGTAGTTCAGTAGTTTATGAATGAAAAAAAACTGTTGACTTTTGTGTAAGTAATAAAATTATTGTTATTTCATTTTTAGTTTTTTCTCAAAATATATACTCCTGAATTGCGGTCTCTAGTTCATCATCAAGGTGCATTTCATGATTTCTTTTCAGTATAGTTGCATAAGAATTGCACAGGGCTTTTGTAGATGCATTGTTGAGATAACCCCTTGGGTAACACATGGATGTAGTAGAGATGATGTGTGTATGTTTAGTTTTATGGAGCTCCAGAACCCTATTTACTCAGTCTTCATTATATGAATACTCTCTTCACTGGACTTTTCACTCTTGAGTGCTTTCTAAAATTGCATGCGTACGGATCAAGGGTAAGGTTTGAAAAGCTTAAGCAAGCTTGTGAACGTGATGCATGTGTTCCAACGCAGCCTGCTATTTATTCTACCTGCCTGCTGTGTGATTTTAAGCTTCTTCAAAAAGTGATCAGTTTCAATTATCTTTTATGCACTGTCAGGAGTGACTAAAACAAGGAGATCTGTATAGGCACATCTTCAAAAAAGTACATTGTAACCAGCTGTAATTAAAAAATGAACTAGTTTACCAAAAAGCAGGTTACAGTATGCTTAAGGAATAGTAATCTTTGAACATATGGCAACTCCCTTTACACATATGCATGAAAACCTTGCACTGAAGTTGGTGATGATTACTTCATTATACAATTATTTAAGTAAATGATTAATGATGAACGATGTGTACATATGAAAAGGTATCAATTAAAGGTTAAGTTTCTTGTTTATCTTGTGAACAAGTTTGCACAATTTTCTACTATATCTACACATTCTACAAGTTGTGCTAACTCATACTTTGCTACAACAGGATTTGGAATATTTATACTTTAAGGTTTAAAACTGTTATGAATAATTTTATGTAAGATTCTTCTAATATAAGATTCTTAGAAAGATATTTTAAACAGTTTTATTGCTAAAAGCTTTGGTTGAAAACTTTATTTAACTATTAATCTTGTAACATATGTCTTGTATTTGATCAGTTATTTTTTCTGAACACATACTGCACTTTGCTAATATTCTATACTGCATATCTTTAAAGTACAGACAAGAATCTAGGGGTAAAAAGATGTTTAGAATATATACCTGTATAGCTGTAGTGTTGGGTATCTTATCTGCATTTAGAAAAAAAATTATGAGTTTTTAATAATGTTCTAAATTGTCAATCTCTACATTTTTGCATTTCAATTTGCAAATAAAGTAGTTCCAAGAAATCAAAAGTAAATACTAAATTTTTTTTTAAATCTTAGAAAACCTTTATTTTTTTCAACACTGGTAAAACAGGATACTTAACACTATTCAGCAATAGTTTTTAGTATTCGCTCTATTTAAAGAGTGAAATGCTGAATTAAAGTGTAAGCATTTAGACTACTCAGCCCAATAGTTTTCAATTGTTAAACTTACCTGGATTCTTGGTTGTCATTATTTTGCTTGGTTTGATTGTGGAGTCCCTAGTTTCATGGTGCCCCGCTGATACTTGTGGACATCCTCTCCTACATGAACCTTACCTTCACCTTCTGTTTCTCCATCGAGTGCATACTCAAGCTTATTGCATTCGGACCAGGGGTGAGTAATCCAACCTTGGGTTGGTAAAGTAGCAATATGTCCAAATGATTTTCAATTTATCTAATTATTCATTCCACATTTCATTTTTACAGGCTGCTTAATGTTTGAATCCTTGAAATTCACAAAATATTCTTTTAGCTGATAAAAACCTTTGTTTAAATTCAACTTTTTTTTACAAATTTAAAATGTTGTAGTCATGATTTACTCTTTCAACAAAAGAAAACTAAATATAAACTATCAACACTTTTATTTTTCACAAAATCCTTTTAAGCTAGTCAACAGATTTTTATTTATCAAATAGGTTCAAGACTTTTTAAATATAATTCTTTTGTAACTTCAACTGAAATTTGATACTTGATGGATGTTAAAAATATTTCTAGGAATTTGACAGAAATGTGAGATCCCAGAAATGCATTTCCAAAGTTTTTGACTGAAAAGCCAAACTTTTTCAATTTTGAAAAAAACACTCTGATTGACCATCCAACAACTCTTTTACTCTACACAACTCTCCCTTTCTCTCACTACCCTAATATTTCCATAACTGATGGGTATATATTTTTAAGAACTACCCCCAGCCCGGGGCTGGAAATAATTTTGAATACATTGGTGAAAACAAAATTAAAAATCAAACATTAAAAATCAAACATTAACTATCAAACATTAACTGGCAAGTTTTCCACCCCAATTGATTCATATTAAGGAGCAATATTTTTCAAGAAGGGTGGCAGGGTAAGGGAATATATACCCCTGCTTGAACTGCTTGATACAGCACTGCCTTGAATTCAAGCAAGGTTAAATCACGAAGAATTTGCATGAAGTATTTACTTCATTATTTTGTTCTCATTCTCTTTGAAACTTTTTCTGAAAAGGGACTGTCAGTGGATTTCTAAAATAACCCTCCATTTAAATTGTTAAATTTCCTATTTTGGTTGAGATATTTTTATTATTGTGACTTGGACTTTTGGAGTAGAGACACAGAATGAAATTGACCAAATTTAACTTTTCTCAAGGTCAGAAATCATGATATCTTTCCAATTATTTGTCAAATAACATTTTTAAAGAGGTATTGTTGTGAACTTTAACCTTTAAATAGAGGGTCCTTTGAAATAAAGTAGATGCAGCCACTTTAATTATGTTTTTCATGTGTCGGTTGGTTTTATTTTATTAAATATTATTAAGGTTTGCTTATTTTTCTTCAAGTTTCTAAATATTTTGAAACTGTTGTACATACCAATGTTGTACATATTTTTTGCTTAATAACATACTTTTTAAAACAACTTTTGAATAAAAATATTTGTGATAATGCATTAAATATTTACAAAAAAATTTATGAATAAGTTAAAAAAAATAAATTATCATTACAGGTATTTTACAAAATATGTTGATAAATATTAAAATGTAATATTATTACAGTTCTATAAAATAATTTACAAATAATGTTGTTAAATAATGTAAAAGATTGTTTAATAATGTTTAACACTTATAATTAATTTGTTTAGAGTTACTTCAAGGACAACTGGAATATATTTGATTTCATCACAGTTGTTGGATCTATTGTTGATGCATTGATGGTGGAGTTTGCGGTAGGTTTAATAATTAATTTACTTTTTTGTTAATATCATCGCCTCGTGATCGTTAACCCTATACCGATTGGGTTATTTTTGTCAAATATAGATTGGGGAAGGGTGTTTTTCACCCCCCCCCCCCCCCCATAATTATGTCCTTACGAGTTGAGATTGGGGAGTGTGGCACATGTCCCTAGTCCAACTTTTCAAGTCCTGCTCATTAAAAAAATAAGAACTCAAACTTTAATGGTTAAAAAGTTCAAAAAGTACAAAAATAATCATTTTTACTTTTGACAAATATTAACATGCGACAATTACATCCATTTGTCAAGGACTTATCAAATATACATTCAGCTTAATTAATAAAAAAGTTATAAAACAATTCTGATTTTTTTAAACACCGGCCATCCGTAGGGTTTGATCATACCCTATGGTTTGCAAAATATGTGTAGAACTATGATGCTGAAAAGTGAAAAAGTTGAGCAGTTTAAAGCTTATTTAGAAGAAAAGCGGTGGGTGGGTGATAGATAGGGTTAATTTACTTCTATTGCAGACTTTTCATGCACTAATTTATTCCTAGAGATGATTATAAAAAAGGAAGAAAAAAAATTACTAAGACAGTTCTAATTTTTCCACCCTTCTTCAAAGTATGAACAATTTAATTAACTTTAAAATATTTCTTAGTTTTTACCTTAATTCATCTTATCTTGAAAAAAAAAGAAATTATTCCTCTAAAAATTTTTTAAAATTTTTATTAGTTGATAAAACAATATGAAAAAAACTGATTTTTTATTTCATTAATTTTATTTTTAAGGGAGATATTATTGGGGTGAGTATTTGTAGTTCAAACCGGGTTGATATAATTTTACATAGTATATTGCAATAGGATTTGGCATTGAGAAATGTTCACAGTCAAATTGTAATCACCAAAAAAAATTGTATTTAAAAAATGTCATCCTCTGCCAAATTCTAGCCAAATTAAGGTCATAAAAAATAAGCACTATGCTAACCCTTATATCTTTGAAATATTACAAACTATAAATGATTCAAATCAAAAATATTACATCTAAAATACCCAAGGCTATAAAACCCAGTTGCTAAGATATAGGGATTGAAAAATTAAGGTTAGTTTCAGTTATTTAAGTTCACTTTCACTTTCAATTTATTCAAAACAAGAGCTTAATCACTCTATTGCCAATAAAAGAACAAAATGTGAAGAAGAAAAAAACTGAATTAAGTTTGAAAATGATTTTGATCTTTAGTTTTTACATCTCAAAGCTGTGAAATTTATTGATTCTTTGGTTGAAAGTAGTAAAAGTAGTCTTTCGTACAGTTCACTTCACATGTTGGCGAAATATGTACTGTATGTACAATGTACATTAATAGTAGAGCATCAGTATTATTGCTACCCTGCATACTGCATATATACAGTGAGACCAGATAAATATGCGCCTCTTTTAATGAGCGATGCGATACTTTCAATTAAAATGTGTTAATCTCTAATATTCAAAGTAGACGCATTTTAATTCATGAATTTAAACTCTTATTCCATGAGAACACCTGATTTGTCTTTCCTAATCTCCCATTGGCAGAAAGAAGACTTGTTTTGTCTTCTAATCTAGAGATATACAAAAGTATTTAACTTAATCCATAGGATTGCAAAATATTTTGATTAGCACTTTTTAGGAAAAATTAGTTTGACCAACATTGTTGGCTTTAAAGCAGTTTAAACCTAACCTCTAAACCTTACTGATAATTTGTACTGATCTCTCACTGGTTTGATTTGCAGATTCATTGGGGGAATTCAAAACTTTGAGCAATTGGAACGGCCTTTGAAATAGAATGGTCTATTAAATCTTAGTTTTGAAATCTTTGAATCAAACTGTTAAGACGCATTTTATTTGGTCTTGCTTTTAAAATAAAAATGGAAAATGTACATAGTAATATATAATTATGATGTAACGAAATATACTTCACCCTTATCTTTTGCCGTTTTGTGTCGAATATGTTTTTAAATGCATTTTCAAGATTTGTAGATTTGTCGTGCACTTGTCTCACATGTTTTGCATCTTTTCATTGTGCAATATTTTGCATTGCACTAATGTGCAAAAAAATAATTGAGCTTTTTAACGTTTTTGTTCCTTTAAAAACTCATTCTTCACAGTAATATAATTTAAAAAGAATGTAACGTTTTGCTGATTTGTAAGCAGTAAAATTGTCCTTGGACTATCTACAGTGGTGTGTGTAAACAATTGTCAATGAATTCATTTAACAATGCCTTTAAATCTTTATTTGACCTTATGCAGACGACAGTTTTTTCTATTTCTTAAATCAATTTTTGTTTGAAACTTTCGGTTGTTAATTTGGAACTTTTCCCAGACCTTTCTGTAGTACTGTACATATTATACTTCACAAGCAGGGGTATTCACAAACATAATTTAATATCCCCCCCCTTCAAAATATGTGCATGCCCCTGTTCACTTAGCAAGTATTAAAATTATTAGGTATATTCAGAGTATATAATTAACTTCTATGAATGCTGTCCAATGGTAAATATTAACAAAGCTAAATAAAATAGAAATTAAAGAAAATTTGATTTTTTCTAGAAAAACTTCATCAATGTCGGTTTTCTCCGTCTATTCCGAGCAGCTAGACTGGTTAAACTGCTAAGGCAGGGTTACACCATTCGTATTTTACTCTGGACCTTCATTCAGTCTTTCAAGGTAAAACATGATATATATTTTCTAAAAAGAAAATTAATTTTTTGTCCTATATGTTGGGGAACTATTTTACTTTGTATTCCTTGTATTCTCTGTATTCCTTGTTTTCCATGTACTAGTGCATAACATGCATAATTTTACTTTCCTTTAGTCCTTGTATTCCTTGAATTCTTTGTTTTCCTTGTATTCCCTGTATTTCTTGTTTTCCATGTACTACTGTATAACATGCATAATTTTAATTTCCTGTAGTCCTTTATTCCTTGTATTCCTGTTATTCCTTGTATTCCTTGTTTTCTTGTATCCAGTGCCATGTATTCCCTGTATTCTTTGACTAGTATATGGATTGTGGATTGTGGAGCAATGTTTTGATTAAAATGTATAAAGATATTTCAAATATCTAAAGATTAAATACTTTAGGGGGTCAGGTTAAGGGGATGTCAAGAATGTTTAACTTTTATAAATTTAAAGAGTTTTTAATAATTTAGGATTTATTGAAATATTTTCTGATGACAAAATTTTAGGCATTGCCTTACGTTATCCTTCTGATTGCTATGCTGTTCTTTATCTACGCAATTATTGGAATGCAGGTATGGATTGCAGACAAATAAAATGTTAGGGTTTTTTTTGCATTTTCACAAAATCAAAGTACGATTCAGATGCACTAATTTATTTCTATTTGCAACAATATGGCGATAAAAAAATATTTTTTTATTTCATTTAATACTTACAGAAGATATTTTTCTAATCTGCTCTGGTATTATTTCAATTGTTTATCAAGTTTCAGTATGACAAATGTTTTCCTGGTAATAAGTACATTTTTAAAGGACATATTTAGGATCTGGATACGCATCAAAATGGATTAAATTCAATATACTTCATTTTTTAATTCAGTTATCTAAACTTTTTTGATTCACAGTCAAGGGAACGGAGTTTTTGACTGAAAATCAAGCTTTTTAATGACTACATCTTTACAACCTTATTTTAAAAACCTTTTTTTTATTTCAAGCTTAGATTATTTGTCATATTCATAGTTTGAAATATCAAAAGTCTTCGTCATTGGGTTGAATGATAAAAGGATTATAACTCAGTTCCTTTAAAATTATTATTTTCAACCATTGGTTTATCACTTTACTAGTTTTTATGATTAAACATCAGTTAAATTTATGTACAGGTGTTCGGAAATATAGATTTTGATCCTGATACGGAGTACAACAGACATGTGCACTTTCAGACCTTTATTCAGGGTTTAATGGTGCTTTTCAGGTAAACTGAAAGCAAATAAGGACTGTGGACTAAATTATGATTGTCCCTTCATTTCACAACTTTACCAATGAGTAACAATGATTAAAATACTGTAATAATCTTAAAAAGTGTATTATTCTGACAAAGGTTCAAAGGGTACCATTGTGAGTCAGACATCCCGCACCATACATGGAGCCCCCCTGCCCAACGTCTTGCACCATACTTGGAGCCCCACATCCCGCACCATACTTGGAGCCCCCCTGCCCCTTATTTTTATAAAAACGAATTGAACTGTTCAGCTTTTAAACTATCTCAGAATATTTCCATGCTAAGCTTAACTGTTTTATTTTTATTATGCAAACATCTCATTAGCATAAAGAGAGTGTTCACGAAAATGAGATGAAACAACGATTCAATATAGAATTGATTTGAGATAATTTTTTCCGGTGATTCTGAAAAATAACTGATTATCCTGCTAGCTAATACCTCTCAAAAAGTAAAAGCGCTTTTTTCCCCCTAAAAATCATTTTTTCTTTAGTTTAGCAAATAAAACCTTAAAAGTTCTGGGGGAAATTGAAAAAAAGGGTGGGTAATGATTGTTCACGAAAATATACACCCCCCAGATTATCTCCCCACCCTTCCAGACTGACTTTCTCTTTTAGATGTGCTACTGGAGAGGCCTGGCCTATGATAATGTTGGCCTGCGAGGCAGGGAGACCATGTGCCCTTGGAGCTATTAAACGAAATCAAACAACAGGTTAAATAAAACCCATGATGTCAATATAGCAACTACTTGGGACATGATCATGATCTTACAATAGAACCAGTATATGTTTCTACCTCAAAATCGAATTTTAAAAACAAAAATTTAATATATATATACATATATATATTAAAGACATTAATTATTCAATTTACTGAACACAACCCAAGATTTACTTATGCTTTACATATAACAATATACACATTTAAAAATGGATGAAAAATGAAAGCAAAAATAATAGTAATGATGATGATGTCATAAAACATATGAATGTAAAAAATAGAAATTTAAAATTATTAATGAAAAAAAAATTCATAACAATACCTTAATAGTGTTAAAAAAAATTTGTTAAAGGAATTAGCATTTAGAGGGAGTATTTTAAGCATTTAGAGGGAGTATTTTAAGTATTTTAAGTGCTCAAAATAGCAAATTACTCTTAAAATATGTGAAAATATTGCCACCTTAGCTAGAACTGTTCCTTTAAAAAAAAATTTCTATATCTAAATTTTTTTAGTTCTCAATAAATGTGTTTTTTTTCTCTTAAAATCGGTCAATTTTTAATATTTTTATATTTTATTATATTTTATATTTCTATAGTTTATATTCGGAAAAAACAACCCAGTTTTAAAAATACTCATGTATTGAATTTTTGTTTAAAATTCTAAAAAATTTTATCTTTACAACCCATTTTAAAACATTCCATATCCAAGTAGAATACGATATTGCTTTAGTAAAATGATATCTGAAAAATGTCACAAAATTGCCCTTCTATCGTTTTGGTGTCGCTGTAATGTGGTTCATTCGATTCTGAAATCAAAATGATGAAAATTATTATTATTTATTAAAAGTGTCTGGTGGAAAACATTAAAAGTAAACTTTAAGTTAAGTTAGTCTCCAGAAAAGAGGGGGTCAAAAGATATTTAAACTCCCCTATTTTCGACCCCTAGGGGGGGGCCCCCCCTGTATCCGCATCTTATTCTGAATCTATGATAATTATGAAAATGACAAAAAAAAAATTAAAAACAAAAAAAAACATTTTGATGCCTATTAATAATATAAAAGAAAAGAAAGCTGATGAAAACACTAATATAATATACACTGATTTAGGAGAGTTACTTGAACCTGGTAAATCGTGCGGATCAAACATCACTTTCCCATTCTTTGTGACCTTTGTGTTCCTCTGCTCTTTTCTTATGCTTAATCTCTTCGTTGCTGTTATCATGGATAACTTTGATTATCTGACTAGGTGATCAATCATATATCAATATATATTATATAGTTGACTAGGTGATCAATCATATATCAATATATATTATATATATAGTTGACTAGGTGATCAATCATATATCAATATATATATTATATATATAGTTAACTAGGTGATTAATCATATATCAATATATATATTATATATATAGTTAACTAGGTGATTAATCATATATCAATATACATATTATATATATAGCTGACTAGGTGATTAATCATAAATTATAGGACTATATACATAAAATCAATGAATAAATTGAAACAGGGTCACGCGCAAACAAATTTCATTGTTATTAAATGATGTGTAAAGAGAGTACAATGTTGTATTTAAAAAAGGATTCAAGAAATGAGAGTGCATTTTCCTATACGGTCGTCTCAAAATTCTGTACCCTTATCCTTAGATATCCAATATAGTTTAAATTAAAGGGAGTGACCGGCTAGACACGTTAGTTGAACTGAGAGTGGAATATTTTAGAGGACATTTTTAGAATTCATGTGAGACCCATAAGAGGTTTATACGCTGTATAATTGTTCAGCAAGAGCCCAAATTCGAAGCACAGCTTTAAAAGACAAAAGACTTTTCTCGGTTTAAAATTAATGTTTGGTACAAACTGTTGCATAAAACTTAAAGACAGCATGGTATTGATTCATTTAATTTGTCTTACGAACTTGAAATGAAAAGATTTGTTTAAAAGCTAATAAATGTGTCAAAAAGGGACAAGTTTAGTTTGAAAACAATTTTAAATACTTATTTAGGGATTCCTCAATTCTTGGTGCTCATCACCTGGACGAGTTTATCAGGATTTGGGCAGAATATGATCCAAGTGCAGAGTAAGTTTTTGCTGGAATCGTAAACTGTAGACATAGAAGACGACATTGTAGCAATAGTTCAGTGTATTCAATTTTGTTTTACGTACAGCGTTAGGCGGTTTTAACAATATAATGAAGACGACTTTCATGGATACACTAAAACATGAAAACAGAGAAAAGCTGTCAATTAAAAAAGCTTCTCTTCAATTGCTTGTAATCTTGTAATTCGAAAAAAGCTTGTTAACAATTAAAACGTAATAAAAAGTCGTCTTCATTATATGATATCATCGCCTTCCACCGTTGTAGCCATTATTAAATCAGTTATGAAGTGAAATAGGTCTGTTTACACTGCACAATTGCCGTGTATCAAGTTCAAAAGACTAGTTACAGTCATAAATTGACTATAAAAGTCGTCTTTGAATTCCAGTTGTTTATTTTTGGTTCTCACTTTAAATATATGCGAAGCTAAAATTAGAATAAATGAGTTGTGGTACATTCATTTTAAAAATGGGTAAAACAGATTTATCCAACTTTTTTTATAAAACATTTGTTGGAATTTACATAAGAAAATCTTTAAAATGATTATAAACAATATTATAGGCAAGGCAGTGATTTTATCAAAATATGTAGCTTGCACATAATGCATATTGCAAGTTTGCAACTATGTATTAAAAATCTTATCATTGTCAAAATTAAACCTAGTAATCTGTTCTTTTGATTTTAATTCAACATCACAATCTTCGCTAATACGTTTATTTTGTTTAGAGGGCGTATTTACTACTCTGAGATGTATGATATGCTGAAGAACATGGATCCCCCCCTGGGCTTCGGCTCCAAGTGCCCGGACAGATTGGCCTTCAAAAAGCTGATCAGGATGAATCAACCAATAGATGAAGATGGGACGGTTCATTTTACCACTACACTCTTCGCTCTTATTAGAGAGGTAAATTCATTTAGTTCAAACCTTTGATTTTCAGTTGGGCTGTATTTTTTATCATCTTTTAACCAACATTACCGACCTATGATTCCCCCTACAGAGGGACGTTATGTTACTTAACGTACCTTGGGACAATTAAGTAAAATTACGTTCTAGCCCTGGGAGGTTTTCGTGAAAAAATTTGCGTATTTTCATCTCAAAGACGATAAAACTACTTTTTGGGTAAATTCTAAATTATGCTTGCCCAAATTTTCCCTCGACTAATTTTGCCTGCATGTAAAATTTGTCTTGGGAACCCTTGGTATAGTAAAATTCCCTTAACTTCACGCCCAATCACATTTCATTTCACCCGATCACCCAAATTGTTTCACCCAATTTTAGGTAATATAACTTCAACCAGGCCAGGCCAGGCCATCATGAATGCTTTATCAGCGCTATCTCCCCTAACAACTCTTTCATAGTCCTTCCAATGAGGAGTCGATTCCCTTGAGCTGCATTACCCGATGAACCGGTCAATCCCCCTTGCCTATGGTTCAACCCCAACAGATGGGCAATTCGGAACTACATGGGCGTCATTAATTGGGAATATGTTCCCATCATCCTACCAGAGGGGGCAGTTGACTTACGGTACCGTTGTTAATCGGACATGCAATTTTATACTCAATAAGTCACTTAAATTTTGTTTACAGTCCCTTTATATTATCGATTTAGAACTTGAGTATAAAAATGAGAAGTGCTGGAGAAATGGATCAAGCAGATGCTGAACTAAGAGCAACTATTTGTAAGGTAAATCATAATGTACTGCAGTCGATTTGAATACCTTGCAACTGATTCCGGTTGGAAACTATCAGAGCTAGGAAATTTATTCAGCGTGAAATTTCCAAGATCTTAGAAATCAAAGGAAAATAAAAGTGAACAGCTTTGTCTAATTAGAAATGAATGAGCTATTCATGTTTTTCTTATTTAAAAATTGATCATTTTCAACTAAGAATTTTTTTCTATTTAAATTGCTTGAGTATTTCTGCACATATTGGGACTTAGTTTTTATATTTATTTGTTGTGTGATAGGTTTGGCCGTACGAAGGAAAGGATAAAGTTGATCTTCTGGTTCCTCCCCAAGATGGTAAGATATTTTCTATTTTACGGATTATCAAGTACAAGAACATAAATAACATAAAGACCTAATTTGTTGTTGAAATCGCTTAAGAATGTGAAATCGTACTAAAGACGAAAAAATGAAAATTTTGTCCTTTTGAAGAAAAAAATGTCGATTCAGATTTCGAGGTTTAGGAGTCGGTGTACCATAACTTTCGTAGCCGTTTTTTTATTCAAGAGTTAAATTTTTTAATATATTTTTTATAGTTTTGATTTGGTTTTACTTTTGAATAAACTTTAATGGTTTTAAAAAGACAGAGCAAAAATCTATTCGATACAGGCAATGACCAACATTTAAGGAATTATAGCCAAACGTTTAAAACGAAGACGACTTTTCTTTTTTTCTGGTTATTCCTGTAGAAGTCTAGGGTTTCTGGCGAAATTGGGTAATCGAATTGCGAAAATTTCGCTTTCTTTTTCGCCGGAAATTTCGCAGTTTTTTGGATTCCGTTCGTAAAATAAAAAAAGAGCGAAATTGTCACATATTTTTTTTCTTCATAAAATTCCGCATCTTTTGTTCTTCCTTTCACAAATTTCATTCTTGCGAAAAAAATGCGAAAGTTTTCGTTCGCAGAAACTGTAAGACTGCCTGGACTAACAGGAAATTATCTGTTTAGAAATTGGAAAAGGAAAACTGACAGTTGGAAAGATCTATGGAGGATTACTAATACTAGAAAATTGGAAAACAACTAAATTTGGGAAACTTGTCTCCTCTGATAGACCAGTAAGCTTTTTATACCCTTCTCTAATAATTTGTAAATATCAACCTTTTTATTTATAATATTTCGAGGTCAGAACCTTTAATCTTTTAATATTTCTATTAAATTATCTAGAAATCTATATTATTATTAACTAAATAAATGGTCGTAATTAAATTATTATAAATTAATTTCCTACATCCTTCTGCACTCCCTTTAATTGTAAAATTATTGTTTTGTCTCCCTTTGAGACGGGGGGATAAACAATAATATTGTATTATATATATCAATAAAAAAAACAAGATCGGACAACTGATTTAAAAAATGTAAAATGCGCGCATTTTATTTGTATTGAAACACAAATTTGGACTTATGAAAAGTGTTTGACAAATGGCCTAAATTATTTTAAAGACTTAGTTTACAAACCAGTGCTAAGTAATGAGTGATTTTTGAAAATTGCGTCTAAAATATATTTTAAAACTTGAACTAATCGTTCTCGGCTCAAATTTCAATTGTCTAAATCCTCAGAACTTTGTAACCTGATATCGTAGACCTGTAATATTGTAAACAAAAAAATTTTACAGATCAAAAAGTCTGAAAGTTTGAAATATCAAAGTTTGTAAAGATGTAAGGATTAGAAAATTAAATATTTTCAAAATGAAACATCATATGTTTTGACTAATTAAAGGTGTTTGACAAAAAGACTGAGTTAATTTGAAAAATCAGTTTTACACAAGTGTATGCAAAATGTCCAGTTTGGTTGTCCCATCTTGTTTTGTCCCTCCAGAATCTCTAGCTAGTGTATTATATCCTAAACTATAGAAAGGGTCTCTCCTCCAACAAATCATGGGGTTGACCAGCGCTGGACTTAACGGAACTAAGGATACAGATTCAAACCTTAATAATCATCATAAGGTGAGGAATAGGTTGGACGAGGAGCATGCTGTTTAGACTAGATTATATTTGTAGATTTTTTGTGTGCATTTTGTATTTAAGTTGTGTTCTATTTTATTCTAATTATGTATAAAGAAAATGAGTTTTGTTATCTCTTTATCTTTGCAAATCGATGGTATAGACCTTTGAATGATATTTCAAACTATGGATTCTGTTTGATCATAGTCTAAATTTGAAATATCAAAGGTTTAGCACTTCGGGTTGCAAAGTATATGGATTTGAAAATTTCAGTTTGGGGCTCTTTGTTTTGTCTGTGTGTGTCCAATAAATGTCGTAACGGCTAAACCGACGAGGATCGAAATAGAAAATTCTTTCAAATTATTTTTATTTTAAAAATATTAGCAACCCACCAATGGTAACAGAAAATCCATGAACTTCTTGAAAAATGTACGTAAGGCTGCAGATCAGGAGAAAACTAGTTTTTAGTTAACATCAAATGTTAATTTAACAAACGCTCATAAAAAAAACCTAAAAAGGAAACCTTGACATGGAAACATTTAATATTTCAAACTTAAATTATTTAATCTAACAGAATTCATAGTTTGAAATATCTAAGGTCTACGACATTGGGTTGCAAAAATATTTATAGGGATTAAAAACTCAGGGTTTGTGGCAAAGACTCAATTCCTTAGATGTTTGTATTTATCGCTGAAGCCAAAAGCTAATTTTCGACAGATTAAGATTGCTTAAACGTCATTTTTCTTTTCCGACAGTTTAATTGCCCCTCTACAAATTAAATTAAAAAAGTTACGAAGTACGTGTGGATTTATGTGTTTTCCCTTTTTCGTGTACTTTCCACGGATTTAATGCAAGGAAAGTTATTTCAGAGGTGTACGCATCTTTGCAGTGTACTGTCACTGGGCGGTAATGTAAAAACAAGACGGATGTCGAAGCCTGACATGGGATCCATCTTTCACATAAATAGTCAATGAACTATTCTGGTCAAAGGCAACTATTATGTGAATTATCAAAATTATCTAAATTTAATGCTTTTAACCTCCTCGGATACTAAACGAACACTGAGGTTATTTTTCTTGTTTACAATTCCGCCCAGAGAGAACTGGTTTCAATATGTACGCAGAGTATACGCAACTGCAATTTAACTTTCCTTGCATTACATTCTTGGTATTTTCTAACTATATTTTTTAAAGTTAATGTACTCTCTTGTGTACTCTCTTGTGGAATGTATACATTTCAATTGTTTAAATTCAATGTCAAAAGAATTTCAATAAGTGTTCAGAACTTTCCAAAAATATAGGTTTATAAGGAAATATAGTTTAAAAATAACTATTCAATTATCACATTAAAAACATACTTTAAAAATATTTTGTTTTGCATGTATTTCTCACAATAAGTTTATAGCACGAATAATCTAGATAGAAAACGAATATATTTTCCCTAATTATAAAGCTTAGATAAACATTAAAAGTGTACCGTTGTGAATCGGTCAAGTACATTTTAAAAAAAGGGATCATTTAAAATAAATATTTAGCATGCTCAACACTAAGATTTACAAATTCTGATTTTTCGCAATCTTTCTGACAAATGTTATGTTTAGGTGTGTTATGTTGAAAAAAAGACAACTGTCTAATTGTTGTTCGTTTGACCAAAATTAGCTGGAAAATTGCATGTTATGAATTGTGATGTCATACTTTAATTTCTAATCGGTTCAAATATTTTTATATGGCTTTGGATTTCAACTTTTTTTAAGTCTTTTTTACCCCTAAAATTCACTTTGCTCCCACACCTTAGTTAAAAAAAAATTTTAAGCAAAATTTACTTTATAAATAGGGGGCCGAAATAAGTTTTATAAATAAAGTTATATCTGGTATCCCTTTTTATACAATTATCATTCCTTTATAAAAAGCTGGTTTTTTGGTATGCAACAATTTTTATTTAATCCCACCGGGAAATTTTCATTGAAAGATACTTTGAAAATCTACAAAGGCAAAAAAAAATCCGCAAACCCTCTGGTTTATCGTTGAATCCCCTCTTTAAAAAGGAATGTCATTTACTCTCAGACAAATTAGAATCAATGGAAATTTAAACCCCCGAGGGATTCAATGATACATGATACATTTATTTACTTTTATTAATGTTATAAAGATTTGTAAAATTGTATCTAACTATTCATATGTTGAATGTGTTAATTGAAAATTGAACATTGAGTCAAAAAAATTGTTGCACAGTTTTTAAAATTCAGACATATTTTGTGAAAAAATCTTCTTATATTAATCTGCTTGTTAAATGTTTTAAATACAATAGCCCAGAATGTTTCTTTATCTGTATCTGGTTATTATCGATGTTCCTCCATAGGCTATGATGAACGGTGGGCCCCGGATGGACCTGAAGTTGACACCCCAACTGCCCAGCACGACCCCTCGGCCCACTCAGCTGGGCAGGGAGTCACCTCTTTCATCCTACGGAGAGAGTTTTCAAGCGGATAGCCCGGATCCTAAAGATTATTTTGGAAGGTAAAAGTATTGTTGTGATTTTGTGCACCCTAGTTTCTGGTGTCGGTAGGGTCCAGGGAGTAAGTAATAGAAGGGAGATACAACTGATGTGGTTCGACCTACCATGTGATGATACATGCTTTGCAGACGGGTACTCCATTTGTATAGAAATAATCAGAATAGGTTATTGTATACGCGGTAATTGTACATTAGACAAATATTTCTTATTTACATGAAGTACCGTCTGCAAAGCATGTATCCTTACTCCCTGGTAACGTATAATCCCATTAGATATCAGTGAGGTGTTTGGCGTCGTTTAGAACCATAGCGATTGTACACACAGCCATTCACTTTCGCACCACATCTCTATCAAATTCAATTATCCAATCGAAAAAAAGACGCATTTAGCCACGCACTTCTCCCCCTTTAGTAAAAATAAATTCAAGCTATATGGAGCATAAAGTCTGACCGCGTCAACCTTGTTGCACCGACTAGTCCTGGCTTAGAGCTAGGTACAGTACAAACTGGGACTGGAAAGGTTGGCCCGGCTCGGAAATTCAAATGTACTACGGCTGTTCGTGTAGCGCTAAATAGTGAACGTTTTTTTCCTTCATAAAATGAATTAAAAAACGGAAAGTTTTCCAAAACCTGATAGATTCCTTTTTATACAACTAGGATTGGTACAAAAATCTTTGATACGGTTTGTTGAACATTGAAACCTTTCAATTTTAAACGTGAAACTATTTCATTGAAAAATGTAAAATTCTTTCCGCACGCAAAAATAATTTTATTGTAGTAAATTTTAAGTAACATTTATAAAAGAAAACAATTGTAAAAATTCATAATTCATTCAGTAATTAACGATCATAAGGAAAGGTCGATTTTTTATTTGTGATGGGCAACAAAAATGCACCTTGAACCGCTGAATAATGTCCATTCATTTGTTTTTCGATATCAAAAATCTGTTTTGTTAAATGCTGAAAAACTAGTTTCTTTGAGACTCTGAAAAATTATGTTTTTGCTTTGGATTTGCTTGATTTTTAAGAGAATTTAACGAATTTAACGTTTCTGAACGTGTTTCAAGACGGATCCTTTGATACCAATCTTTATTTAGGTTGACGACATTTTGTTCTGGGCCACATTAGTGATTTGATTTTCACAAAAAAAAAAGCAAAAATCGGAATAAGTTTAAAAATTATGAAAAAAATTGTAAAATCTTTAAAATATGGACTTTTTAAAAAAAATGTTATGCCTTAATTATTTTTCTTTAAGATGGGACAGCAGATCTCCCAGCCCGACCTACAACTATTACAACAGGAGACAACATCACCGGTCCCCACCTAAACGTAAGCAAACTTTAGATCCTGTCGCCAAATTTCAGTCCCTCGCAGCAAATTTCAAATCTTATCAGAAAATTTTAGAACCCATCAGTGATCCTCATAAAGGAGGAGAAGGAGGAGGTGGGTGGCAAGGAGGAGGGTATGGGAGCGGTGGTGGCGGAGGGCGAGGAGGAGGATCAGGAGGTGAAGGAGGAGGAGACGTATGGAATGATGGTTACGGAGGTCTATTTTTTGTTGCATTTTTTTAAGTTACCTCCGCGCGCTTTCTACAAAAGTTGGTCCTCATTTCTGTTTTTTATGTTTGCTTTTCTTTTGGCTATTTTATTGTCAGTTTTTTTTTTCTTTAAATGATTGATTGATTTATTGAAAAAAATTAAAGTATACAATGAATTGTTCAGGTGGAGCAGGATATAATGAATATATAAATTATGACTATGAGAGAAATAATCCGAGGCATGAGAAGAGAAGAAGAGCTAGAGATAGTGGGTAACTTATATTTTTCTTAATTTTATCTATTTTGAATTTAAGGGTGTTTTTTTTTGAGAATGCCAAATACTTTTTACACCATCAAAAACTTACACAGTAGCAAATTAGAAGCAGCAATAAAAAAGAAAAAGAAATCATTCAGTTTTTAACAACTTACCAAAAGAGAGATCATAAAAGAAGATCGATTTTTCAATTTCTTTTTTCCAATGAGCTATTGCGAATAACAAAAATGTTTTGAATTTCTAATCTGCAACAAAGTAAACTTGTTTTTCTTACTAGGGCATGTACAATCAAATTTGATGAGGAGTGTGGTCACAAAATTTGCATAAATTTGATTGTCCCAAGGTCAAAACAGGATCGATTGTAGACTGCCAAACCTAATTGTCTTGCAGCATTAGACAAATATTTCCTTTCTGAATTTAAGATTTAAAGGTTCTTGAAAACTTAATATATATTTATGATAATGTGTTTTAAATCAGTTTTAAGTCTTTATGTCTTTGAAACTTTGCAAAAAAAACTTTTAAATCTAATTGTGGGTGGAACTTAAACATTTTATTTTATTGGTTATAACGTTTTAAAATAAGGAAAAAAGCAAACATTTTTTCGATTTTGTATGATGAAAATGTGTTTTTTAATATTTTTAAAGTTTACTTTATTTAGGTTTTATGGAGGAGGCCATTCAAGAGAAGAGAGAGAGAGTGTTCGAAGAAAAGAAAGAGAAGATAGGGATAATATGGTTAGAGATTTTATCAGGTAAAAAGAGAAGAAAGGGATAATATGGTTAGAGATTTTATCAGGTAAAAAGAGAAGATAGGGATAATATGGTTAGAGATTTTATCAGGTAAAAAGAGAAGATAGGGATAATATGGTTAGANTATTAGTACTGTTAGAGTCGGCACACTCTAAAAAGCTCACTGTATGTAAATGAAACATAGAGTTGTATTTTCTTTATTCACACTCATTCTATCCACATATTCAGCTTCAGGAACGTACTAATATAAATCACAAGTTGATAAAAGAACTAGAAACAATAAGAATAAAAAGATTAAAACAGTAAATACTAAATAACCATTTGTTGTTAACATCAATAGACTCAATAGTTATTTGTTTAAATCATAATCAATAATTTATCAACTCTTAGACCTAATAGTTCAGATAATACGGGTTACTACAAAGCGAGCCTTGCCAGGACTAAGGCTTGAAACAACTCAAATAAATCTTTACTTAAAAAGGAATAATATATGCGTAGGGAAAAAAATCTCTACATAAACATAATTCTTCTTGTACCATGGATACATTCTATGGTATTTTGGAAGAATTTTTACCCCTGGTTGGCAGGTATATATCTGGAACCTTGTCTAGTCCAACCAAGAATGCAATACAGGTTGCTTCAAAAATATTAAGATCTCTTCTGCATATGCACGGTCCAAACAGTAGGATAATTAAGAAGTTGGATAATTAAGAAGTTGGATAATAAAGAAGTAGGAGGATGTAGAAGTAGGAGGATAAAGAAGTTGGATGATAAAGAAGTAGAAGGATAAAGAAGTAGAAGGATAAAGAAGTAGGAGGATAAAGAATTAGGAGGATAAAGAAGTAGGAGGATAAAGAAGTAGGAGGATAAAGAAGTAGGAGGATAAAGAATTAGGAGAATAAAGAATTAGGAGGTAAATAAGTAGGAGGATAAAGAAATAGGAGAAGAAAGAAGTAAGAGAATATAGAAGTAAGAGGATAAAGAAGCAGGAGGATAAAGATGTTTGAGGATAAAGAAGTAGGGTAATAAAGAAGTAGAAGTAGGATGATAAAGAATTGAGGTAAAAGTATAGTAGAACTTCAACTTAATGAAACTGATTAACCTTGAATAAATATCCCTAGGAATGGCAAAGGATGGAGTCAACCGAACTCTAATACTGGAGAACGATCTAGAAAACTCCCAAGAACTCCCGCCAACTCCTTGAATGCAATGGGAGTACTGCAAAGTATGCTAGGATTAAACCCTACACCCCTGGGTAGTATGAACACTATCAACGGGTCAGCTCCTAGTGTAGTAGTAAACCAAACTCTAGATTTGGCTGGAAATATGGTTAATGCGGTGAGACGCCTTCCGCAAGTTCCAGGACCTGGTGCACCGGCGCAGCAAGGAATATTTTCTAAACTATTTGGTAAAAAGGAAGCTACAACCCCTATGATGAGTCAAACTGCTCATCAGCTGCTGAACCAACAAAACATTGGAATGAACCAGCCGACCATGGGAATAAATCAGCCAAATATTGGGATTAATCAGCAGAACATAGGCTTAAATACGTTGAATATGGGATTAAGCCAGCCATTAAATGCCCAAAACATGGGATTAAACCCTCAGAACCTGGGAATAAATCATCCAAACCTCCAGCCTTTAAACTCCTCTAGTTTAAATCAGCAACAACAGATTTTAAACTCCCAGCAAATGTTGGGCCAACAACAAATGAACTCTGTGATGTATGGGCAGCAACAGCAGCAGCTAGGAGACCCTGCAATGCTGCAACAGCAGCTGTTGATGCAGCAGAATATGTTGGGAGGATCTGTGTCTAGTATACCAGGTCTATTACCTAATTCAGGTAAATAAACCAGAGAAACTACATGTCAATAGTCAAATTAGTTTTTAATAGGCAAAAATAGTAAGTTCGAATTGGAACTTGTGGCTCTTTTTCAATTAATTTGTTAATAGTTAATGATAATAATAAATGTAGCGCATCTAGAAACCAACCATCTTTTTTCTCATAACTAATTGTTCTTTCAGTTTTTCAAGAGAACTTTATGATATTATTTTAAATTATTCTTTTTTAAAGGTATTTGAGCTGTAAAAATTAGAAAATTTGTTAATAACTTTTTACCCAGCAAAGATTTAAAGCAGTGTCAAACATCAATCATAGCTCCAACAGGCTACTACGCCATGCTTCAGTATCAAAAGGGGTAGCAACAACTACAGTTCCGAAGTTGATGGGTAGTGCTAGCTGGGACCATAGTTTCAATACCTAAACAATTCTGGACTTAAGAAGCTTGTACGAACCAAGATCGTCGTAGGTTGCCGTCAAACAATATAATTAATAAAGTAATGATAATTTATTTATTGACGTCAAATGTGTGCCAGTAGCTGAGCTCTCATAGTTTTACGTATCTGATGCATCATCTCCTCTAATTGTTTGCTATGTGAGGACAAAACAAATGTTTGCTGGGTAAATATCAAAAGGTTCCAGATCATTGATTCTTAAAATTGTATCTGTTCAGGAACACTGCCAAACTTAAACCTGCCACCTGGACACCAGTCTGGTCTTCATCCGTCACATCATCAGCTAGCTCATCCTGGTCATCCTGGTAGTCACCAACCTTTACATCCTGGTAGTCATCAACCTCTTCATCCTGGTAGTCATCAACCTCTTCATTCTGGTAGTCATCAACCTATTCACCAACCTATCCATCCATCCAACCATCAGCCAACGCTACCGGAAACGCTTTCCTATCCCTCTACAGGTATTTTCCATTTTCAATACAAGATACAGTGAATCCCAGATTTATGCATATATAGGAAGAGTTTTTGATAATTACATATTTAAGATCAAATGCCGCGGAAAAATAAGTTTATTATAATAATATAATATAATTCAATTGTATTCATATTTCAGGGTTATTAATTTACCTTGAATTACAATAAAAAGAAGTTTCTTTAGAAAAACTTATGAGGGTCTATGTATTAATATATCTGGGATTCACTGTAAGTGGAATTAATATACAGCAAGAAGTTATTCAAGTATCACTCTTATCTAGACTATAAAAGTTATTCATCAAATTTTTAAACAGCCTCAACTTGAAAGCGTCGCTACGGCCTGGGCTTTGGCTTTACGTAAGAGTGTGCACATCTGGGTTTGTACTTTGCAGTGCTTTTTGGTACCTACTCTGCAAGAAGTATATTTTGATTTCGTCGAAGTAAAATATCAAGTGTGTCTACCCCTGCTTATATGTTGATATTAAACCACTTAACTGGAGCTTGGAAGATTAGCTATTGGGTGTGCTTAGGAAGCTTAAAAATCAAGCCAATCATGGACAGACTTTCGCTAATTGTAGAAAGGGCGCTGAATGACCTGCTGCCGGTGAAATCCTGAATCAATTACAAATATCATTAGAAACATTTATTATTAAATATTCATATTGTTCATAATAAAGGTTTATTATTAATTACTAATATTGTTCATAATAAAGGTTTATTATTAATTATTCATATTGTTCATAATAAAGGTTTATTATTAATTACTAATATTGTTCATAATAAAGGTTTCTTATTAATTATTTATATTGGTCATAATAAAGGATTCATATTGGTCATAATAAAGGTTTATTATTAATTATTAATATTGTTCATAATAAAGGTTTCTTATTAATTATTCATATTGGTCATAATAAAGGTGTATTATTAATTATTCATATTGGTCATAATAAAGGTTTATTATTAATTATTAATATTGTTCATAATAAAGGTTTATCATTAATTATTCATATTGGTCATAATAAAGGTTTATTATTAATTATTCATATTGTTCATAATAAAGGTTTCTTATTAATTATTTATATTGGTCATAATAAAGGTTTATTATTAATTACTAATATTGTTCATAATAAAGGTTTCTTATTAATTATTTATATTGGTCATAATAAAGGTTTATTATTAATTACTAATATTGGTCATAATAAAGGTTTATTATTAAGTGTTAATATTGCTTATAATAAATGTTTATTATTAATTTTTAATATTGTTCATAATAAAGGTTTATTATTAATTATTAATATTGCTCATTATAATGGTTTATTAATAATTACTAATATTGTTCATAGTAAAGGTTTATCATTTCCTACTAATACTGCTCAATAAAGTTTATTTTATATTTTTGTTTTTCGACCGAATCTGGCCAATTAAATTATCCTAAAGTATGAATCATGATCTGCTTCAGGGTTACAATTGGAACCAGGACAAAATTTGAGATCTCTACAGAAAGAAAACACTCCAAGACTTGTTCCAATTACGGGTTAAATTTGTAAAAGATTGGCCAATTAATTTATTACAATCATAAAATACAATATGCAGAGAAGGAAAAAATATATACAACATCAGGTCAAGAAAATAAAATCTTTGATAACTCGAAAATATGTGAAACATTCTTACATGGATACATACGTCTTATAAACCAAAGAAATATTGTTCAGAATAAAATTTTATTATGTATTTCTGATATTGCTCATTATAAAGGGATATTTTCAATTACTAATACTGCTTTCAATATATTAATTATTAATATTCCTTATAATAATGGTGAATTTTTTAGTACTAATATTACTAATAATAAAGGTTTGTTATTTATTATTAATATTGCTCATAATAAAGGTTTGCCCCAGTTTTGCTCTGGATTACATCCCTCAACTCAGAGCCAGCAGCAGAGCAAGAAACCGGGCGAAGGAAAACAATCAATTATTTTTTGATCTGATTTTTATCAGAGCAGTTCCTTTCCATCCATAAAATAAAATAAGGCTCTTTGCTCACATATATATATATATATATATGTTCGCTAAAGCTGGCCAAATTGGCTGACATTTTTCGATGAAATCTAGAGGTACCCTGGGCCGGGGGTGACATTGGCTAAAAAAACATTTTTTTAAAATTTTAAACTTTCATTCCGCTGCCAACGCCGGTCACTTCAGAATGATTCCTTTACTTTTTATTCCTTATCTTTTCCTCTTAAATAAGGATTTTTAAAAAAATTCTTAAAAATTAAAAAGAAATGGCCAAACTTAGAAGCCTAGCTGTAAACGTAATTGCATTTGGTCCTCCATTATAGGGGAGCCAATTCTCAGTGGTACCCTTTAAACCTTTATCTCAGAGCAATTAGGATGGAATCCACATTTTCTATCAAAATGTTATTAGGGTTCTATTAATTTTCTGTTTTTCATTTAAAGCGAACCCACGATCTAAAATAATCAAGTTTCATCTAGAAAAATAAGGATATATCATATACCCTTGATCAGGCATGGGTTTAAATGGTCGTACATGTACTGAGATATGGAACATTGAGTGTCCCTTGAAATTACTTTCACAGTCCCTTGGTAGGTGGGGGGAGGGTCCCTTGGTAGGCGGGTAGGGGGGAGGGAGGGTCCCTTCTTTCTCTATATATTTCCAGTTCATCTCAGAAATGTGATTTTTCATAGTTCTGAGAGCTTATCTCTCCTCGTAAAAATGAGTTTAAATTTCCGGCTTCTGAATATTGTAAAATATCCAAGTCAGGGCAGTTTATCTTATACTTTGTTTAGGCCCAGAAGCCAACCCTTCATGCACGCCTTAACCTCTTTAATTCAAGGGACAGTTAGCGTAATTTCATGTGACCTTCCATTTATATTGAGGCAGGTTCAATTTACAATGGTACCATGAAAAGCTTTGTCTGATCAAGTATGAAATAAATACTCAATTTTATTTAATACTAGCTGAAAGGCCCGACGTCGCCTTTAGAAAAAAAACATTTGAAAAAAAAGTTTGGCCGGCCAGAGGGAACATATAGACGAATAGCTTGTTTTATTATTTAGATTTTCAAAATCTTGGTTTCTTTACAAAAGTGACTGGCGCAATTCTATCGCGGGGAAACCACTGATTAACGATCCAAATTAAACCTTTTTTAAGCTAATCGATCACATAATAAGTTTTAAGGGTACTGTTATTATATGACACACAGTTTCATTAAGTTGTTTTTTATATAATACATACAAGTAATATTTTACTTAAACTCTTCTTAATTCCTTTTTTACTTGAAGCAATCAAGTATTGACACATTTAGAGATTAGATTGCCCAATTCAGAGCGGTCTCCAGGTTTATTTCTGTTAATTCTAATATGTTTCCTTGCAGTAGAAATGCTCAAGTCACTTTTGCATAGAAGTCCTATTAAAATAAAAAGTTTTAAAAATTATAAACATCATCTAATTCTTACTTGATCAGGCAAAGGTTTTAAGGGTACCATTGTCAATCGACATTGCCATCTTTGCATTGAGAGTCAATTGAATTAAAGAATTGAATGCATCGCTAGGGTGGGGAGGAAGAGGAGCTAGATTACCAAAGATACCAATCCCTCTTCCAACCAAGAACCCCAGGAAGGCGCACACCCTGGTGGGCGGACCCTTCTCCCGGTCCCTGGAGGAGGTGGAGGAGGATCTATTTCTAGAGAGGGTGGTGACCGTAGGGCGGGGATCTAGGAGATTACCCACACCTGGAGGTACACTTAGGTATGCTTTATAGAACCTTTATAATAATAATATTATTTCAGGAATATCATATTTTTTATTAAATGTTTAAAGTGAAATTCATATTTTAGACGTAAAAAAGAAGTTTATACATTTATAAACTTCCCGAAACAATTTTAGGTTTATATTCTTAGGTATACTCAAATCCGTTTTGATAATATTACTTTTTTAAATAATTTTTTTGTTTAATTTGTTTAAAATTAAATAAGCATTTTATTATTTTAGACGAAATAAATGATACAGATAGTTTTTTATACGTTAATAAACTGTCTAGGTGTATTAACTTTAAAGCAATAAGGTTTATTTTGACACCAATCAAACCATTCTTAATTTAAACTTCTATAGGTATGCTCAAATCAATTATTAAATCACGGGAATATTATTATTTATAACCAGTTAATTAAGTTTTTTTTTCTCTGAATTTTTATTTGTTCAGAAGTAAACTATTTTGTTAGATAAAATTAACATATTTTACTCAGAAAAGTAACATACTTATTTTTGTTTACCTCGTTTTTGGTACATTTTTGATTATTAAAGTTTTTATTTTTAATTTCAATGTGCAATCTTTGTTTCTGTTACTACAAAATATTTCATCAAAACGTTTTCATTGGTCGACTTTAATTAAACAGAGTAAAAACTTAATAAAAAGTAAATTAAGAAATGCTTGAAAAGCAAATAATTTGGACTCTTTGAACCCTATAAAAAGATAAAAAAAACTTTAATTATGATAGATATTGGATAAAATAGTGCAGATTTCTTTAGGTTGAAACTTAAGCATGTGCAAAAATTTTCTACAAATAAGAGCTAAAACCGATTACATAATAACAATTTTTAGAATTTATATGCTTACAGTGACAACCAGAAAACTCCGAAATAGGAAGATGACTTTATAGCAATACTTATTGTATTTGATGTTACATGATTATCGGTCTATTTACTGTCATAACTTGAGTCTAATAGTCGTCTGTTTATTTGAAAGTTGTCTGGTCATCACTGTATGATTTTAATATTTAGGTCTAGGAAACGATTAACCCGGCAGTCGAGTCTTGGGGAAACTTTCCGACGAGGGTATAGTCTTGATTCGGACGAGTTCGAAGTCGAATCTAGAGATTCGAATTGGCCATGACATTCGAACTAAATCATTTAACTAGGGTTTTGCGCAATTGCGCAGAAATCAAAGAACCTGCAATTGCGCGAAAGTAAAGTCCAATTGCATTGGAAACCCTACATTTAATTGCAGACAAAAACAGAGTCCAAAAATTAGACAATCAAGGTTGAATTAGAATACCCCTGTTTTACCATAAATAGATTGTATTAGATTCAATGTGTTTGAATTAAATCCATAGGAATTGTATGTAAACTTGTAAATGGTGAATCTATTAACATTGGATCTTATCATGTTGTCTAGGATGATTTTCCAGTTTGCTTCTTTAATCCAATGTTGGTTGATTCAACCTTACTTTCAAAAGCTTTGTAATCAAAATTTGCTTAAATATTTATGAAACAGTTTTCATCGCTGTACACTGTTCAGTTTTGTACACTGTACGGACAACTGCCATACTTGGACCAAAAGGCTGTTTGTACATAAATATGTTTGTATGTACATAAATCTGTATCATGGAACTGGGAACATTTTATAGATAAACTTTAAATTTCAAAAGATGCAAATATTAAAAAAAGTTGTCGATTTTAAACATTTCTTGAAAATAATTGCCTTTCATGATGCATTAGCCTAGGTTTACTTTGAATGAAATAATTAAACCTCAGTAATATAAATCTTCTTATAGAGTTTATTAATAGATAATGTTGAAAATTATTATTAAAATGAATGATAATAATAAGAATAATTATATGTTACCTGATGACTTTATATATTTGTAAAAAATGTATTTGATAGCAATTCTATGTATTAAAATAATAAAGAATAACAAAGTTCATGTTTTTATTGCCATGCGTAAATTGAATAGTTTTTAAGTTATATATTCATAGCTCCGTAATTATTGAAAAACAAGTTACTAATGTTGGATCTGAGAGCTAGGGCTGCAGACATAATTCTGATTGACCCTCCATTTACAGAGTTCTATCCACGATTCGAGCTTTGGTTTTATCTGACCCTAGTCACTTATACTGTTTTTTAGCCCTATGTACATACATCGCGCATGTTTCTATTTTGAGTTTATATTCAGTAATTGGCGTGGTTCGCAGTGTAAGGAAGATAATGTGGTCTTCATCTTAAAATGGTATTTTTAACTTGGACTCGGCGCGTTCTCAATGAAAGGAAGTCTTTCCTTAATTTCAAAACATTTCGTTTCCTTTTTAAGGATTGTCAATTTTACCGTTTGTTTCCGTTTCAGTCGTCTACGATTTTTGATGTTTGTCCATGTCTTTTACTTTAAAGACATATTTGTTTTAAATGGTAATTAAGGATTTTGGTGTCCGATAAAACAAATCAATTTGTTTCTTTATATATATATATACTTTATGCTTGTCTGTCAAAACGGCTGAACCGATCATACGCTCAAATTTTGTGTGGGACCTCGTAGGACCTTAGGGTAGGTGTATGGATGCTCAGAATTAAAAAAAAGTTGTATCCAAAAGATTGCGATTCTTGTGAAATTTTAAAAATGCGCGAAAAAATATTTGAAAATCCGCGAACTTTTTTGTTTGTTTTTCTTTTACATTGTACAAAGAGAAGATGCTCACAGAGTGAGCCACAATAAAAAGTTAAAAGCGCTCTAAAAGTCTAGTTAACATTTTGGACTAGAGAGACTAGAGTACCTTCTTGTCTCAACTCCAAGACCCCCAATTTGAAATAGACAAAAAACCCAATCTGGTTAAAACAGTTTATAGTTCAAACTGATACTCTCGGTAATTCGAAATGTTGTAAACCATTTTTTCACATTTAAAAGTAATGGAGATACAGGGTGTTCCACGACACATGACAGAAGCAAGACAATTATAAAGTCGTCTTTGATCTCAGGATGTATTTGTGACATTCAGTCGTCATTATTTTTTACATGCATTATTCTTGAAACAATAACCCCGAAATTCTCCTAGTCCCGGGATTTCCAAAGTGTGTTATGTTTTTTTGTGCTGTCAATAGCCAATGATGACTATGAACTCTAGAATTTTGCTTTTAAGATTAGTTTTACGAACAAACGCGGTAAAATATTTCAAAGATCGAAGACGAACTTTAAGTTGTCTCACTACTCTGTCATGTTTTGTGGGATACCCTGTATTAAAAAGTCTGTCCAGGTTCCTATTTATAATAAAGGCCGATTTCTTAGACGTTCAACCATAGGTAGAACCATAGTTACACTATGGTTACGCTTTACCAGAGCAGTGTAGATAGATAGATACGATGTACCTATGGTTACATGAATAAGAAATTGACCATACCAAAATTGTTTAAATGATTAATATTTTAGACAGTTTTGAAAATCAAATTTTGGAAGTTTTGAACACGTAAAATCTGTATTTTAATACTTTGTTGTCATTTATCTACTGTCGGAAATCGAAGACTATTTTGTTTATTGGGACACCCTGTAGTACTACCTGGTGTCCATGGAATCCTTTGTAGAATTCAAAAGTGTGAAAGAATCTATTAAAGCAATATAATTTCCCCTCTTTCAGGACTCGGCTAAACACAAAAACTTCTTGTCTGTAAGTTTCAGGGTTAAAGCTGTCAGGGGTTAGTTTTAGAATTCGGGATAAAAATCAAACTTTATTAATTTTTGTATATTCAATGATTTGGTTAATTGGTATTTGACTTGTTCAAAAAATACGATAATGAAGTTTTTTTCTTGTTAAATGGAATTTAAATAGTTTTCTTAGCTTTAGGACAGGTAGAGACAGAGGAGATACAAGATACGGTGACTGCGCTTCATTGTTGTAAAGTTGACCGTGCAACAGCCAGTTGGGTCAACACAGTGCACCTGTTCATCTCGGCTAGTCAGGACACAGGTAGATAGATACGTAGACATTAAATATCATACAATAAATACATACAAAAAACATCAAGGAAACTTACACAGGTAGATAGGAACACAGTGATCTGTGTAGGAGGTAGAAATAGAGAGGTAGAGATATAGAAAATTGTACAGTGAAACCCTTAATAACCAATACATCGGAAGAATTTATCAAATGTCGTCTTGCCAATTTTTCAATGAGTTTTATACTATATTACGTAAATTTCAGTATTTGCGAAAATAAATAAATAGCCATGAATATTAGGGAACAGTTTTAAAGAGTTCCATATAATCATTTTATTAAAAAACTAAATATCTCCAACATTCCATTATCAGAAAGTGAAGAATACGACATTTGATGAATTCTTTCGATGTATTCGTTATTAAGGGTTTCACTGTAGAAAATTAGGTAGAAGGGTAAATAAGCAGACGAGATTAATACGTAGATAAGTAGATGGGTAGGTTTATAGGGAAACAGTAAATACGTGGGTAGAGAGGTAGCTAGATATACAGCTCTAAGTAAATAGGTATATATGTTAACAGGAAGGTAGAGAGGTATATCAGACAGGTAGAGAGGTAGCTAGATAGGCAGGTTGTAAACGGGTATATAAGTTAACAAGAAGGTAAATGGGTATATAAGTTAACAGGAAGGTAGAGAGGTAGATAAGGAAACAGGAAGGTAGAGAGGTATATAAGTTAACAGGAATGTAGAGAGGGAGCTAGATAGGCAGCTGTAGGTAAATGGGTATATAAGTTAACAGGAAGGTAGAGAGGTAGATAAGGAAACAGGAAGGTAGAGAGGTAGATAAGGAAACAGGAAGGTAGAGAGGTATATAAGAAAACAGGTACGTAAAGGGGTGTGTAAGTAACCAAGTAGGTTTAATTATAAACCCCTTTATCATTAACAGACAGGTAGAGAAATAGATAAAATAAATAAGGTACAAAGCTGATAAACATAGATGCGGAAAATGTGTTCAGGAAAGTTGAAACCTTTTTATTGCCTTTTAATTTCTTGATTTGTAATGTTTGCTTTCTTTAAATTATTTCAATTCTTTAAAAAGCCTTCAAAGGAGGTCGTGGCATCATTTACCAAGTTTGAAATCTGCTTCTTTGTTTTTTGTTCATCAATAGATTACATAGACAGGACAAACTGGGTAGTCCTTGTTTTTGTTCATCAATAGATTACATAGACAGGACAAACTGGGTAGTCCTTGTTTTTGGTGGCTAACTTATGTGGCATAATGGTAAACGCAGTCGTTGATTTAAGGAGCATTAATCTCAGGTCACACTTGCAGTCGTAAGTATGACTGTACGATTTACAACGATACCCTTTAAACCCTTGTCCAAATGAATAAGATATCCTTATTTGTTTATCTGAAAATTGATTATTTTCAATAAGAGCTTCTTCAAAAAGTGACTTGCCTATGTTTGCTCTATGGACAATGCAATAAATTAACTTAATTCAACAGTTCTCAGATAAAAAAGAGAGACGATCCTGACTTAAGCAACAAATACATCTTTTGTCCAATCCGTGTAATCTGTGTATTCAACATTCTAAAATTCTTCTTCTAACTTTAAACATTTAACTCTGACAGAAGGATATTGAAATTCATGTTGTAAGATAAGATAAGCGAATAATCACTGTAGGAAACATAGATGCGTAAAAACGGAATTACAGCATTTACAATGGAAGTAAAGGGTGTTAAAAAAAATGATGTTTATTTAGTTTCACTGTTTAATCAAGAATATTTTCTGGTTGATGATTACAAAAAGTAGTTGAAATTATAGATTACATATATTTACATTTCATATAGTTAGATCAATGGTAGTTAGCTTTTTGGCCTGTGCCCCCTCTTTTTAATGATTGGAGGCTGGATCTTGGAGGAAGATGGATGCAGACAAGCAGCTGAGTCTCCGGCTTATTAAATCTATGCAGAAGAAAGCCGCTGCCATCATTAACAAAAAGAGGGGCCCAGTAGCACAGACAAAGAAATTAAGTCTTTAATACAAACTCTAATTTTCCATCTCTTTATCTTTGCAACCCAATGTTATAGACCTTTGATATTTCAAACTATGAATTATGCTAGATAATTTAGGTTTAAAATATACACCATAAGGTTGCAAAAATATAGGGATTGGCAAATTTGAGTTGATGGAAAAACCTCAATTTCTTTTTTATTCGCTCAAGTTTCATAATTTTTATTTTTCCACACCTTAAAAAAAACACGTTAAATTGGGACTTTTATTTTTATCGGAAAGTCTGTATGTTATAATAACGTTAATAAATAATAAAAACACTTAATTTCTTATTTATATATTTCAAATAAACATAATATAGACTTGAAAAGAATTCAGTAATAAAAAGCCAAGATTGAGTGGAATAACAAAACATGGTTGCACACACACTTTATATTTACATTATAATGATACAAACGACTATTGTTGGACCAACAAAGTTGATCTTAATATACATGACATTCGCTTGGGGCGAATATATTTCCATTTGACTCTTCTGATCAGATGCTTTGTGCTAACTAACTCCCCTATGGAACTCCAGGGCGTGCTTTCTCTACCGGCAAGATAAATGCCGTTCTCTAGATAAGAAAGAGGGTTTAATACCCTTCCCTCTACACTGTTACTCCTTTCTCCAACATCGATCCTTGCACCCCTCGGCCGACAATGGTGGTTTCTATAGATCAGAGAAGAGATTCAATACCCTTGTCCCTAACACTGTTATGTATTCCAGGCTGCAACATACCCGAAGTTCAATATCCTTTTAGACTGGATCTAAATTGTTTGGCTTTATTCTTAGATTGCATTTGTTATGACTTCATTTCTCTGACTGGGAACAATGAACTTATATGAGATTATGTACAAAGGGATGAATCCTGGCTGGGTTCATAATAACCCTGTGATAAAACGGTTAACATTTTTTTATTTTAAAGTATGTACACTTATGAATTATGATGTGTACATTATTCCAAACTTTGCATAATAACTTGCCTATTTTGCAAAATTTCTCCTCAAATGGAATAAAAAAAAATTAAAAATATATATTAAAAATGGGCACAACTGCATTTTTGTTTGCAGCTGTGTTAATGTCACAAATTTTGTTTCAATTTAAAATAATTTAGAAATCTATTGAAGAGAAGCAGAAAATGACAGTTCCAGCAGATTTAGTTGTTCAGTTTCAGGTGAAAAACAAAGATTTCAAAATATAAAAATTCAAATTCAAAATTATTGAATTAAAAGTCGATCTTAACCCTTTTTTTCAAAATGAACTGAAATGAATAAAAGTAACTTAACATTACAATAATTTTTTTTAGGATGCATTTGCGCATTTTGACCGATTAAATTGTGGCATTATACCTACTAAGGAAACAGAAAAACTATTATTTTGAGATTGTAAAAAAAAGTTAAGTGGTCTAAAAACTTCAAAAAGTCTGTGAAATAAATAAATTGCAAGCTAACGTGTCACAATTTACTGCTTTAACTAGTCTAAAACACGTGAGTTGTGATCATTTAAATTTTGCAAATATTGCGCAAAACACATTTGCAAATTCAAGTTGTTTACAATATATTGAATAGGGAGAAGAAAACTTGAGTATTTAAATCAGGGGCGGAAACGTCATGTGTGTGTGTCTGTACCATAAGAGTGTGTGTAAGTGATACCGAACCGAAGGCGTGTACTGTAGGTATGTACAGTACATAAGAACCTCGATATTTGTACAGTCTTGGAGAGTACATTTGTTTATTGTTAATTGTTTACTTAAAAATAAGTTTAATATACATGTAAAATATTATTTATATATTTAAGTCAACACTATAAGCCAAATTTTCATGCAAAGAATATAATTTGATTCAATTTTTCAATAAACTACTTGTTATTCAAGCTTAATTATAATTGACGACATTGTTTAGCAATTTCCTTGACTGTATTCATGTTGTGTGTCTGTACCAAAAGAGTGTGTGTTTATTCTTATTCCCTGATTTAAATGCATACTTTAACTTCTACAACTAAGAACTGACGGACAACGCATCAGATAAAAGCATCAACGGTTTTTTAATTGTTAACCATTCCTTAACCCTTGAAAGTGTTTTGTCCAACCAATATTAGAAAAAAATATTTTCTTCATTTTATTTTGGGGGGATGGGTGGGGGGTGGGGAATAATTGCATTTGGAAGAAAGGTACAGGATGGTCTAAAATAGCGCACAAGTAAAGTTTTAAAAAAGTTTTTTTCATATTTTAAAAATGTTTCTAGAAGCATGAGACTTTCATGTTATGTTGGTAAAAAGGCGGTAAAATATCTAATGTTGAGAATTTGTAGAATGTTTGAATTGTAATAAATTGTTGAGCTGACAATACGTTTTCTCTGTGTATTTAGCTTCTAGGACAAGTTCTTCGCTTTGTAGGAGAAAACCCTAGTGAGGCCGAAATTCAGGTAATATTTATTACTCACTACTCAAATATTAGGTCTTCTAAATTTTTCAAATTGTACAAAAACTCTGATCATTTTATGTTTTTCCTAGACCAAATAATGGTTAATTCACATTGAGAACTAAATCTTATGTGTACATCCAAGAAAATAAATGCTTGGTTTGTTGGTTATTAAGCTCTATATGCGCATAAAGAAATATATGCAAAAAGCCCATTTAAGTTTCTCCCATGGTCAGATTTAAAGTTGCAAACATCTATAAACTATCTTACAATCATGATAAACAGATATGGTAATTCGTTTATTAAATGATCCTGTTGGGTTTTTACTATTTTCTACAAAATCGACCTATAATTTTTAAGATTATGGCCAATATAGATATATGCTGATCAAAATGTTGAATTTGTTTATCATGGCTTTAAGATAATTCACAAAAGTTTTAGCACTAAAGCTGACCGTGAAAGAAGTTGAAATGTGCTTTTTGAACATATTTCTATTTGATAAAGCTAAATAACCTACAAACCAAGCCAATTTTTGCTTGTTTATTTTAATTTTTCTTGGATGTACACATTGTACTACATTGTACATAAAAAACTTTAATAAAAACATTAAAACCAGGATTAAATATTGAAAAAGTATTAATTGTTAATATTTATTCAAGGATATGATGAACGAAGTAGATGCCTCATCAACGGGCAGTTTTAGGGTAAAATTGTTTTTAATTTAAGATTTTATCCTTACCATTTTTAAACAATTAAATTATTTTGCCTAAAATTGGCTTATGCCATATTTCCTTGCTGACAATCTTTTGCCATAAAAAAAAAGATGACATCTATATAATAAAGCTCTTCGCTCACATTTATATTATATATTGGTGTATGTATTTATATATATACGTTAGCAGCTGACACAACTACAGGTTCAAATTGCCTGATATTTTTTTAGGGAACCCGGGGATAAAATAGGTTTAGATTTCTATTCAACTCATCATGAGGTTTTATTTTGCACACCCTTTAATTTAGTTCCCCAGCTTCCTGGTAATGATGGCGAGGAAGTACGATGATAACAGTGCTGAGGACGAAATCAGGGAGGCATTCAAGGTCTTTGACTCGGTCAGTATAATATATAATAATCTATATATAAAGTTGTAATCTCTGTTTGTCTGGCTGGGTGTGTGTTTGTTTGTTTGTCCGATCATAACTTGCAGGAATCCCTTCATCGATTTGCCTCAAATTTTGATTGGGGAGTCACGGGAATGTTCTTAGATTTGTCCATTTCTTGAGCTGTTTCTGACCAGGAGGCTGTGTTTTCGGCCATGGTTCATTTGCAAATTGCAGTTGACTTGGCCGACTTTTTTAACGAAATGTTAGTTTCCCTGTAAATCAACCAAGTGCGGGTAAACACGGGTAGTAACTATGAGTACCCTGGGCTACGCTAGGTTCCGAAGCTGGTATTACATACAGTGATAACAAAACAAGTGTGGAATGAAATTCGTCTTTGATCTTTCTTTAACCTTAGAAATGTCGCATAGGATTTGTAATTTTCATTTATTGCTTCTGAAAATGGCCGGGCACTATTTTAGAAATAGTTCAGGTACAAATTACAGCGACGTGACAACAGGTGGCAACAGACAAATGGACCAATCATACACAACGTCATAAGAAAAACCAATTCGCTCACATTAGTTGACATGTTTTCCGAGATTAAATAAAAAGTGTAAAAAAAAAAAATAAAAGAACACAAAAATTGCACTCATTACTATTATTAACAATTGACACTTGTGACGTCAGAATGCAGGCGTATTGAGAGTGTGCAAATTCTACGCTGCCATCTTTTGTACTAGAATCTATTTGAGTGACTTCTTTTATATTTTCAAATGTTTCGTGCATGCTGCCTACTACAATCCTACAGTTCTTTTATGAAATCAAAAATATAGTATTGTGCTCCAGTTAAAACAAATACCAACAAATTCTCGTATATTTCGGTGTTTTTATTATGCTGCCATTTTCATACCTCCAGAAATGGATTCAAGATATTAGACAATATTTTTAAAAAAAGCTACAACCTTTTTTAGATAATTTAGAAAAATACGTTCAATGTAGCCTTTCGATGTAATTTTAAATCTATCTGTAAAATGAAAACGTCAGGTTAAACTAAATAAATTGTCATCTTTTGAATTTATAATATTTATCAGGATGTATATTTGCTTTTCACACGCATAAAACAAGAATGGCCTGGAGGTCACAAAGTTGCACCAGTTAAGTCACATCAGCTTCATTGAGTTTCTTATTTTGTCCAGTTCGCAGTATGGCGTATTATAAGTTCTCAATAAACCACTCCTGTATGCCGAGTACATTAGCGCCTGATCCAATCAGGGTTCAGTCATGTGTTTGTTGTCTATTCTGAATCAATAGAAATAGTATGGCGGTAACATCTATCTTTCTATCTATCTCATTATCCAATTAGAGGTATAAATCTTTAAATCAGCGCTAAGCAGTAAATGGAAATATTTACTACTTCTGAAACTATAGTGTAGCAAGAATTGAGTCTTTGTCACAAAATTTTCTAATCCCTATAACTTTGCAACCCAATGTAATAGACCTTAGATATTTTAAACAATGATCAAATAATCAAAGTCTGAAACATCTAAGGTTTACACGATCAGGTTGCAAATATATAGGGTTTAGAAAATTTGAGTATGTGACAAAGACTCAATTCCTTCCTAAGAAAACAATTTGAAAAGTAAGGAATGTTTCTTTGAAAAATGTGTGTGCAAATAAATATAATGTTCCTGAACATGGATCCAAGGAATGCTTTCTCAATACAATTATTCGTAACTAATTAGTCTCAGGTCAAAACATAAATTCTTTTTAATTATTTTCTAAAATTTAGCGACACAGTAAAATATTGTCGATAAAAAAAGAGAATATTTTGCGATTAATTTTTAAATAAATTTAATAGAATTACTCAAAAGTAATTGTTAGCAGTTGACACTCAAAATCAAATGTTAAATTGTAATTATATATGTTACAGGGAGCGTTCGCAATAAATGCAATGGGGTATAGACTAATATCGAATTTAATCGTAATTTTTTTATTTTACTATTATCTGCGTAATATTTTTTTATTTACGATTCGATAAAAAAGGACATTTTTTTAGTTGCTTGGTGTCTCTTTTAAGCAAATTCCATTAACTATCGAGAGAAGAGTCACCTATCGGCCAAATATTCGTCGTTTAAAGTAAACACATCATACCTAAATTTTTTTTATGAACTATCAACTTTATACGGATTAATTGAATTGATTTCGACACCCTGAGCTGGGAACTTTTCTTGCAAAGTGGATATCGAGATCAATGCTTGATTTCTCAATATTTTGTTAATCTACAGAATAGCTTATAATCTTTATTGATAATTATAGCCTGCAGGAATAAATAAAATGAAGGCATTGGGTCTCAATTTAAAGTGCCCGCCGTGGATATCAAGATCAAACGATCGGTATCATCCGACACAAAAACTCCCAGCTCTGATTATGTAATATTTTGATTTTGTAGGATGGTAATGGATTTATAAACAGGCAAGAACTACGCTATGTCATGATGAACCTGGGCGAAAATATGGAAGAAGAGGTAGAGAAAAAAGAAATGTTTGTTTAAGAAAAAAAAGGTTTGATGGAGATTTGATTATATACTTAAAAAGATAAAATTCTCGACTCATATCGATCAAAATAGTAAGACGTGTGTTATGGATTATATGATTTTTTTCAGTATTTTTTACTATTCTAAAGTTTCTAAAATTGCTTTCTAATTTGCAGTACCAATTAAAAATTTGGCTGTTTATTGTTTTTTTATCTTCACAATTTCTTTTTTGCTGTTCTTGAAGTGATATCCACGTGATGGTATATATAAAGGTACAAAGGTTGTTGAATATGTACTTCATAAAAAGATCAGGTGTGTGTAATTATATGTAATTATGGTAAATTATCTAATTACATAATGTTACATACACCTCTAGCACCTGTTGTATTCCATATATATATAAATATATTCATACTAGGCTTTTAAATGTTACTTTTCAATGCCCTTAATGCACTTCATGCACATTTGAAGATTTGCCTGGTTTTATTAGAAGATTTACAATACTTTTAAAATGCTTAATTTATTGAGGAAGATATTATGATTTATACCAAGCATAAATATTGAGATTATAGTATATATATGAGTGATGCTGTACTCTAATCCTTTACTAATTATAGGCCACGTAATCCACTTACTTATTGCACATTTGATGTGTGTACTGTATTGATTAGGCATAATCTCCTTACATTCTATATAAGTAAACCATCTTACTTGTACACAAAAGCTGGATTGCAGAACAGATATTTAACTACCAGACCCCATGGTCAATACCCTGTCCTGGCTTTGGCAAAAAATGTTGCCTTTATGGTTATGCCGTTTGGACGTTTATTGGATACAACATTTTGCGGAAAAACTATTTAATTGTGATTAAAAAATGAATCTAAATTTATTTGGCTTATTACTTGCAATAATTGTGTCTGATTCAAAACATTAAAATTGAACATTGAAGTTCCAACAATTTAAAAATAAAAAAATAATAAAATTTTTTTATGAAAAACTTAGTAGTTTTTGTGGCACGGACTTTAAGGAATATATAAAAAGAAAGTTGTAATTTTGAAGATTTGTTTTCTAATTGAGGTTCAAATTTCCTAAACTGACAATTATGTGTTTACTTATTTTTCAACACTGAAAACTGAAACATAGTTATATTTTACCTCACAGCTTTCACCTTGATACATGGGTTTATTCATAGCATCTGCGCAATGTCAAAAAAAATATTTTAACTTTAAATCTATATCTTCTTGTCAAACGTAAATATGAAACACCGAATCTTAATGAAATGCCTAATCAAAAATCGAGAAAAAAATGTTTTAAACTATTGAATTTTCTAAAATAGGTTTGTTTGGTTTGCTTATTTTTAATTATCGAAAAATACTTTTTTTAAACATGTTTTTTAAATTTTGATTCTAATAAGATTTAGGACAAAACTGTGGTAGCCGGACGTTTCACCTTCTTGGCAAATGGTAGATAAAATAATTCGATTTTTTATTAGCTTTTGCTATTTGAACGATCAAGATAAAATAAAATCGTTTCTTTGGTTCACCCCAGGGAGTAAGGAATAGAAGGGAGATATAACTGACGCGGTTCGCCTGACCATATGATTATACATGCTTTTGCAGACGGGTACTTCATTTTAAAAAGAGATATTTGTTTGGTGTACATTTACCGCGTATACAATAACCTACTCTGAATATTTCATATACAAATGGAGTACCCGTCTGCAAAACATGTATAATTATATGGTAGGGCGAACCGCGTCAGTTATATCACCCTTCTATTCCTTACTCCCTGGTTCACCCCAGTTTAAACGTTGCAATCCGTGCCAGTACAACACGTATGCATTTAGTTGTACTGTCCAGTCAGCTACCCAGCACGTTTTATGCAACAAATGTAGACTGGAAAGATCACAGTGGGTTCCAAACAATCAAATTATTTTCTCACAAAGAACCTGGATCGTTTTTGTGAATAAAAGAATTTTTTCAGGAACATACAGTGAAAAATTAACTAACATTAACAATGAACGAACAAATTAGATTGTTCAAATAATAAAAAACTAATTGCTTGTTCAATTAAATATTTTTTAGAACAACTGACAACAAACAAAAAAAAACACAGAAATGGGTCGTAGACAAACGAAATGAAAAAAAATCAAATTTGTTTATCTCTACTTTCAAGTTACGAAACCTGCAGTACAGACATGATTTCAATAGACTCATTTAGAGTGTATGATACCCAACCGGATTTATCTGCTTTTAAACTCTGCAACTCAATTTGAATATTGTTAATGTATAGATAAAAGAGTATGGATCACTTTGTTTAGACCCATGTTCAATAAGTACTGTTGTAAGGTACATTCCTGAGCCTTTGGAATAATAACCCATTTTAACCCTAAACAGGTTGGGCTAGTATTTTTGTCCTCGCAATCTCATTTTTGACACTATCACCGTGATATTTTGTGATTTTTAATAAATAGTATTTTTTTTGCAAAAAAACATGTTTTTTTATTTATAGGATAGGGTACAGGGCGGAAAAAAAGTCCGGTCTGCGAAAAAAAATCTAAAATAGCCCATAACTTTTTTGTTAATAAAGTTACATATCAAAAACTGTATTTTTGAAAAGCACTAGAAAAAGCACTGGGTCGTGATTAAACTTAAAATAGAAAGTCGTTTTCAATGTATTGATATATATATATATACGACAGAGACTGTACATAAATATCCGATTTGTTAAAAAATCTCTAGCTATGATTTCCCAGGATAGCTAGGCGAGGAAGGCTGAGATGGAAAATGTCTAACACGAATCGAACAAAAGTTTTTTTTCGCCATTTTCGGCGAAGTTTGAGTTAGAGATAGAAATATGACATTTGAGGATACACATTATGTACTTGGTTGTATTGTAGTCACTTTAAATTTGCCGTACTACATTAGTTTGCTCGATTAGGTAGTCCAGACTGGACGGTCCGACAGTAAGCATAAATGGTACATTTTGTACTCCACGGCTCGGATACTGTAACTTTTAAATCAGGGTATTTTAGTTTTGCGTGAAGGGTCATGTTCCTTTAACATTGGTTTTATTTAAAATACAATAAAAACTAACCTCCATTCTCAAAACCTAAAAATTTTAATTTTAGGAGATCGAATGTTTGATCGATGAGATTGATATCGATGGTGACGGACAAATCAATTACGAAGAATTCTATCTAATGATGACTTCTACAAAATAATTGTGAAAAAAGAAAAAATTCTGGCCAATGGAACTTAAAAATAAAAAAAATAAAACTTCTTTACAGCGATCATATATTTGAGCGATTTCGAGCAACCATGAGTGCCAGCTTCGGCACTTTCCATCAAATAAGTAAAACTTTTAAAGCGATAAAAATATTCAGATTACGAAATAACGAACAACTTTTAGTTACCAGTAGGCCAAACTCCCCACTGCGACCTAAAAGTTTGAAAGCTTTATTCAAAATCAAGAAAATACTGTATGAAAGATCGTCTTACAATCTTTTTTCGTCAAATTTGGGAGTTCATGTCTTAATAATGATTATTGCTAATGATATAGTTTTATGAAATTTAATTGTTTTATTTTAATTTTGTTTAGCATTTAACCTTTTTCTTGTTTTTCGATCTTTAGTTATATTATTTAAATTGGAAATATAATTGACAATTTACCATCTTTGCTCCCTTAAGACCGCCTTGTTCCCCTTGTCCTCTTTTCCGGTTCAAATAAAAAAATGTTATGCTTACCTTTTCTTTCTTGTATTCTTAAGTACAGGGTGTCCCAAGAAACATGACAGTTGGTGAATAGTTTTGAAGGTCTTCTTCCATATACTGTAAAGACCTTTCGCAGTTTAATTCTTTAAAAAATCTTTTACTCAAAAATATTTTACTTTGAAATAAATTTTTACTATAATATGACTGCTATGTGAATTTTATTATTCTCTTTGGTCATGGTCATGGTCACCAACTGTCATGTTTCGTGGGACACCCTGTATGTGCCCAGATATAAATGTATAGTATTATATAGAATATAGATACATCATATAAAGATGAAAGTATTACTATTTAAATAAATAAATTTTAAATATTAGTGTTTTATTGCAGATTGCAACTTATAGTCTTAACCTTGACTGTGTCAGGGGTTAATTGAACAAAATAAAAATATGGATAAAACAAAAATGTAAACTTTTTCATCCATAGATAGATTTTTGTTTCCAGAATATCCTGAAAAAAATTTCTAGAAAGCTAAAAGAAAAAAAAATCCCAAAAAATTCGTTATTTAGTTAGCGAGATTTGATGCAGTCTAGTTGCAGCAGCTGAAGAAATGTTTGCAATATGCATTCTTGGGTAAATTCTTGTTATACAATTATTATAAAGAATATTATGGATCCGTTTTTTGATTAATTATAGTCATTTGTACATTTATTTTAACGATGGTACAATACAATCTAGAATGAGAAAATATTGACAAAAATCATGCTTGTCCGTGCTGCATAAATGCTTTTATCTACAGTGAGAACCAGAAAACTCAAGCTAGTTCAAAAAATATAATACACAGCAATTGAGCAAAGTAAACCATTTCACTTAATAAGTGATTTAAAAGTTGATATAGTAAATCAAAACTCCAAATAAATTATCACTTTAATGTCGTCTTCCTTTACCACAGTTTTCTGGTTCTTGGATAAAGTAGTGGGAAACCGTTAAGTTAATGTCACAATGCTCTACTTTTTATATTGTATGTACATAAATTTAATTAAAAGCCTATCATTCGTAACAAAAGACAATATTTTAAGAGTGTCATGGATATCTACCTATATTGAAAATAAGAAATAATGAGATTCAAAATTCATGTCGAGGGGACCCACTATACTGCGGAATATAAAGACGACTGTTAAACTCAATTGTTAATGTTCAAAATAATTAAATTTACATAACCCTATTAAGGCTGGGAGGTCTGAATCTATGTTTAGCCAGGGGGGGGGGGCGGTTGGCACCTCCCTCACTTATAAAAAGGGCTTTAAAGAATAGGTATAGGGTTGAAATGCATGTTCATTGCCCAATTTTTCAAGGCCAGCTCAAAGAAAAAAATTTATTCCGATAACTTTAATAGTTTGGGTGCCAGGGAGGGATGAAAAAAATGCTTAAAAAAGGGTAAAAAAAAATAAAAATTGTTTTAAATTAACATTAAAGTGTGACACATGTTTCTACATGCATTTTTCAAGGGCTTTTCAAAACTATAGGTTTCAGAACTGTAGCTTTTAGATTTTTTTTTCACAGACCGGACGTTTTTTTTCGCCCTGTACCCTTCCTATAAAAAATATTTTTTAACAAAAAATCCTTTAAATTACCAATCAATAAAAGTCACAAAATTTCATTAAACGCAGAAACTGAATAGTATATAAAGAGTAGGGTTTTCAATCGAAACTTTTTGCATGAGTAAAAATTGCACGAAATTTTGTTATAATTTCGCATTGATGCGCAAAAGCTATTTCACTCAAATTGTGAAGAAAATCTTGGTTTTTGCGTATTTCATTGTTTCCTGCTATTTCGTTATTTCGTTATTTCGACCTATTTCGTTATTTAGAGCAGAGCTATTTCGTTATATTTGTAGAAACAATTTCAGGAAATGAATGAATTAATCACTTAGGGTTTCTTGCACACAAATTTTAGACTGTTTAGTTTGGTCCAGCCGACACCGAGATAGGTAACCAACAAGCAAACGGACAAACAAAAGAAATGTAATGCATATCGATAGATTAATACGAAGATGTCATCAGTAAGACTGAGACGCACCTCCTGTGGGATCTTTTAAGCGTTTTCTCAAAACATATTTTAATATTTTTTTAGATAAAGGTAATCAAAATTTAACAAATTTTCGTTTTCATGAGCATTGCCAAATTTTGGGCAAAAACTAAGATCTTGCATAATTCATGAGCAAAATTATATTCATGCGTAATTTCATGCTAAAAAAAAAAAATTTGTTCAAAACTGGTTTCGTATTGATGCAAAATTTATGCAAAATTTCGCGCAAAAGCATGAAACAAATGCGCAATAGAATCTACTGTTTCCTGGAAAGCCTAATTAAGACCCGTCCATATATACTATAAAAGATAATATTAAATCCATTTGCTTTCTACATCATAAAAAGTAGATTCTTTTTTTTGAAAAATTCCTAAAATTAATATTTTTACTTTTCTGCAGATTGATATCTGGAACTAAAACTGTAATTGGAGGAGATGTACTTATGGTGATTGGTGGACAATTTTTTAATGCTTCTAGCAGGGAAATAAAAAAACCGATATGTTATATTAAAATAGATTATTTTATACAATTTATTTCTATACTTTTTTTCTGAAACAGAATGATTTGGGTTTCATAGATATTTGTATTCTCAAGATTGATAGAGTAACTTATTTAAATATAGGAATTTATAGACAATATTGAAGGTAAATAATTGACCATGTCCCATATTATAGACAATATTGAAGTAAATAATTGACCATGTCCCATACTTTATCAAAAAGTTTTCCTAGGAATTTGTTTTAACTAAAAAACTGCCGCTGAATTAAACACAATGCCCAATTTGTCATGCAAATCTTTTAAACTTTATTAGCCTTTAACAATCATGATTACACTTGGTTTGATTTTTTCCAGAGAACATGAAACCGTTAGCTCAGTGGAGGTGAGTATGAAACAATCTCAATTTATAAAAATATTTTTGATCACTTGTACAATGATGATTTTATTTAGATTATTGGGGAAAATGCTGTTTGTGAGGTGAATATTTTATTTAATGCTTTAGCTATTCATCTATTGATACAACCATAACATTCCAATTCATGATATCATTTATCAAAATAACAAAAAGGTGATAATTTTACAATAACTCTTGAATAGAAATTTGACAAATTGCTTAGGGTCTTACTTGAGTAAGACAGAACAAACATCTTCAAATTTGATTGTCCAAAATGTCATACAAAAAACTAAACTATATTTTTTTTATTCTTTTTTTCACTTTTATTGCAAAGATATAAAAATGTAGTAAATGCCCTCCTCCATAACAGTTTCTGAAACAAGTATCTAACCAGGTACAACTCAGATTCTCTTGACTATTAATGTCAATACATGGCCTGGCTACAATCCCGTGAACTATCAACACCACTACCACTGGACTTGATCTTGTTAGCTATCAATGTCAACAAGGACACTAGCAATTAATTGATCAATGTCTCAACCATGGACACTAGCAATACGGCTACAATCCCATTATTTATCAAGGCCACTACCTCTGGAAACAATCTCATTAGCTATCAATATCAACATGGACACTAGCAATTAATTGACCAATGCCTAGAATTCTAATCCCAAATTTATTGCATGATTTAATTTTTCTATCACTATGGGTTCAACTTCAAATACTTGGTCCAGCCCGTTTAGATAGAATTTGAATTTTCTTTCCATCCCTATCACTTTAAGTCCTTTTCCTCCTTTTCTTCTGTTCCTACGTTGCTGGTCCTTGGCATTTTTCAGTCTATTAACTCCCATAATTCTTTGGACACTAAATTACTCGGACACTAGATACCTGGTATCAATCAATGGTAAACCATGAGTCTCACGCTTGTAAAACTTATATTTCACGCCAGTTTTTCTGGTCGTCTTTCTTTAACTTTTCCATACCGTTCAGGTTTGTCATTAACTTTTCCACCCAACTAATCACTTCCTGTTCTAACTCACTCTGAGGTTTAAAATTCTCTGTTAACTCATCATTAATAGGTCAGACATTTTCGAGATTTGAAACGTTTATTAATTCATTAACATCACTATTTTCTAAATCAGATTTCTTCATCTCTGGAGTTGCAAGCTGTCCGCTGCTGGAACTCTCTATGTAAAAACCGAATCTACAACTTCAACTTCTCAGTTAGATCCGCCACTGTTTTCTCCAGATTCATCACTCTTCCACCTCCTTTATTTCTCTCGCCTTCTCCTTTTTTACTCTGTTTACTCCTGCAGTCTTGTAAGTAAAGGCCATATTTTCCACAATTGTAACTGGAAAAACTTTTATTGCTACTTCGGATTTGTTTGTAACTCATTCTTCCTTTTGGGATTCTTCTTATACCATTCTGCAAATTGTACTTGATTCTTCTTACCCCGTACTGCAAACTGCTTACAGTCTCTCTTCATATGGCCAGTTCATATTTTGTTTAGGTTACACAGTTGCTGATCCAGTACCTGTTTAAACTTGCTCTCATTTTGCACTACTTTAGGTGTAAACTGTAGTCCACAGTAGTAAAACCCTAAAATCATTGCGGTCTTGAAAGCCAGGATTCTTTTCTTAAGAGCAGTTCCAAATCTACCGAGTTTTTCATAGGTCTCCTCATTTGCACCTCCACTTATCAACTTTCCATCTAGGAAATCTTTACTTTTCTGGTTTGGATCTGTGATTTTGGGTTTCTCTAGCATTGCTGCTACTCTTGCAATAGGATCCTGATTCTTGGGTTTTGAATTATTTGTATTCCCTTACAATTCCTTTTCTTTCTTTGTCTTTACCTCTTCTATATTTCTTTGCACTGCTCCAACTAATGCCTATAAAGTTTGTTTTCCTTGCTTCATTTGTTCCAATCTCTTCATTATGATCTCGAACTCTAAGAGTGGGAGGTTTCTTCCTCCTTCGCCTTCTGTCATGCTTAGTCTGAACCCTCCTCACTAGGTAACTTAGAGTGATATGATTCCACAGTATCCAGTGTTGCTGTTGTTGTCTTGTCTTCAAAGATATCTGCTAATCTGTCCTCATCAGAGATCTAGGCATTTAAAAAGGGTTCCTTAACTCAAGCCTGTATATCTGCGAATACTATTGAATCTTGATATAAATTCTAACAGTATTTGACACAAAAGATGATTTATCGAATAATCCACCCCTCCCCCAGCGCCAGCCCCTCCCTTCCTCCCCCTCTCTCTCTCCCTAGACGAAGACAAGATAAAAGATTAAACCATCATTCAAATAAACACACAATAGGCCTGTCAAGCTGCAGCGAGACAGCAAAAAAAAACCTCTAAAGCTAAATCAGGCCAGAAAAACGATCCAGTACATCAAAAAAGTGAAGGTCATGGTTAACATGGCAGTCCGGGTCAACCCCTAGGCAAGCTAGGCCAAACCCAAGAAGTATAAAAGGCCGAAAATTTTAACAATATTTCAGTCTTGGTTCAGCTCTCAAACGAACCATATATGAATGCTCAAACCCTCCCTCCAAACATTGCTTAAAAGGTACTTAAAGGGAAGAATCCCCATCTCTATTTGAATCATCTCTCTCTCTAGCTTTATAAATTGATATTCCAAATCCCCTAAATTCAAGTGTTCTTAGCTAACTCTTAAAACCAAACATTTACAAGCCACTGCTACCACTTCACTACCACTGGGCGCAATCTTGTTAGCTATCAATTTCAACGAGGACACTAGCAACTAATTGTATAATATCTCCACCAGGATAAGATCCAAACAGTTACAATCCTGTGAACTATCAATGCCACTACCACTTGGCGCAATATCATTAGCTTTAGATGTCAACAAGAACACTGGCAATTAATTGATCAATGTATCATCAAAAACACGATCCATTTGTCTTCAATCATGTGAACTATTAACCTCTCTACCACTGGGAGAGATCTTGTTAGCTATCGATGTCAACACAAGCACAAGCATATTATTGATCAATGCCAAGACTTCAGACACAATCTCATGAGGCTATCGGTGTCAATCAGACACTATTTTAATCTCTATCAACACCAAACCAATGGGCGTGATTTCAGCTTGTAAGGTTCAATGAGAACCTATTACTCTCTCGGCAGTAATGAAATTGGATTTTCTAATACAACTAACTATATTTCTTCAGTTTAGATTAGAATTGGGTGTTAACAGCATAAATAGAAGTTATGCTCTGTAATATACAATGTAGTTAAGTATCACAATAAGGGTATATGGGTATGACAGAGTTATATATATCTACATAATTTGATTGGGTTAATCCCAATACATGATTTACTGATGAACTAATGGGCACACTAGTTATATTGACAATCTACAATGTAATTTACTATGAGGTCTTTATATTTGCTTCAAACAGACAAACCAGGAAAAAACAGGCCAAATACAAAGATTGAAGCAGCCAGTAGTTTAGTTTGACATACTATCCTTCAGGCCAGAAGGTAAAATATTAGTTTTGATGGGTGAACTCAATAACATTGCAGCAAATTATTTTAAAGGTAGCTGTATTAAAAAGTTTCTATTTTGCTTACTTCTCCCATTAAGATCGATAGTTTACCCACCCCACTGTATGGGATGTCAGCAGGAAGAGTTGGGGATAGAGTGTATGTTTGTGGAGGCTTCTATTACTACTACAGGTGAAGAAAAGACCAGTATTTGTGGCAATAAGCCTAAATTTTGACAAACATACTTTAAATAAATATGATTTAAAATGTTTTGCACTGTTTTTACCACTTAAAAGTTTTTTTTGCCTTCAAAAAGACTTAAAAATTTTATATGTTCAAAATGTTTGCTTTATTTACATAATGCCAAATTTCAATCAATTAGCAAACAAAGTTTAAGAAATTAATAGTTTGGCTTGTTTAATCCCCTAAACTATGTATGTAAATTTAACCAATCCGTATGAAAATACCCATAGGTTGCTCTGCTATGAGTACTCTCGCACAACTGGACGTTGGACTGTGTCTAGAACCGGTTTGGAGAGTGCTAATGCTTATATGGCTTCGTACAGTGCAGGAAACCAGTTCTACCTAGCAGGGGGTAGAGACTATAGGGGTGGGGATGGGAGGTAAGAATTGTTATATTAGATCATAACATTAACAATTGTGGGTATACTGTAATTTAAACTTTGGTAACTTTGATGCGTCACTGCTGGTAAAGTGGAATGAACGAACTTGCTGGGAAGTTTTCAAGAACAAGATATCAAAATGATGTCACAAACTTTATTACAATATTTTAAATATTAACATATACATAGTACACATGTAATTGAGTCAATGCAATACAGACTACAGTCAGCATCATGCAGAGTAGTAATGTTCCTTTCTATCATAGTATCACTGCATGGAGCCGATGCATAAATAGGATTGGCACTACTTGGACTGTGCTGACCGGAATGTAAAAACTCTATTGCACTGGTACTATGACACATACAGATGCTGCATAGTTAATATTTAAAATGGTATATGCCAAACCATGTTCTAAAAAACATGATCTATACTAGCTTAAGTTGCTTGCCATTAAGACCATGAATTAGAAGAATCATTTATAAATAAAAAACATTAAGTAGAAATAATTTAGGGGGGATGAATTTTTATTATAAATGGAAATTACACTATCCTTTACACGGTGTTTGCCACTTGTTTGACTCCAAAACTATATTTATTTTAGCAATGTTGAGGATTGGTTATACACAAGTTCTATCAATAAACTGCAAAATAGAAGATTTGAAAAGGTGTAATTTGAACTTTACCATCATAACTTATAATCATCTTCATGCTGGATCTATACTTTGCTTGTCTGTCTGTCTGTTTGTCTGTCCGTTGTATTCTTTAAATGTAAAAACGGCATAAGGGATTTGGCCCAACCTTTGTGTTGGACCACAAATGACCACAGGGAAGGTTTATGAATGCTAAAAATTACAAAAATTTGCATCCAAAAGTTTTTGATTTTTGTAAAATTTTAAAGTGTATTATGAAATCCACAAACTTTTTTGTTCCTTTTTGTATTGTACAAAGAGAAGATGCTCACAAATAAAGCCACAATTAAAAGTTGAAATAGAAGATGAGTGTGAAGCGCCCTAAAAGCCTATATTAAAAATGGAATTATTAATATTTTTATCAGATTGCTAATCTACCTGAACCTATTGCAGATGGTTGTATAGTCGTCACAAATATAACAGGTATATTTTATAAATATAACAATACTGTGAAATAATAAAATAAAACCAAATATTGAAAATACTAATTATTAGCATAGAATAAATTTGTTGTTGTCTAGGAAAGCATCGATTATGGTTGATCGGAGGTTCTAATATTCCTCAACGGTAGGTTAAGAATTTAAAGAGTTAAATTAATTTTACACCTTCTTGTGCATTGACATAATCTCAATACTCAAATTGTTTGTGGATAAATACTAGGATTTGTAATATACAGAGTTTAGTTTACGGGAAGATTCTTTAACATGAAATCAAAACAGAATGATTGTCCCTCAAACTTTTTTTCAGCAGAGTTGAAAACTTTAGAATGAGATATCCTTAATCCCAATTACTTAATCTGAGTATCCAATGGATACACTTTTGATTTTCGTCTTAAACTACTCTTTCTTGGATATGGTAGAGAAAAATCAAAAGGCGGGTTTTAAAATTAGAGATTCCCTCCCGTTTCTGTATATTAATCTTAAATGGTGCTCTAAATTTCAAATTTTTCGGCTTCATATACGCGATTCTGATTGGTTGAATTTCATACACTTTTCAGGATACAAGTACAAGATTAGGTTAGTCATGATATAAAGAAAAAGAGAGGATCCAGCATTAATCTCGAAATCCACCATTCTAAAGTTTTCAGCTCAGGTCACACATACTGTTGAGAAGGGTTTAAAAGGTAAAATTAATCTGATGTGGTAAAGAAATGTTTCGCCGATAATTTCCAAAGTTTTTATGGTTTATAATTCTTTCCAGCTTCAGAACAGGTAAGGTTCCATAAGTCCAAATTGATCCAGAAAAAAAGCCCAAGGGAAAACAGATTTAACAGATACACCCCAGTTGATTTAAAAAAATCTGTGCATCACATGATCATTATGAAGGTCCCTGTTAACCCTGTAAAGGCTGGGGGGTCTGAATCTATGTATAGACTGGGGGGGGCGCATCCCACACTCCCCTCCCTAGAAAAAGGCCTTAGAGAATAGGTATAGGGTTGAAATGCATGTGCATAGCCCAATTTTTTAAGGCCAGCTCATTGAAATAAATTATTTTGATAACTTTAATAGTTTGGTGCTAGGGAAAGTTGAAAAATGCCAAAAAGGGGAAAAAATGTTAAAAAAAATATATTAAAAATAAAATTTGAAAAGTTTGAAGCATGTTTCTACATTCATTTTTCAAGGTCTTTTGAAAAAAATAGATTTTAGATCTGTAGCTTTAGTCATAAAAAAGTGATGGGATATTTAAAATTTTTAAGCAACCACCCCCCCCCCTTCATGTATGTTTACTCCAGGTGTACGAGCAAAATATGTATTTACTCCAGGTATAAGAGTGAAGTGTATAGTTTAGACCTCGGCGCTGGTACTTGGAGTAAACAACCTGATATGCCAGAACAACGGTAAACTTATAGAAATTAAGATTAACATATTCTTAATGAAACAAAGAGCCAAATAGGCATTTATAAATATTATTCTTTAACTGAAAAAAAATTAAAATTTTTAGCATAATATTGTTACCAGTTTTTCAAAACATGTTTGATAATAATGCCTACTTAAAATGCTTACATACTAATCTTGATTTAGTAATGTGTAGAAGTAAACGATTTATGTAAATCCAGATGATAATTATCTTTTATTAAGTATGTGGCCAGCATGCATTGTCACTACTGTCGAGGGTACTCTTGGTATACTGGTAGCAGGAGGTAAGTTTATCCTCACAGCTAAGTTGAATTAGGTGTAACCCTAGAGCGAATATTTTATTGAATAATGCTATGCTTAACTTAGGACTGGGCGCGTTCCTGGTGGAACAATCGTTCTTTCCCGAGAACTAACGGAACGATCAAGAACGATCCCATCTTTCCGAAAAAAACGAATGCCTAGAACATGTTCTTAAAATATCGAAACGATTAGTAAAAGAACGGAACGGGAATTGCTTGAAAAGAACGGTTAAAATTGTTAACGCATTCTTATTATCAAGAACGCCTTCTAAGTTGGGAACGCATTTTAAATCAGGAATGTGTTCTAAATCCTCTAGAAATAGTTAAAGATTTTTTTATTTAATCACCTGACCCCCTCCCCCCACTTTACACCCGCCATCCCCCCGCTCTGACAAAATTATTGCTCAGCCCAGAAATTATCTAAGCTTATTCTTTTAACCCTAAATTTAAAATATATAATTTAAAGTATTATTTACGGCCGCGAGGAACTTTTTATTAAAAAATCGTAATTTTTTTACTTTTTAACAAAATCTTTTCTAAAAAACTTTTGTCTTGGATGGAATTGTTCGTTACTAAGAACGGAACAGGGGATGGAAACGTTCTTGATTAAGAACAGAACAAGAGGGATGCAACCATTCTTCAACTAAGAACGCCAAGAACGGAACGGAACGGGAAGAGGGTTCTTCTACTCAGAACGTCGGAACGTGCCCAGCCCTAGCTTAACCTACTTAATTCACAATAATCTTGCGATAAGTGTACATCCCAGGTTATAATGCAAGAAAAGTTAATTACAGGAGCGTATACTCTGCGTACATATTGGAACCAGTTCTCTCTGGGTGGAATTTGTAACCCTGAGGCAGAAGCCCAAAGGAGTCAGCGTAGAATTACAAGACAGATAGAGCATGTTCTACACCGACTGCGCGAAACTTCAATGTGATTCTGCCTCAGGGTTAATGAAAATGAGTTCCATCCCAATTTTGAAAAGGCAGTCACCTGGTGTCCTTTCTGTTATTTCAATTAATCTATGGGTGTACTGTTCTGATCTGAATCTATAGTCTGTTCGCATATGGTACATTGTACATGTACAGTATGCTCTAGGTCTGCTTAAAAGACAGCTTTGTACTTCAAATTGAACTTTTGAATTTAATGGTTAAAGCCTTACACCCATGATGAGGCTTTTTGTAAAGAAATAAAGAGAGTTTCAATTTCTCAGGTTGAACTGTTTAGGGGGAAAAGAAGTGTCTTCTCCAAGGATTTAATGCAAGGAAAGTTATTTCAGAAGTGTACACATGTTTTGTACTGCAGTGTACTGTCACTGGGCAATAATGTAAACACGAAATCGATGTTAAAGCCTGAAATGGGATCCATCTTTCACATAAATAATCAATGAAATATTCTGGTCATAGGAAACTATTATGTGAATTATCAAAATTATCAAAATTCATTGCTTTTAACATCCTTGGATACTAAACGAACTCTGATGTATCTATTCTTGTTTACAAATTCCGCCCAAAGAGAACTGGTTTCAATATGTACGCAGAGTATACGCAGAGTATTGTGGGTTCTCTATCATATTTGTGCGGCAAAGACAAACAAGATCATTGACAGAAAGTACATCTTTTAAGACAATAATATCTTCCCAATTGTCAAATCTGGCATGAACCTATTAAATGGAGGATATCTTGTAACAAATAAAAGACAATACCAGATTTAAGTTTCGACAATTATTTCAAACAATTTGGTATTTATTTGTTATCATTTTAATTTGTTAATGTTCAGGATACTTTAATGGCGGATCAAGCATTTGGTTACCCCTGGTCGATAGGTTGATAAATATCAAATAATTTTACATTTTTGGAACATTTTTATTTTCTGAAAATACTATTTTTTAATTAACTTTCTTTTAACATCAATAGTTTTGCAAAAAAAATTGGAGAAACAAGATTTATATTTGATATAAAATATAAATGTTTAAAAAAAGAAATGGAATATCTTTGGAAACCTATGAATTAACTTTGGACCAACCCCGATGGGAATGGTTAAGTAGCTTAACGATGGTAAGGAAAATTAAGATAAATCTGACTGAATTGAAAATATGTCAAATTGTCCAAAAACTGTAAACAGCTAGAAGACATGTCGACATTTTATTTGAAAACAAAAGGCTCCGGGATCGCTACGTATGGTTAAGTACGGAAAATAAAATATGAAACATTTTACGTATAATTTTGCGGTAAAGGGATTGCCAGGTCCGATTCACAATGGTACCCTTTTAAGCTTTGACTGAACTATGTTAGCTTTGAATGCAAGCTACATGATCATTATTTTCATTCAAATTTTTACCCACCACGGTGAGCATATGCTTGCAGACTTGCAGTCAAGTTCTCTAGTTGCGCACAATTTTTTGGCGAGAAAAATATAGATTTTGCCAAAATCATTCAAAGGGGTTAAATGCAAATTGTTGAGTATCAGACATGTCACTCTAGAAATGGAGTATTGCTTAAAGGGAGTGACCGGTCATGTAAGGTAGTTGAATTGAGTATGCAGTGTTGTGGAAAACTTTTAAAATTTTAAAGATCTGTAAATCCTGAGTTTGAGCGCAAAGTCGACGTTCAAAACTCCTACTTTGGGTGTGGATACGTTTCCAGAGTTAGTTTTTTTTTATTTTAAAAAACGACGACAAAGAATGTAAACAAAACTCTACAGTAAACTAATTAGTTGTTTCGGAACCGGTTGAAAAAATAAAAATTAATCTTATCATCGAAAATAAGTAATCTTGTTCAATTATTAGATTCTATTTTCTCATTATTCTAGTTCTCATTATTCACAAACATTTTCTGCGATTTTCTTGAATTAGTATTGAAAAGACGACATTTGAAGAATTTGAAGATATCTGCGAATAAATTCAAAATGAAGAAATGCAATATTATAATGAAAACAAAATGATTGATTCTAGCATTGATTTATTGACAAATTTCTTTTGAGAAATATGTTCCTAACCATCTAATTAGATTACTGTATGACTTTTACTTTATTTTTCGTCGTCATTATTTAGTAATTTAAAAAAACCGATTCTGAAAACGTATCCACCCCCAAAGAAGGAGTTTTGAACGTCGAATTTGCGCTCAAACTCAGGATTTAAAGATCTTTAAAAAGTTAAATATGTCTCAAATGAATCCGAAAGAAGCTTTCCACAACACTGCATACTCAGTTCAACTACCTTACATAGCCGGTCACTCCCTTTAAAATGACGTAAACCAGAGTACCAACACCAAATACCTCAAATATTGAAATCAAGAACACAATTTTTATAATACAGGGTGTTCCAATAAACATGGGAAATAAGACAAGAATACAACATCGTCTTTTTTTTAAAATTAGCGTTGTAATATACCTAATTTCACTGTACACTGTTAAACTGTACACTGTTTAAAAGAAAGTCAAGTCTGCTATTGAGTAAATCTTCTGTATGTACAAAAGTTGTTTACTACAGGGTGTCCCACGAATCATGACAGTTAAGAGTCGACTTGAAGATTGTCTTCGTTAACCTGATTTCACAAATCACAAATAGAGTCCAGCCACAATTCTCACATAATACAGGGTGTCCCAATAAACATAGGAATTCAGTGGCGACTTCTATATCGTCTTTGATCCTCAAGGAATTATTACGTGAACACAATTTTAGTAGTATCCCATTTAAAACAGTTAATAATTAAAACTACTAGTCTTGGGACTTCCAAAATATGTTTTACAATTTTTACAGCTTCAAAACTGATCGAGATATTAAGAAATATGTCAAAATTCTAGTTTAACAAAATCGTTAAAATGTTCAATATCTCCGTAAATTTTGATTATAAAAAGAATGCCACAATTTGAAAAGCTCAAGACGTACAACCTTTATTTTAATACATTCTTTGTCATTTATCAACAATCGGAAATCGACGATTTTAATGTCGTCTCTTAATTCCCATGTTTCTTGGGAAACCCTGTAGCATATCTGTCCTGTTATTTCCAAGATATTTCTTGAACTCTTAAAAATTAAGAAGATTTATCATTTCCTTGAAATTTTAAGATTTCAAAGAACAAAGATGATATCTCTCCATTGTCATGCTTCGTGGGACACCCTGTATACAAGTAGTACAGTCTGCAATCATAACATAAACAAAAAAATTATTAACTCTAGCAGCTCTGCTATTTAGGCATCAGCACCATACTAAATCAAAAAATAATTTTCTTAAACGAAATCAAAATCGTCACTTAATTCCCATGTTTATCAGGATACCCTGTATAATTATTGCTTTTACGTTACCCTTCAGACAAGAAATATCCAGAACTTCTGTCAAAATATTCATCAGAAGAGTTTCATTTGAAATTTGTAGTTTCGTAAGAAAAATAAATTGGTTTTATACTATGTATATAGCCAAGGATGGGGGGTNGGCGCCCCCCCCCTATGAAAAGGTCTTAGAGAATAGGCATGTGCATACTGCATAGCCCAATTTGCCAAGGTCAGATCATTGAAAAAAAATTATACCCATAACAATAATAGTTTTGGTACTTGGGAGGGTTGAAAAAAACGCGAAAAAAAGGGTCAGAAAAATGAAAAAATATTTTTCTTTGTTTTCACCAAATATGAATATGGGACACATGTTTCTATATCCATTTTTCAAGGGCTTTTTAGAAATATAGTTTTTAGATATGTAGCTTTAGTCACAAAAAAGTTATGGGCTATTTTAGATTTTTTTCCAAAGACCGGAATTTTTTCCGCCCTGTACCCAACCCTATGCATAAAAAAAATCGTTTTTAAAAACGATCGTTAAACGATCTTTATTGTTTCGTTTTTCAATCGTTTTGAACTTTTAGAAAACGATCATTTTTTTAAAACGATTTGTCACCGTTTTTTATACGATTGTTTTAGAAGAAAACAAATTTATTGACAATTATGTTAACGATCGTTAACGAAGGGTTGTCGTTAACGAGACGAACTTTGTAAAAACGGTCGTTTTTGGAAAAAAATTACATGCAACTTTATTGAATGTCGTCTTACATGAAGTTAACTAGTTGTGGGGGAGCTAAAACTTCTTGATATTTTCTTAAAAACTACTACTTAAAAACGAAGTGTCGTCGTTAACAATCGTTATCGAAGGGTCATCGTTAACGAGCGTTAACGAAGGGTCGTCGTTAACAACCGTTAATGAAGGTTTGTCGTTAACTAAGGGTCGTCCTTAACGATCGTTAACGACTGTTATAAAAACGATCGTTTTGAAAAACGATCGTTTTTAATAATGCAAAATAGTGAAAACGTTAACATCCCTCCTAATTGTGCGTTTGTCGAGCACTGGGATATGTTATCTAAAATTTGCTTGTATCAACAGCTGCAAATTTCGCTGTGCGCTGCATTGAGTGTAGACTGTTTGCAATGCAAGCAGATTTAGCTATACGTTCACACATTAAAGTCTGTTTTATATTTTACACCTCAGGCTAGAAAATGGGGATCTGCGATTGGCTATGTAAATGGCAAGCTTACTCTTGCAGGGGGAGGTGATTATGGAGATAACACTATAGAAGTAAGTTTTTATATTCAGAAACAATTTTGTCTACAAAAGAAATTCAAGTTTTTGCCACAAACTCAAATTTTTAATCTCTAAATCTTTGCAACCTGACGGTGTAAACCTTTGATTCATATAGAATTCATAGTTTGCAATATCAAAGGTCTGCGTTGTTGGACTGAACAGAAAGGGGGATTAAAATATTCGAGTTCGTGGCCAAACTCAACTACGTAAGCAATAGAATGAATAATTAGTTTTCTTTCAATGTTTCATACTTTTTCTATTCAAACGTAAAATTTTATAAAATTTTAACTTTTTTAACCTATTTTTTTACCAAATTCCCGAATTTATTCTGCAAAAAAAAGCTACAAATGAACAACAAAAAATACTAGAAACAAATAAGATACGCTATGAAGTTTTGTCTTTTTTTTAGTTATATAAAAATTCTTAAATAAAAAAAGACGTGCTAATTTTGAGCTGATTGTTTTTGTAAATTTAGCATCTCATTGGTAGAGATTGGTTGAAGAGCAATCTGACCATGAAGTATAAACGTGAATTCACAGCAGGTTTTTAATCATACTTAAAATTTACATTTTCATTTATCTTGGAGTAAATCTCGGGCCTGTACTCATTTTAAATAAGTAGCACGTCTAATTACCTCAACACCTTCATCGATTAAAAAGAATGAATGAGAAGTTCATGTTTTACTCTTTTAAAATTGATATTTTATTTTTCAAGTGAAAACATTCTTGACTATATCTTCAAGTTTCACTTCAAATAAAAGTATAAGGTTTAAATCTTTCAATCTTACAGGGTGTCCCACGAAACATGACAGTTGGTGAATAATTCAAAATGTCTTCTTCCATAATTACTTAAGTTGTTTAATACCAAAGAGAATTATAAGAATATTTAATGGTAGTCATATTATAGTAAAATTGATTTTAAAGTAAAATATATTTTAGTAAAAGATTTTATTGAACGAAAAAAAGCAAAAGGTCTTTAACGTCTATTACAGTTATAGGGAAGAAGACATTCCAAATTATTTACAAACTTTCATGTTTCGTGGGACACCCTGTAAGTCCTCTGATTGAAGAGCTATTGAGAAAAAAATGTTTTAAGTTTTCTGCATGTGTAACCCCAGAGACCAAATTTAAAAAAATTGAGCCGGGGCTTAAATTTGGGACGTAGCTCAAATATAGTTGGTTCAACTTGAAATTATAAACAATGTTTCAAGATTTATGCCGGCGCTCAATTGAAACCAGTTTTTGGTGGATTTAAGACGCGGCTCAAATTCATTAAATTCGGCCTCATTCCTTTTCCGTAAAATCAGAAATAAAGGTCACAAAGTCGAACCAGAAATGACGCATAATTTTGATATTTTCCTTATGTCAAATTTCCAGTGAGCCGGTCATCGTCGTCATTTTCCGGCTCATTTCCTTTTGTATTTATTCCTGAAATTGTCTTGTAAGCATTTCTAAACATACCGCTTTTAGGGCGCTTCGCGCCCATCTTCTATTTCAATTGTGAACATTTTCTAGTTGTATATTGTAAAACATAAACAAACAAAAAAGTTGCTGATTTTAAAAAAATCGTGGATTTTAAACATTTAATGAAACTCGACTTTTGTTGGAGGCAAATTTTTGAAATTTTGATCATCTATAAACCTTCCCTGGATACATGTAAAGTCCCACACAATATTTGGGCCTGATCGGTTCTGCCGTTTTGACGTATTAGAACAAATGGGCAGACAGACAGACAGACAAACAGACAATTCTAATTTCGAAAAAAAGGCATTTAATTATCTGAAAAGTGTAAAGAAAATGTACAAAAACTAGCTTTTAAAACCTTCAATACCATTTTCTTTTTAAAAAAACATAAAAACATAAAAGAAGGCATTTTATACAAACACCAAAGGGTTAGACTTTTTTCTTACTTCCTCTCCCTGCAACCATAAGCTTAAATTCTATGCAAACTATTTAGATAATATATGCAAGGCAGAAAGCAAAGTTTAACAGGGTGTCCCAATAAACATGGGAATTGAGAGACGACTTGAATATCATCTTCGATTTTCGATAATTGATAAATGACAATAAAGAGCATCAAAAAAAGATGGAAAGTCTAATGACCTTTTCATAATGGGGTCTACCTTCTTTATATTTTTAAAACTGACCGAGATATTAAATATTTTAACAGTTTTATCTCCTTCAATTGTTATGGTAAAAAAAATCCCTGTATTGTAAATCAATAGAGTGGTCATTCTTACTAGGAAAAAGAAACGAGAGGAAATCACTCTTGTATGCCCAGTCCATTAGCGCCTGATCCAATCAGGGTTGAGTCATGTGTTTGTTGTCTATTCTGAACCAATAGAAATAGTACTGCGGAAACATCTATCTTTCTATCATATCTCATTATCCAATTAGAGATAAATCCTTGCGGTGCCATACACTAAATGAAACTATAGTGGGCCTACGTCCTTGCTTAGACAAAGGTATTTAGGGTACCATTGTAAATCGGATATGGATGGTTACGTCTTTACAGTCACTTTTTCAATTAATACATTAGTTAAAATAGTTGTAATTATATAATAAACGGTCTGACAATTAATTTAGCTCTTTACTAAGAAGTGAAAGGTTAATAGATGGCTAAAAATGAAATTTGTTACCGGGAAAAAAATGTCGACATTTTTTTGTTTTGAAATAGGCAAAAATTTCAAAAAATTTAACAGAAAAATCACCAAAGCAAACATTGAATTGTTTGAATATTAAATTTAGCAACATGTTGTTTTATCTCTGTCTTCCCTCAGTGTCCACATTTAAAAGTAAATATTATATAATAATATAACCTAGACTATAGTCTCACATAAAAAGTATAGATATATTTATGATTTATTTATATAATATATAAAGTAAATATATTGATTAATATCTGTAGAGTAAAAAATTAATATTTATGCCGGGGGAGGTCTGGGGGGGCTTTATCCTGCATTTATTAATAAATACTTGTACCTCACATACATAATGTCGGAGAGAAATAAATAGTGTATAGGATAAATATAAACACACGCCGGACAGCGTTGCTAGGAATTTATGTGACTAAATCAATCTTTCTGCACGTAATACTCATATATTCATCTTAAACAGTCACTCGGTTAAATGCCTCCAGGGGTTCCAAGGGTCCTAGGGGCAGGGTGTTGATATAATGCAGGTTTTGGAGGGAATTGGGTTGGGGAGAAGTGAACAAAGTCAACTGCTAGTAGAATCGCTAATCAACTGCTTCAAGAATCGTTTCATCAACAAATCCAAAGCCTTTCGACAACGTAGGTTCTTAGCAATTTTACTTTATATTTAGACAAATTCAGGCCAGCTTGTTGAAGATTGGAAGACGAAGAGAGCGGGATACATCAAGTGGAGAGGAGGAGTAGGAGGCTGGGGGAGGGGATGTCGACGTCGGAGAGTCCAGGTCGGAGCAGAAGGATCCGCTGCGGGAGGATTCGGAGGAGCCGGAAGAGTTTAGGTTGTTCCTGCCTCCGAGGGAAATGTTAAAGAAGTTGCTGAGTTGGTTGACGGCCTGCTTCATGTCGTTGCTTGTGTCGGGGTAGGACCAGGTGGAGGAGTTCGAACCGCCGAACATGGGCAGCTGCTTAACCGTCGAGTTCGACTTTTTCTCTGGAGTGGGTGGGTTAGGTCGTAGCTCGTCCATGGCGTGGATAAAGTGACAACGGGGTCCGTAGGGACAGAACCCAGCGCTATGATAGGTTCGGCACACTTCGGTCTTGTATTTTGGATGCCTGTTGACGGAGCGAAGTTCTTCATGTCCGTGCGCAAACTGACACTTATCTCCGTACTTGCAGGCTCCGTGTTCCTGGTAGGGTCGGCACATCTCCGTCTTATATCTAGTACTGGCCTGCTGCTGATCTTGCTGCTGGGTGGGAGTCTGGACACCAGACCGGGGAGTGTTCAACCTCATCTCCTGGCAATCCCGGGGCAACAGGGATTCTCCGGGAGAAGAGGGAGCACTGTATCCGAACTGGTTTGGCTCGTAATCGTTGTCGATACGAATCCTCAGACTAAGGAAACTGTCCTGGTTCTGAACCTAAAACAAAAGGATGATTAAAAAATAAATAATGACGGGATAAAATGATGAAAAAATCAATTATAAATGTCTTTATCTATGGATAAAAAAAGGAATCTTTCTAACATGTGGTTTAATCTTTAAATCCAAGTTGTTGAAAGTGAAGAACATTTTAGTTGTATTTAATAGAATAAAACTGAAAAAACTGATTTTTTAAAGTTAACGTTCAAAAATCGAAAACAAATAAACTTTTTTTGTCAAAATAATAAAATCATCATTAATATCAACATGTACATTGCAGTGCATCAATTTCAAAATTACATTTATTTAAATACATTGTAGATAAATTGAAAAACATTTCTGCTTTCTCACATACATTCCCAGACTTACAAACACCCCCACACACATACATCACAGACACACAAGCATGGAGACTGCAGATAAAAAAGTTGACTATTCAAGGGCACAAACCTTGAATATACATATACATTATATATATATATATACAAGTCAATTTATCTAATATTTATTTAATGATATTTTTACATTTACAGGTGTCTAAAAAGATATTGATAACTGTAAAAACTGGAGTTGGCATTTTTTTTTATCTTAAAGTGATAAAAAATTGAACTTTTTTGAAAAGTTTTCTTATTTTCAGACACCCTGTACATTTACCAGTGTTAAAATAAAAATAATGCACGCATAACAGTTATGACTACTTAAAACTGTTGAATGAATATTAAATTAACAAGAATCTACATGATTAACTCTTTTTATTGATATTATATTGTTTGACTGATTTAAATTACATATTTTTCCCAATTCTTTTTTTTCACAAATGCAACTATGCAGATTTTTTTCATTCAGAAAAAATTAAAAAACACATGTATTTTAAGCTGAGATAAAATTGTGAACACATAATAATAAAATTGGATTAATCAAGTTATCCCATTATGCTTAAATATCATATTTATAAAAACTCCTTAATTATTTCGAAACCACTTTGCATCATAATTTCAAATTTTGCTAACACCCCCTTACCCTTCACCCCCCTTAAATCAACTAGTCAGTGAAATAGGCCTGTTTACACTGCACAAATGCATTTTTCATGAATTCATTAGACTATTTATGCTTATCCCTGATATTAACCGTTTCGTTTGTCGGTCGGATTTTGAAATACCACGGGCAACGCCTGTTACATCTGTTATAATTTAATAACATGGAAATATTGCTCTAAAGTGAAGCTGGGGTGGGGGGGGGGGTAAATCCCGGATTTTTCTAGCCCCCCCCCCCCATGGTCCCTTAATATTGAGCGTATATCCACTGTAGACCTGTATGCCTGTTTTGATCTCTGTATTACGGTTAAAACCAGAATAAATCTCCACCTGACTTGAATAGTACAGTAAACTCCGGTACCACTGTACTGTAGGATTATAGTAATCCTTCACTGAAGTACTGTGCTACTCCTGTACTGTAGGATTATGGTGCCCATGTGCTGTATAAGTATGGTACCCCTGTACTTATGTATCATGGTGCCCCTGTACTGTAGTATTATGGTACCCCTGTACTGAAATATTATGGTGCCTTTGTACTGAAGTATTATGGTGCGCCTGTACTGAAGTATTTTGGCAGCCCTGTACTGTAGTATTTTGGTGCCCCTGTACTGTAGTATTATGGTGCCCCTGTACTGTAGTATCATGATGTTATCTCTACAACACAATTTTGTAGACCCTAGATATTTCAAAATATGAATTCTGATGGATTAAATAATCAAAATTTGAAATATCATAGGTTTACGCCATCTGATTTTAGAGATATAGGTATTAGAAAATTGGGATTTGTGGCAAAGACTCAATTCCTTTGCTTCATCCTTTTATAAAAAAATTATACTATTAAGCACTGTCTTATTTCCTGTATTCCCCCTTTTTTTATTTTCTTTAGTTTTACTTCAATTCTAAATCCCTTCCCAAAATTAAGCTCGTCTTACAATTTCTTTAAGTCATTATAAAATATGTTTAGGATTTTTATTTTTCTCAAGACCATCACAGTTAAGAGTAAAACCTTTACGNACGTATCTTCAAGTGACCCTCCATGCAAAATTGGACTGTTCAATATACAACGGTACCCCTTAAAAAACTCTTATTGTGTAAGAAATCTAAACAAAAAGAAAACTAGAAGGAACAAATATCTCTTTAGAAATCCTTATCAGAAAAATGTTAAAGGGTACCGTTGTGAATCGCATATGTTACTAAATAAATGGAGGCACTTTAAGTTTCGTCCACAATTCCTTAAATCAGGTGATATCCTATATTATCTAATATATATTGTTGTAGGATATATTTAATTCTGTAACAGTTTTTTTCAGCTTTGATTTACATCCTGGAACTGAAAAGTGCGATTGGTACACCTTTATTGAATTTCTCTGGTACCACTGTACTGTAGGATTATAGTAATCCTTCACTGAAGTACTGTGCTACTCCTGTACTGTAGGATTATGGTGCCCATGTGCTGTATAAGTATGGTACCCCTGTACTTATGTATCATGGTGCCCCTGTACTGTAGTATTATGGTACCCCTGTACTGAAGTATTATGGTGCCCCTGTACTGAATCATTATGGTACCCCTGTACTGCAGTATTATGGTGCCTCAGTACTGTAGTATCATGATGCCCCTGTACTGAAGTACTATGTTGCCTTTGTATTGAAGTATTAAAGTGCCACTGTACTGTAGTATTATGTTGCCCCTGTACTGTAGTATTGTAGTGCCCCTGTACTGAAGTATTATGGTGCCCCTGTACTGAAGTATTATAGTGCCCCCGAACTGTAGTAGCATGTTGCCCCTGTATTGAAGTATTATAGTGCCCTTGTACTGAAGTAGTATAGTGCCCCCGAACTGTAGTAGCATGTTGCCCCTATATTGAAGTATTATAGTGCCCCTGTACTGAAGTAGTATGTTGCCCCTGTACTGAAGTATTATAGTGCCCCCGAACTGTAGTAGAATGTTGCCCCTGTACTGTAGTATTATGTTGCCCCTGTACTTTAGTATTATGTTGCCCCTGTACTGTAGTATTATGTTGCCCCTGTATTGAAGTATTATGTTCCCCCTGTATTGAAGTATTATAGTGCCCCTGTACTGGAGTATTATAGTGCCCCTGTACTGTAGTATCATGATGCCCTTGTACTGTAGTATCATGATGCCCCTGTACTGTAGTATCATGATGCCCCTGTACTGTAGTATCATGATGCCCCTGTACTTTAATACAATAAACTATGAATACTAGTAGATTGTAGAAGAACTGATCTGAAATCAAGATGCGTGGAGAACAGGTTTAGAGAGACAAAAAAATACAGTTACTGTAGATTAAACTTCATATATAAATTATTCTTTTTAATTCATAATATGCTTTGTTTTTAAAGATGTATTTTTTATAAATATCAAGAATTAACTCACACCTCGGACTTTTGCAAAAAGTACAAATTGGTTCTTAACTTAAAGGCTTTTTTACTTTTTAAAAAACTTTCACCATAAACTACTGCCCCCCCCCCTTATTTTAATTCACTTTGCAAAGACTCCCCCCCCTTTCACCAAATAATTGGTAAAAAACAAGGTATTGCTGATGCTTGCAAATTATTACTGTTCTAACCAGAGACACCAAGAATTCAACTTGTGTTCCAGATGGCAAATCAACTTTATAGAATAAAAACTAAACAGACATAATAATTGCATAAATCTGAAATAAAAGTGGAAATCAACATGTTTTCCATGTATGTTACCTAATGCCAGCCAAACCATAACATAGCGAACCGTAACAAAAAACTGTTACAGTGAGACCCATGAAACATAGAGGACGACATTTAATTATCTACATGATGTTGTTGTAAAGCATATAAAATTATATAGCTTTACCATAAGCTTTAAAATCAACTAGTCAGTGAAATAGGCCTGTTTACACTGCACAAATGCATTTTTCATGAATTCATTAGACTATTTATGCTTATCCCTGATATTAACCGTTTCGTTTGTCGGTCGGATTTTGAAATACCACGGGCAACGCCTGTTACATCTGTTATAATTTAATAACATGGAAATATTGCTCTAAAGTGAAGCTGGGGTGGGGGGGGGGGTTAAATCCAGTATTATCTAGCCCCCCCCCCCCATGGTCCCTTAATATTGAGCGTATATCCACTGTAGACCTGTATGCCTGTTTTGATCTCTGTATTACGGTTAAAACCAGAATAAATCTCCACCTGACTTGAATAGTACAGTAAACTCCAGTCCCTCCCTACACTACACTTTTAAGAAGAGGGAAGAAGAGGGGGGGGGATTTCGTTTGTCCCTTAATTTTTTGGGGAAACACATGTTATGATAGTTACCGGGCGTTGCCCGTGGAATAAAAAAATAGATTTTTGAAAAAAAAATCGAAAAAATGTCAGCCCATTTAAACCAGCGGTTTGGCACGCTAGATAGCTGGCATATAAATATATGTATATAGAAGTAAAGAGCATTATTAAATAAATTTATTGAACCCCCCCCCACCATAACCATAAGCCAAAATATATATGAACCCATTTAGTACAGTTAGTCCAATAAAAGTTGACGGTTTGTTCGACAGCAAATAGTTTGAAAATCATCTTATAAAGTGAACTGGGTAAGTGCCCAAGGCAGAGTTGCTGAGTTTCATGTTTATTGACTCTATTCTTAAAATTCATAGCTATTCCACAGTTTTAAGGGCCTCACTGTACTTTAAAAAATATAGATTTTTAAATCTGCCAATATATTAAAGAAAACAGGTTATACAGCGGCTCGGCAAGCTTGGCTAGTTAACCAATAAATTAAACTTGTTTTTTTTTAGCACGCTAAACAATAATACATATACATATATATTATGTATATATATATATATATGTTGCAGGGTTAACACTTTTGCATTTGTTGGATTAGAAAACATATAATGCAAAATTTTACAATTTTTATATCTTAAAAAAGAATAACAACTATTTTAATGACCATTTTTTTTAAAGTAGATAATCGTTTAAATTAAATTCACCTTGGATAATTTAGCCAGGTTTCAGCATCTTTGCAAAATAAATGCATAAATATATTTTCTAAATTATATTTGAAGTTAACCTGTTCTTCCATGGTTTAAGATATATTTACGTTAAAATATTTGTTTTTTATTCCAAACCAAGCAAGCAAGGTATCATATATCAAGGAAAGAATGTATGAATATCAGTGATAAACTCCATGTATTTTAAACTATTGCATTTCTATATAAATACATTTTTAAATTAATATTTTATGCTGGATTATTTATTTTTCAAGAGTAAATTTTTTAATTGAAAAATATGATGATATACAACAGAATTGATTCTGCAAATGTTTCTGTGTAAAATGTAAAATTTTCCAATTATAAGATGAAAAAAATAACTGTTAAAAATATTAAATTGCGTAAGCTCATAAAAACATTGTTGCCACCCACGTGTATTTATAAACTCTCCCTGTTCTAAACAATGAAACAAGACATTATTTGTGCTGACGCAAATACCCTCATATATACCCTTAAAAAAACACAAACGTACGCACAAAAAAAAATATAAGAATTACCTTTCCAATCATTTTGATAAATAAATAAATAGGCACAGTACAGCTAGTTAGCTGTATTCTTGCCGCTTGTTGCCTGTATACTGAACTATAGCTTTACTTACTGCTTTACGCAGACCTGCCCTTGAAGTAGATACAGTAGATAGATATTTAGTAGATAGAACAGATAGATAGATACACTGTCTGCGCCGCGCCGCGGCAACACTCTGCCTTTTGCGCATTTTTTACTCATATAGATAGATAGATAGTTTTATATACACACAAATACTTAAAACAGGGGCATCGTCTATGGATATATGATTAACGTAGATTATTTTGTAAAGGGAAAAATATATAGATCGAATAAAACAATCTCTGCAAAAATTGAAAAAAAATCAAAATGTTAAAATTCATTTCATAATTTTCGTATTTTTATTTAACTACAAAGCACGCGATAATACAAATAAAAAATCACAATTTAGAATGTAGTTTGGACCCGCCTAACCAGAGTAAGTTGTTTTAATTGGTCGGCCCAATATAAGCGAATGAGAATTGTAAACAAATGTGTGCACGATCATGCCGGGTTTGATTTATATATTGTATTATTGTATTGTGTTAATGTGTACAAATGTGTTTGAAAGAATAAATGAGCTGGTGAAAGGTTCTTATGAAAAAAAAACAAATATATCTCCTAGTTTTTTATTCTAGAAATATTAGCCTAAATATCAGCACACCTTAAATTCTTCAAGCATATCGCGCCCTCGGGGCCTTTCTCCACAAAGAAGTAGGAGAGCGCGGCTTAGTGCGCTTAGAAACCGGTTTTTCAGGCGGGTTTCTGTGATGTGTGAAGGCAGCTAGGCACCTGGGCCTAAATCCGTTGGATTTTTATTACGTATAAAGAACCAGAAAGAGATAGTTAGACATTGATATAGCAACTATCAGATGCTTTGTGAATAATTGGATCATATTGTTAAATGTCATGGTTTTAATAAAGTAAAAAAAATAATAAATCAATTGAAAAATAAAAATGTCTTTTTCCTTTAAAAATACAATGAAATTTCAAGTCAAGTTTTAAGTTTTATATTTTTTCTTTTAAGCTTTGATTATGACTTTTTTCGCTCAATGGAGATGTTTACATAAAAATAAAATAAAATAGAAATACAAATTTAAACTTGACCCCCTCCCCCCCCATTCTCCCATTAAATACTTTTTATTTGAAAAATGCAAAGTTTAATTTATTTCAAGGATGGGCGACAAGTTAAAATAAATTCCTTTAACGTCCTTGAAAATGCAGAAAAGAAGATAAAGCTTGAAAAAATGATGATCTTGAACAAGGTGCTGTAATTCGTATATTGATAAAAGTGCAACATTTTAGTTCCAGAACGTACATTTTAACAAAGAAAAAACATTTACATGCACTTTGATAAGAATAAAGTACTAAAAGAAATGTATTTTTCATTTGTTCATAAAAAACCCTGAAATTCAAATTCATCCTATGATTTATGAACCGTTTTTATTACCAAATTTAGGATTAGAGACGATCAAGTCATTATAAAAGGTCCCAAAATTATGCTGATAACTATTTCATAAATACGGTGGCAGGCGATTGTGTCAATATAATGAAGACGACTTTCTATTTCAAAAAGCTTCTCTTTTATCACTTTTAAACTTGTAAAACGAAGAAGCAGCTTGTTAACAATTAAAACTTAAATAAAAAGTCGTATTTATTGTATTGATATAATCGCCTACCACCGTATTTGATTTTATTCCTTGATATTTATATAAACTAACCATTTTCTTGACATCTTTAAAATGAAAAGAGTATATGATATATTTTAACGTTCTCACCATGAACTAAACAGAATGAGAAGGTTACATTTATGTGACCTTCCTGGTACGACTTTGTGACCTAATATTTCCTCCAATTTTGAATTTACTCATAAGTATGAGAAGAGCAAATTTATTCGGTTACATATTTTTATTCTTCTTTATTGATGTGCAATTTACTTCAGTTCGGATATTTAAAATTTAAAACGTAATTTGAGACCCCTTTGTTTAGTCAAGTTTATTAGTTCTATAAGGTGCATCTTTATAAAGGTTAAACTGACCATATCTAATTTTTATTTTCACTTTTGTCTCTTGCAACCTTGTAAGTTGTCTTTCAGTGTATTTACAAAACATTTGTGCAAAACAATTCCTTTCGAACTTCGGAAATTTTCCACTATTGTCTTCCAACTTTTATATTTGCGACTTAATCTGTAAGTAACTTACATTTTTTTCAACATTTTGTGTCTTTGAACATTAATTGTAAATTTAGCGTTCTAAAACCAAACGTCAATTTAACAGTTCGACTTTGTAATCTCAATATTACCTAAACCTTTCATTTTGGCGCCAAAAATATTTGTGTGCATTTGAGGTACGGCACTCCCATCATTATTTGCTGTCTATAGGTTAGAAGCTCAAAGGTCAGATTTAAAGGTCATATTAAAACATGGAAATAATTTTAAATATTTTGTTATTAAAAGTACAATACTCAACAAATAGTTTTATTTATTATAATAAAATTACGTATATATAGTTTTAGTATAATTGCCGAAATTTTCAACAAAAATTACATAACTCGCTAATTATACAGTATTAAGCAGTATACAGTTAACATGTGAAAATACCTATATCAATATATCTCATGACGTCATCGATATGTATTTTTTTTCTTAAAAGCGTAACTGGGAAACAGGGTCAGTTGGGCATGATTTAAATTCTTAACAATCTTGGAGCATTTAACATTTTGTTTAAAGGGACTGTTAAAGAAATTTCTGGTGACCCTCCCTGCCAAGATGAAAGTACCCAATTCACAAAGTACTGTTGTATAGGAATGATAATGATCTTTTTTGGTGACTAGTGAGGGATAAAATATTTATCCCTATTTTCTGCTGTAAATATTCTAGCGGGAGAACTCTATTTTTAACCTGACGCAGAGTTGAGGGGCCGTATAAGGATCCCGAGGATTTCCAAGGAGGAGTCTATACCTGGTATTTTCGAAAAACTAGGGATTCCCGATGAGGTTGAGCAGGTCAACCTGTAGAGAAACAAAAGGCAGTCGATAACGAACTACATTACCCTCAGGAGTGGAAGTGGTTTCCTGTTAGATAGTCTTGTATCTCATCTCCCTGCACATAATAATCGTTTGTGCAATTTCTGTTTTAAAAAAGTATTGCTTCGTGAATCGCTTAATATTTAGGTTAGTGAGAACTATTAGTAGTCTGGTTTAGATAGGTAGATAGATAGATAGATATATATTTGACTAAATATTTAATTAAAAACAATTTAAATAGCACAATTTTTCATTTTAATTTAGTCGGGGTCTCTCCAACCATTGTTGTTTGTTTTGAATGAGAGGCCCTTCTGCAGCGATACATACAAGTTCAATTTAAATAATACAAAATGAAATAAAACAATTTAGAACTAAAGGAAAAGGAGGAAAAGGGAAAGTAGTTGATATTGGTAAGGTATTGAAGAATAGAGAGGAAAAGAAGAAGAAAGGATCGTAGNGGGGACAACCCAGCACACAAAGTTTATAATGTTTATGTTTTATTTTGTTTTGTTATAATAACATGGGAAAGGTTTAACATAGAAAAAAGCTAATTCTTTCATATAGTACAGTAGTACAGTACAGTAGTATAGTACAGTAGTACAGTAGTATAGTACAGTAGTATAGTACAGTAGTATAGTACAGTAGTACAGTACCTTAAAAAGATTTGTCTGTTTAAGTATAAATTAAATATCAATATTTATAATATTAAGTGATACTGCAGGGGGGGGGGAGCCCCCCTCGCCAGTCTTTATGCAGGGTTAACAAGGCGTGTTTATTACTAATGATTTTTCATTTAGTTAGTTTTGGCGAAATCTATATATAAATTTGGCTTGTCTGGGTGTCTGTTTGTTTGTTTGTCTGTCTTTCTGTTTGTATCCAATAAACGTCAAAACGGCTGAACCGATCGGGCCCAAATTTTTTGTGGGACATCTAGGGACCCCAGGGAAGGTTTATGAATGATTGAAATTTCAAATATTTGTCTCCATCAAAATTCGATCGTCATTAAATTTTTGTAAATTTTGAAAATCCGCGAAATTTTTTGTGAAAATCCGCGAATTATTTTTGTTTTGTTTTACGATGTACACAAAGAGAACATGTTCACAATTAATTTAGAAGATGGGCGCGAAGCGCCCTCTAAGGCTAGAAAGAAGGGCGCGAAGCGCCTTGAATTTCTAGTAAAATAAACTTAATTCAAAAGTTGATCAAAAAGTTTTTCCCTTAAAATTAATATTGTTCTTGCTTATATGGTGTTTTCTCTTTGCAAGAAAGTACTTCTATTTATATCGGCAGAGTGTCACCTTGCTTTGTATCTATTAGAAGGGAATAAAACACAATGTTTTTTGTAAAAAAACTTGGGGCCCCACATAGAGATGGGGGCGGAGCGCATTCGGCTTTTTAAGATTTGGTCGTTCATCGTTCGTTAACGACCTTTTTCGTTCAAGTTTTTCTTCAGAATTTAGTTAAAGTTCGTTAGAAAAATCCTTTGCACAGTAGAAAAACGATAGTTTTTTCACAAAATCAATTGGCATCTAATCATCATATTCCTTAAAAACTTAAATGTTTAAATTCTAAATTCAATTAAGAACATTATCAGAAAATCATTTTTTTATCGGTTTGAGCATTTGCGATGAGCTAGCATGGTTACCCACACAGATAACAACTTTAAAGACGACATGAACCTTAAATAACGAACTAAAGGCTGATTTTTGGTTTCTGCATTGCATTAAGTTTGAAGGAGAAATCACTTGAATATATTTATTTAAAAAAACAGTTTTAGTGAAATTAAGACTGAGTAGATACCGTAAAGTCGTCTTTGAAGTGGCACCATTTCTGGGTAACCCTGTATAATGATGTTAGAATATTGTTACTACAATCATTCTAATATATTTTGAAAACGAAAAAAAAATATCAGGTTTAAAAACATCTAAAACAATTTTGTGATCACAAATAAAAGATGATTAAAAAAAGCATCATTATAAAAAAAAGTAGCCACCGATACCACTATAATATTCATATTTTCTTACGTATATTTTAAT